AATTAAGTTAGGGAAAAGATCTTTAACGTGCCACAAAGTGGACACTAGGATTGAGATATGCAACGTTTACGCTCACCTAAATCCAAGATGGCGTCTAGTTATCGATCGAGATGCATGTGCTGCGTTTTGGAAACAAACTTAACGAGGAAGTTTGCCGCGGATTTGTCTTTGCAAATCTTTTTAATTCACTATATTTCTAGGTAAGGTTATGAGGAAACATTCTAGTCGCCAATTTGGCGACTAATTTTCAGGATTTGGTCGCCAAAGTGAAAAATTTAATCGCATTGGCGCCTGCATTAGGCACAATTGCACGCCCTGTTAAATTGTCTGTATATGCATGTCTTTACAAACCTGTTTTGAGTGGTTAGTGAAATGAAAAATTTGAGTTCCATGATACTCGATAACAGTTTCAAATTCCTTTTTTTCACCTTCAAAAACCTTTTTCTGGTAGTTGATTAGATTGATAATTATTTTATTCAACCAATAATTCCTCTGATTCATCGTTTCTTGAGTTAAATTTGGATATTAAGGACATGCCCACCCATCTGTGAGGGATGTAAATTTTTCAGATACAAAAATTTCACTCATAATGGTTTCATTTTTTGTAATTTTAGTGATCAATCCCTGTACGTCGGGAACCCACAACTGTCATCCGAATGCCACGTGCTACTCGTTAACAGGCTCTGCGTTTAGATGCATCTGTAACGAAGAAATTAATTACTTTGGAAATGGAACATATTGCTTTGGTAAATACTTTGTATATCACGGAGTTGTAAGTTACAGTAATATTGATCTTTTTTCCCATTGGGTACCTTGCTACGTTTTAAATGAAGTAGAAACCTTGAAGCTTTACTCTACAAAAGGACCCAAACACAATTTGGAATCTCTGGAAGTTTGAGAGATGATAAGTAAAACTCGTTTTTTTCTTGAGTAAATTTTCTGGAAATTACGTTTAACTAAGTTTGAGTCAATGAGGTTCTTCCACATCACACATTTTTAAAATCGTGCAATAAATTATTATTATACTCTGGTTGTTAGCTGTATTGACCTTCAAACTTAGTCTCGCTGAGAACTTAGTGAGGATTACTTTCTCGTCTTTCCTTACAGCGGGATGTCCTACTAATCACTGTGAAAATGGAGGAACGTGTATTATTTCGACAGTGGGAAACATTTGCAGGTAAGATGGCTCTAGTTGAGCAGGGCATAACCTTTAGAAAAACTGCAGTCACCAAGATATGAGTTTTTGGATCAATTACTCGCCTCATTTCAAATCAAGTTTACGAACATATCATTTTGAATGGATATTGAAGTTGGACTGCAATACATGTAACTTTAATAAGTAATACAAGATCTGTTTCCTTTTCTACTCCGTGAGAATGTAACCATAAATTCCTATGATTCTGCTTTTTTACAAATTTTAAGGTCACAAAGTAACCAAAAATGGCTTTGAATTTATTATTTATTTTGAATTTATTTATTAAGCTCTGTGATTGGTCTAGAAACTCCACGTCGCACTTTAAACACGAAATGAAATATCATATTCAATTGAGACTCTTTCGCAAGCTGTTGACTGAAATTAGTGATTCTTTTTAACTCTATTTCTGAACAATTCGTAATACTATCTTGATGAAAGTGATACGATTTTGCCAGAGTAACGTTTTTTTAGCTTGTAAATCTATTTCTTTTAACTCAGATGTCCACGAGGTTTCTATGGCGACCGATGTGAATTAGGAGCAGAGCTGACCAGTTCTCCTCCCATAGACTCAGGTAGAATTTTGTGTTCCATCGATAGAATATGACTTAAAGTCTGCTGTTATTTCCAGAAGTCATAAGGTCTCATGGAAAACCTTTGTTTTTTATGAGTGCCATGAGTTGATTCTATGCATCACTCTTTCTTTCAGTCAATATCTGGTTATTAGTGATTGTCCTTGCCTCAGTTTGTGGGGTCTTGTTGCTCGTTTTACTGATCGTCATTATTTGCTGCTGTCGAAGGAGGTGAGAAGTTGTGTTTATTTGTTTATTTGAGTACATTTTTTTAGATCTTGTGGAACCAGTCTCGTTAATTAAGGTAACGCCTCCCTACCTAGAAGAAAAAAAAAAAGGTGTCAGTTTGCGGTTCTAGTTGATGTAAATATGATTACCCGTCTATTTTTCATAGGCGACGTGATGATGATCCACCGGGAGGTACTCCTGTAAGAGCTAAAAAATATCGCCCCACTCGGAAATCTGGAACCGTGTTTTTTGAAACAATCGACGAAGACTTCACCATTCCAAGCAGACGATTAAGGGCAACTCCACCATCTGCGTCTTTCCGTGAGGTCGCCAACGGACTGGGAGCTGCTAATCGCGCTATGGAACAGCTTTCGAGAGTGGGTCAACAGCATTCCCAGGCTGTGCAGTCCAGAGGACCCATCCAAAACTTGGAACCTTCGTATGATGATCTCGTTTTTGATGAATATCTTGAAAATGTGGTTAGTATGAGGGAAAAAAGTTACCTCGAAAGTATATGCGCAAATAGATTTTGATACTGGACACTCCATGAAACGTACCCTGCTAGAGCAGTTTTTCCCGTAAACGAAGTAAAGGTTACTTGTTAAAACAATGAAAAAGACAACTTACAGTAAAGAGAGGAAAACATGAAAAAGGTTAATCCTGAAATTCTTACAAAAGGTGGTATAAAAAGTTGATTGTAATTCAAAGTTTTGACCTTTAAGAGAACTTTAAATGTTTTTGTATATATGTGCATCATGTGCTACTCTGGGAAACTTTTTGAATTAAGAATTCTTGGAAAAGGATGTTATAATATAGAGTAAAGTCAACCTTATAAAAGCAATACCAGCTGTTGGTGTCATTGTCGTTTGAAAAACTTAAGCTATAAACTTCCCTTAACTTCTTTTTATCCAATTTCTTCCTCTTACTCCACTAATTCAGAAGTCTCTTGAAGATCTCAGCGGTTCGACTGAGAGCTAACAATTACGTGTCAAGTAAGTAACGTTAATAAAACTTTAAATACGATCACGATCACGATCACGGCTGTTATCAACAAACTTTTCATATTTTAAACCCATTATAATATAAAAAATTAGAGCAATTAATTTAATTGTAAAATTAAAAAAAGAACATTGTACAATTTTCCCCACATTTTTAAATCTAACATGCTCTGTTCGACTAAGCTAAGATTATTAACTCTACCTAAAATTCCAAGTCTTCACTCTCCCCATGTCGAGTTCTCTCCAAGTATCCTGTGATAGATAGCTGCCTAGTTTCTGGATCTCTTTATTTCAATGCGTATATCCGTTTTGGTTCTGTTACGGAATGAAAGCGAGGTTCGCTTCGGTATGGTTGACCAATTAAAGGTTTAGAAAAAAGAGCAGGTTCTTCGTCCGAGGCTAATATGAGAATTTCCTAACTGGTCGAGTAATAAACTCGATATTTCCTTCGCGGAGGTGTAGGGTAAACCTGATACTCTGTACTGTTGTGTCATATTTATTAAACACGTCGTATAACGTATAGTATCTCATGCATTTAGTGACTCTTCTTCTCTTGAGGATGGGATGGGGTTGACTGGAGACAGCAGGCGCTTATCTATTTATTCATTCCATTTACACTGTGGTTTGTCTTGTTTTAAAGGGTCCTTGGAATGACCTTTCAAGTGGTTCCGAAGGCGCAGCGAACAATAACATTTATGTCAGGGATTGGGCGTTATAGAATGAAATATCATAACATTGTTATGTGTAAAAGAGGATAAACTATGATCAGAGTTTTAACCTTTGAGTGAAAAGAATTCGCACTTTAGAAGTTTTTTTCCAAGTTAATTCTGTTGTGAACAATCGCCATAAGAATACTTAGTTCCAGTTCGAACGAGTATAACACTTCATCTCTCCTGGAGAGAGATTTATTGCGCTTTTCAATTTTAGATTTTTCTTTATCTAGAAATATATTTGTTTTAACTGTTATTATACAAATCTTATAAAAGATTTATTATGTTACTGTGTAAAAAAGCACATCTTTGAGTCGACATGTAATATATAGCTATTTTTGTAACGTCAAATGAACGTGTGTAGACATGTATCAAGCCTTTCTATGAATTAGAGTCCAAGTCCATTGTGTCACCAGTTTCGAGTTGTAAGTTTTCCAATATTTTCTAATGTAAAAAGAGTTTGAAAGACTATCATGCCTCGTGACAAGAATAGTTGGGAATGCTTTTGGATGACTCTGGGAATTATAAAAGTATCGAAATTTTGTGAATCAATGCTCTCAGCAAATAGTATTTTTGTAATTTTGTCATTTAGCTGTGAATAGCAATTTGCTTAGAAATACGATGCAATTTTGACAATTAAAGGCTTCTTTGTTGTACTTTTGTATATTCGTATTTCAATGTATTTCAATAAGGTTGAAACATGTTCAGTCACATCAAGTGTAGTCACATTAGTCCGCAATTATGATGAAATTTGGGATCAATGTCGATCTCTGACCAACTGCACACCGACCCCTCCCCTAGCCCTACATTAACCCCAACTTGTTATCAGCTGACTGTTGCCGCGTGAGGAGATCGAGGGGTAGGTACACAGTGGCTTCGATATTGATATTGGTCCGAAATTTGTTAATTTAAAATAGAGTATTTCATAAATGATCGTCGAACCAAATGTCAAGGAATTTCCGACGTTTAAACAACACACTTGCATTACGTTGTCAATCATCCTCGGGGGATTCCTTCTCGACACTGTTGGTTAGATTCTACAAATTTTCTAGATGGCTCAACTCGTCAAGATCAAATCTAGTAACTGACAAAACAAGTAGCTAAAATAAATCTTTATTTTTCTACGGCGAGTTTTGATAAACTAGTTGTCATGTACAAAAGCGTTCACTTGCATTGCCTTTCCTCAGTATGCACTCAGTGCCCACTGTCCCCAAACCCACGGTGAAAATGTTTCTTTACATATTTGGTTTAGTAGTGCACTTGTAATTGTTCCAGTATCGCTCGTCTTCATCTTTCCCGTCAATTTTAAGATTTTTTTACTTTGCCCCTACAACATGCCGGTGCACACGAAGGTGCACAGAATGGCATGGGCATAGGAGGAGGGGGTGGTGGGGGAAGCATAATTGGTGGAGGTGGGGCTGTGCAGCACTGCTGTGGACAGATTCTCATGCAGTAATGGATGCAGATGGGTGGACATTGTGGTGGTGGCGGTGCGGGCAGACCGGGGCATCCAGGTGAACCAGGAGGTCCCATCGGTCCCATTGGTCCCATGCATCCGGGAAGACCAGGAAATCCTCGACATCCGGGAAGTCCGGGTGGTCCCATGCATCCGGGTTGTCCAGGGGGTCCTGGCATGGGGCAAGGTACGGGGCACGGCGGTGGTGGTGGAGGTGGTGGTGGTGGTGGCGGTGGAGGAGGTGCACAACACGATGGGTTGCATGTAGGAGCACATAAAGCCGGACATCCGTAACCACATGGATTAGCATTACGCTTCTCTACTGTCTCTGTTGATAATTGAAAATTAAAAGAGAACAGCTTTCACTTAGTAAGAAACCATACAATTTTATCTCCCTCTTACGATTGAATATCGATCTAAGAATTTATTTCTCACTGCGGATCAAGACTGTTCAAATGTATCAAAATTTCGATTTTGGACGATACCAAATCAATAACTTTGCAGTGCATGCAAAGCCATAACAAGCAGGTCATAAACATATGCTTCTTTGGTTATCACAAAAATTATTTGTCTGCTTCAAGAATGACTTTTTATGTAGCCTCTGGTTGTCCAAACAAATCGTCAAGAGATGGAAACAGAGGCATTAGGACTTCGTTACGACATTTTTGAGCAATCAGGTTGCCGAATTCTTAGCAGACAGCTTTTGATTGTCTCGGTCTTTCCTTGTCCTCAAAATGAGGACAGTGTCGTTACCTCTAAATAATTTATGTACATTGGAACGGACGATGTTTCTTTCATGCCTTCGGCTTACAAGTATAAGTGCATCCTTGCTAGTCATACTGTGGAAGAAAGTGCTTACATCGATTTTTTGATGACCACAGACAGCCAGAAAAGTGACAGAAAAGTATTTTGATATCATTTTTATGCTTACCTGGCTCGTCTTCCACTTCTTTTGTTATTTTGACAATCTTTCCATGATGCAAGTAAGCTTCTGTAACTGTGAAATTAAGGTTACAGGCATATTTAAGTACGCCAACAGGAATTTATAATTTTTGCCATATAAATTACGGTGGCAGCTTTCTCAAAAGGCAGAAAATGTTTTCATGGCAGGAGCAGATCATTTTAAAACAGACAGTGACAGTGTCAGTAAGACTGTGCTTCAGTATGATTCCATGAAGAAAGATTCTATGGTGTAAGCCCTCAGTACACGGAGAAGTATTTTAGCTGATTAGAAAGGACACTGACTTTAACGCAACTGTCTTTTTGTTTCACAATGTATTCAAACAACGCCATTGGAACAGAAACTCTTTCTCTTGCGTTTAGGTAGTAACCTCCATGTTATTAGGGATTGATAGTCTTTTGAAGAAGGTGAAAAGGCAGCTGGATCAAATATGTATTCCAAGAAAACCTTGCATGCTTTCTCTTTATCAAGTCTGGGTAGTTTTCAACCACAGCGACCTCACTCGCTTGGAACAATGGAACAGTTTAGGCTAGGTTACCTAGGATCGCTGGAGAGCGTGGTGAACATCACAGCGGTCAAATTGCACATGCGCACAGTGATGGATGATTTGCTCTTGCAAACAAGGAAAATCAAAGTAAGACGTAGTTTTTTGCAGTTTCTAAAGTTAGAAGTTTCTAAGGCCGAGACGCATACACATTGGTGTTCTGGACTTTACCCACCAAGTGTTAGTTTACACTCGTACTTTTTCTACACTTTGCATTGCGGCGTGATGAAGTCGTCCGTAAACTTGGCCGTGCTGGCTGTAATTATTCTTTGTTGTGTTCATGGTGGAGTTGCCAGTAAATACCGAGGGAAATGTGTCAAAAAAGGAAGAACTAGAGCCACACAAGATATTTGTGACGATCACAGGTCTATGTTTATAACGAACAGTAGATTGTGCAGCAGGAGTAGAAGAAAGGTTTCATCATTTTCCTTTATCGCCGAAACAAAGCGTCCGCGTTAAAAACAGTTGGGATATCACACAGCAAAATAAAGCCAAGATTTAATCTCAAAAATCCTTATCTCATTTGTTTTATGCATGGAATAGTTACGATTTAATCTTCTTCTCCTTACTTTACACTGGACACGCGTTCGGAATCTCTCTTATTGTCTTCAAACTCTCGTGCATGCGCAGTGTTTGACCGCTGTGTTGTGGCGAACAGTTCAAAGCTTGTAAGCTCGTTATCATTTGTGAAATCTTGCTGGTAATTAACAAATAGATTTGTTGGCACTTACATCAAAAATGTTCTAGTGATATTGGACTTTTCTTTCCCTTCAGAGTCTGTTTCAATAATTTTCTATGCTCGATGCTCTGAGTAGATCTATGTGAGTTTCCTCAGGGCTTTCGTCGTTTACTTTCATTTAGTAGGGCAGGCGTTAAATAATCATTTGGGTCAAATCATTGAAAGACAGACCTCTTACTACGAAGTAGTAATCCTTAATAATCCTTCTCGACTCGTCCATGTTGCTTTAAAATACTCTGTATTTGCAAACTATAATCCGAGAAGTAAAAAAATTCTAAATCCACGATGACAATTTTTGCTAAACAAGCGAAGATAGTAATCTCATTTTCCCGCCCCTGTTTATTCTTTTGTTTTTATTGACCCTTACATTTAGAAAATCGTCAAAATATATTTGAAATTGTTAGTATGTATGTAATGTAAAATTCTGAAATGAAATTTCAGGAGGTAGTTTATGGCAATTTTCCATTTGTTCAATGCATGCAATGTCTTTCTGCTATCTTTTTTGAGGTTGGTTCAGTCCTACGCTTATTTTTCTTAGCTGTCGTACCAGTATTTAGCACAAGCAAAACACCTGTTTATTTCGATTTTATTGTTACAAAGAAGCTGTATTCATTTTTTATCACCTCAGGTTCTAAATAACTTTACCTATCACGATCTCCTGAAAAGTATTCGGCGAATACATAGAAATTTAACATGTAGAGGTAATTCTAAGGCACATTGAGGGTTTATCAAAGGAAAATATTTAGTCAAATAACTGGAACCTTTTGTTCCTGTTCAGGTACGAGAAAATATATGCTAACTAAACGAGCTAATTTTATTTTCCGATCTATCTAAACCAGTGGATTATTTTTGCTTATATCTTTGATGTCGACAAGACGCGTCACTATTTTACGGCGAAAAAAACCAATAATCAACACAGAAAATCTTAAGTCATATTTATATTATTCCAACATACCAGTTTTAAAACATCAAATGACAATGTATACCATGATACCATTGTAGCCTTTCCAGTTGGGAACACAAATAGAAATGTATACATTTATCAGACTAAGATAAACAGATTAACTAACCTTTTCTTGCTTCCAGCGAAGCAATAAAGAAGAATAAGCAGGCAAGTGTAAATCTTAACATGACCAGTTGTGAACTGAAGAGGAATGTAAAAACGGACTGTGAAACGATCCCTGAAAACCTCTATTGCACATCACTAATTACCGTATAAAATTTTATTTGCTGTTATTTTAAATTTATCTTCATCCAGGTAAAATTAGGCTTACCTCCTTCAAAAATGTTTGTAATCAGCAAGAACGATCGTATCTAATGCTTCTTGCCTTTAAATGTTATTTTAGTTTTATTTTTTTCTTTCCATTTTTTTTGGAGAAAGAGGTCAACTTGACACTATTTCAAGATCATTTAAAGATCAGTAGCTTCCATATCCTAACAGGTTTCGAAAATTTTTCCGATGCAAACTGACACTTCTACATTGTTAGGGGGAAGGTTATTGCCAGTGAGGTTAAAGAAGGTCACCTGTAAAACCCAACTGAGCGAAAAAAACTCCCCCTTTATTCAAATTTACGAACAAAAAAAACGTTAAGTATACCGTTTACCTCTTGTGCGTAGCTCGCGACTTAATCCCAACATAAGAGAACCCTTTTGATGATCTTACCTCTTTATGTTTTTGGAGTCTTGAAAAGAGTTATGGACGAAAGGTCAAGTCCTGTTATGCCCCTGAAATGACAGTAGCAGAGTCCTGTATTATCAGATATTTATTGGAGGCGGACAGCGTACAAACATGACCTGCGCAGGGGAGGTGGGCTTGTCAAAGAGATTACGTCATGTAACTCAAACCCACGGATTCTTTTTGTGATTGGCTCCTTCAGTGAGCCCATGAAACAAAAAGAAAAGATGCTCAGAGAATAAGGAAACTGTATCTTGATTGACATGAAATTATAACCAGATTTTGGATAAATTTTCTAGTGATTAAAGAAACGCTCAAATGAAGCGCAGTTTCTTGGATGGAAGCCCAGGGAATCAATTATTAACCCACATTGCCATAGAAGCAAATGGCAAAAGAGGATTTACTGACATATGCTCTTTCGCATTTTGTCAACGGGCTAGATCAAATATTTTGTCTCGTACTGTCAAGTCAAGCAAATTATTGACAAAAACCCACATTTCATAACATGTGGGATGTCTGAGTTGAGTAATAACTGTCAAACAGCGACCAACCAAGCGTGATATTTACCGAGCAGCTGGATTAAGTAATTCCTTGTAAAACATAATGCATCATTTATAAAAGGACAAAAATAGGAACAAAAGCAGACTGTGAAAGACCCAGATCTAAAACGATTTTTTCCGTGACAAGATAGAGAATATCCGAGATTACAGGTGAGGAGATGATGCATCCTAGTTTATAGATTTACCTTTAAAAATGTGTATTCAGAGGAGTGTAAAGACAATCCACAACTACCTGTCGAATGGCGTCAGCCAAACGTGTGTATTTTAGCCCTCATATCTATAAACAAAGCTTTTAGCTTTTAGCTTTTAAGTTTTTGTTTAGTCTCGGCGCTAATTGGTTAGTAACAGCGTCATAACGTGGCTGATCTCTGTTTCCGAAGCTCGAAACTAAATCCAACTCTTAAAGAATTTCTGTCAATTCTTAAAAGTCAATTTTAAAAAGCAAAAGTTTTAGCCTTGTATGACGAAATGTGCACTTAAGTGTGATTATAGTTTAGAGAAAAGTGAAAGGAAACCCATAGAATTCTATTTTATGGCTTTTCGTGAAAAGTATGGGCAAGTTCTCAAAGCCAAGCTTGATTAGAAAATAATAGCAAACTCGAGTTAATGAACTGAAGAAAGAGAAATTGAGAGGAGTAATCATAAATGTCCTCGAAGGCCTTTGGAGAGGATAATAAGGCCCAAAGATTTGCCACAAAGATGTGATTTCGTTTTCCGTGATAACCAAAAATTACCTAGGACTGTATATCGAAAGAGCCATTTTCCTCGCCAATTCAAAACAATCGTTTAAACATCAGTTCTGAGAATTTTCAAATGTTCTTCTAGAACATCCCTTCCTTGTTTCGCCATCATTGACTGCATGAATTTAAACCTCTACGCAATCAGTTTATTTTCACAGCTTACATAAAGGAAAGGGTTTTGTATTATTTTTATGAGAAAAACGAATAATAAACTGAATTTGTAATTAGTCTCGCTAATTTCAAGCTGTTCACAGGTGTTAATTTAGTTATTGATTCACGAAAGGCAAATCTGTTTTCTATAGAAAGAACACCAGCAATACATTTATATATCTTTGTTGTGAAAAATGTGCTAAGAAATACGAAAATGAACTTTGATTTATTCATACAAGAATACTTTTAAGTTCTAAACAAAGAATAAGCAGATGAAATGTTTTGTTAATTTTACTCATAATGATAAACAAACTGGCATACTCTTTTTTTCAGAGCGTTCTCTCTCGAACTTGTGCACTTCACCTGTAACAGCATTTCCGCAAAATGAGACTCACAAAAACGCGCACACCAATTGTTTATTATTTTTTTTCAATCCACGTGTATCCCAAATTCTTCTACACTACAATAAGCTTTTTTAATTCTGTAGCAACGAATACTATGATACTGTTCTCACGCATGAGATATCCGAACTTGTTATTTTTTTTTCCTTGTTCATACCTAGAACCACTTGTGCATAATTTTTTTTCTAACTCCGGGAATCCCTTGACGTTTAATCTCAAAGGTATTTACAGTTTAGTGCCATTTTATGCATCAACTGTGAACTTCTTATTTGTACGATGAATAACAAAGCTTTTATCATTTCTTTTACAGATATGGGTCTAAGAATTTTAATTGCATCTTGCCTTGTGGCATTAGTATGTGGAAAAACACTCGGTAAGAGATATTTCGTTGCTTTTCCAAGGATATCAATGTTTGTAACTGTACTTAAAGGAATCCGAAACATGAGGATACTTTTTTACGGTGATTTTGTGTCACAACGTCATAGTTTTTGTCTCAAAATATTCCAATCGTGTTTCTGAAAAAGAAGACCCATCTTACCCGTGGAAAGGAACAAAAAAATCGCTTTGTTTATGATAAAAAAAATAAACCTTCTACCTCTTGACACCACCTTTAAGATGAAAACGTTTGCTTACACGATGCTTACGTCCTGTCCCTTCGCAATGACTAATTATTCTAAAGCAAACTAATGCTATATATTGTCTTTATTAATTTATGAACGATTAGAAGTTGACCCTAGCATTGTTCCGTTTAGTCTGTTTAAATCACAGTATTAATCGTATTTTCTGTACAGAAGATAAAGAAAAGCGAGAGGCCAGCCCCTGTGGTTATGGATGTCCATCCATGTGTGCTCCAGCTTGTGAACCAACGTGTTGTGCCCCACCCCCACCCCCTCCACCACCACCATGTCCCGTCCCCGTTCCTGTGCCGTGCCCACAACCAGGACCCCCAGGACAACCAGGGTGCATGGGACCACCCGGACTTCCCGGATGTCGTGGATTCCCCGGTAGTCCAGGATGTATGGGACCAATGGGACCAATGGGACCTCCCGGAGCACCCGGATGCCCCGGTCTACCCGCTCCACCCCCACCGCCTTGTCCCCCCATCTGTATCCATCATTGTATGAAGATTTGCCCTCAGCCATGCTGCACTCCACCACCTGTGTACATTCCTCCCCCTCCACCACCACCTATGCCAGTTTGTGCCCCGGCTTGCGCTCCTGCTTGCTGTAAATAGAGCGTTTGAAATCAGGAGAAGAGAGTTTTAGATCGATGACGTGCCCTGTGGGCAGAATAGCAGACCAGTGGTTTGGATTTTTGATTTCATGTTTTCAGCCCTGACTTCCTGAGGAACAAAAACTTGTATTGAAATTATTTCTGTTTGATACATTGAAAAAAATAATAAATATCAGTTTCCAATATCGTGTGGCCTTCAACTGAGCTTGTAAATGAGAGCCGATGGCAAGAATGGTAGCTTGCATCACATCATTAAAGCGTGATACAGTAGCTCTCGACAATCAAAAGGAAGGAGCCTAAATATTGATGAAACTAGCGGCAGTGAACAAATTGTAATCCGTTTTTGTGAGACTCAAACCCTAAGAGCTTATTATTTAAACAAAGTTTAGCCGTTATTTAACAAATCCTCAATTTGGCTGAACCTTTACTCTGAACGTTACTTTGTGAACAGTGTCAGTAGGGCCGAAAGCTAACAGTGGAAGGACTTTTATTTAATTAAATAAATCTTCTTATCGAGAAAGCCTGAAGCCCACTGATTGGAATAAACCTTGGTTTGGTTTAGATTAATAACCGACCAAAATTTTAATGCAGAGTTAAAATATTTCCTGTTAATGGTTGCAGTGAGAACTTAGTAGGGAGAAAATTGAAGAAGGAGGACTATTTACTGTTTATACTATTCTACGAAAAGACCATCTTTCGTGCAGAACACAGGCACTGGTGTCTCAGCCCAAGCCTTCCCACCTGCCCATGCGGAAGGGGTTCCATTCCCAGCAAATGCAAAACTTATACTTTTTATTTAAATTCGAAAAAAGAGAAAAAATATTCGAAGACGATTCAAGAGCCAGCCGATGGTCGAGACGAAACAATCATTAGAATCATGAGCTCTCTTCCTCTGTTGTTCAGAATGCACTGGCATATAGATTGTTTTAATTTTGTCTTTATTTGAAAAAAACAGTGAGGATAAAAGTTAGCCGTAAGATCATTTCTCCAGTTCGTTTTAACCCCTGTCATGCAGCAAGAGTCCACAGTTTTCCCACCTTCATAGCATGTTTATTCAAGCACAAACTCTTACAAAAACAAGAACAACAGCTTGATTCATTCAGTTACTGACGGTACTCTTTTTGTCTTCGTTGTCTTCATTACCCTCTTTGGATTCTTCTGCAGGTTTGTTTTCCTTGGGCTCAACATGGGTCGTACAGCCGGGGTATCCGCAGTTGTAATTCCAGTAGTTGTATCCGTAGGGGTAGTGGTAAGGGTAGGGGTAATTGTAGGGGTATGGATAGTGAACAGTAGCGGGGGCCTGGTGCACTGCTGGATGTAAAGCTGGGTGTACTACTACAGGCGCAGTGACGGGTACATGGGGGTGTTGATATGGGTAGGGGTAGTGGGGGTAGCCGTAGGGATAATTTCCATATTGCCAGGGGTATCCGAAATGTCCATAGCCGGGGTAGTAGACACTTGGCTGTTCTAAAAAGCAAAAACAAAAACAAAATTAACTGATTAACTGGAACGCTTATAGATTGACTGTCTTGAAAATAATTCGAAAGTAAAGTTATACCTTTGCTGGCCTTATCCTGTTTCACTTCATCTGATTGGCTCTGAACACTGACTTGCTGTGCAGCCTGGGCTGGGTTTTGTTGATTTGCGTTTATTTCCAGTGAGCTAAGAGCCCTGGAATCCACCACAGCAAAGAAAGCCACGGCCACAAGGCAACCGATCACAGCTGAGGTCATCATGTCTATCAGGATAAAGAATAGACAATTGAAAATTGTAAAAATTCTAAGGTACAATAGCCATAACGAATCGATTTCCGTCAGCCCTCGTGGCGATTTTCCCGTTTCCTTTCAACAAGGCAGAAATCGCACGCTGGAAGGCTAAAGCGAGTCAAAAGATAAAATCGCCCCACTATCCGCGCGCGCCTCATGCTTCTCCACTTGGATTAAAGGAAACGGAAAGGACTGATACACGTGCTCATTTTTGAAAGATTCAGCTACTTTTTGACATTCTAAAATACATTATGAAGTTGATCGTCATAGTGAAAAAGAATTCGAACATATTGTAATGGGTTGTGGTAGGGGTAAAAAGGTTTAGGTTCCCTGAACGGAATTCGAATCACAAACTTTCGATCTCGTGATCGAGTCTACACCGGAAAGTTCTGTGAACGTAAGAGGTATAGCATCATATCGCAAGTTCGGAAGTTCTGAGGTTGAGTCCCCAAAGAGCAAACGCATTTTTTTCCTCATGAAAATTCTATACAAACGCACCAAACCTTTCTCCACACAGGCTACTGTCGCGAAACCTACTTAATAAGCAAACTCAGAGTGTAGTTGATAGATTACGACAGCTACATACCTCATAGATTTTTAGCTGATTATTATTTATATAGCACTTTGGAAGAGTAAATACATTCACAGTTTCCTACTTTTTAAAGGTGGAAAGTGCTTTTGTTAAGGAGTGTCATGAGTTGGTACATGGAATGATATCTTCATTATAATAAATAAACGTGGCTATACACGTATTCTAGGATTATCACACCTACACATTTACATGAGTGAGAGAACTGAAAATATAAGTCCTGATCATTTTGGAAATGTTTCCTAGACTTAGCATGCTTATTATGAATCAAGAAAGCCGTACAATGGGGATGAGAATTCCTAGTAAAATAAATGTCTAAAAAAAGTTGTGTTGTACCAATGTAATTTGAGTCTTGATTCGTATCAGAGAGCAAAGTCATTTTTTTGAAAAAGCTGGAGAAACAGGAGATTGAAGATTCCATATAATTTTAAAGTCTCTTTTAAACTGATTTCTTTCAGCTACAGACATTGTTTAACTCAGTTTGGTATAAACCAAATGGAAAAAAGGCGTAAACAGTGCTCTCCCTTATTTTGGTGAACAGCTAGGGAAGCTATTGTAGATGAAAGAATGGACCGTACTCACCAATATCTTTCTGTTTCCTTCGACTCCAACGTTTCCTTCTACAAAATCTGATGATTAACTCGGATCGATTAAATATGAAATATAATCACTCGCACCCACAGAAGCTAGAACGCGTCTGATTGGCTAATTATGAAGTATTATGTCAACTGATAATTGTGAATGAGTAAATAGACTCGTGATTGTTGACACCTTTTTATCAAAGGAGAACAACTTTTGTTTGGTGTCCAACACCTCCGCGTATAAACAAAATATTTGTAATCCAACACATCTGAACAAAAAATGTGTGTAGCCCGGATTGTTGAGGAGGTTTTTAAATAAGTTTTCAAGAAATGCTAGTGGAAAAAAAGACAAGACAAGATTCGATATGACCGCTCGGCTTTTTTCACTTGTTCGTGTTGTTTATAAACCAAATGCAAAGAGTAATGCGAAGAATCAAATAATTGGGTAATTTCTAAAGCTCAAGAAAGTCTGCGGTGGCCAATTTACTTTATCAAATCATCTGATTAAACCATGTATTTTTTAAATACCCTCCGACACAGTAGCAACACAGTTTCATTAGAAATTTAACCCCTTCATTTTAATGATTAGGTGCCTCGTTGCTTTAAAATTAGCTTTAAGCTTGAAGCATACATTTATTCGGAGAAGGCAATATGCTCCTCTCTTCAGGACCACAACTTTTTTAGAAATGAGTTCGTCAATAGCAAATGAGGAGAATTTTCATGAAACAGGTGCTTTAACGCCTCAAGGTTAATCTACTATGCTATAATATTATACTATAAAATATTTTGGGGAGAATCTATCGAATAATAGAAGAGACTTTGGCCATGATAGAAATCTAAGACCACGTGATTCACATTTTGGATTGGATTTGGAATATACATTGTTTCTTCTGAAAATGTTATTTTTAGAGTTATTTGACACAATTTCCAACACTCAAACCGTGGTCAGAATCATCTAAATAAAGCTTAAAAGCTTTGTCTTTTGATAAGTGGGATGTGCGGAAGGGGACAAGGTCAGGCTCACAAATCCTTGCTTACTGTATCCTGCGTCTTCCCGTCTCTTTCCACCCCCCTTTCCACTCACCCCCTCTCCTCTTAGCCCCAGGTGTCCTGATACTCTCTTAAGTGTGCCTCAAGTTTGCGTTGGTCCGGTTGCAGGTAAAAAGGAAGGCTTTTACACACAAGTCAATCATATTGAAATTTCCCATAAAATAAGATAGCGAGCTGAAATATCCATCATTAGAACGACCTGCAGGTTTTCTTGATCTTTCGTTGCATTTTCCTTTTTTCTAGTTTTTTAAATCAAAAGACAAGGGATAGGAACCCAGGGGAGTAGGGGACTGGAGAGGATTTATCAGATGTGAGAAGAAAGTGCAAAAAGTAGGGATGAAATTCAAAGGGGCAGCTTTTTTTAAAATTTGAGTCCGAGCGCTGAGGACCTTATTTATTGTTTAAATGTTATTGAAAGCAGCAACCCAAAGACATTATCGACGGACGTTCCTGTTTTCAAGCCTTTGCTGACTAAATTTATTCTTCACTCGCTTAACAGGAAGTTACTGTTCTTAAACTTCAACGTCAACTTAATTTGTTATTTACTCTGAATGTAAAGTTAAATATATGGTTGATACAAATAAGATGCTATTTTAAATAAAAAGGGTAAAACATAGATGAATAAAAAAATTAAATCATAAATGATTGAGTAATGAACGTACTCGAAATAAGGTTAGTGACTTGTTCTCCCCTAAATTTATATATCACTCGAAAAAGAATTCTCAAGAACAAAGTTTTCTAAAGACAGTACGTCGAGGATCATCCTTAGAAAAAAAATTACTGAATAACCCAAAATATAGTAAATAAAATGCACAAGCGCAAAAAGCAGGTGAACTGTGAAACATTACTTTTCTCCATGGGAGATAAGTTTGTTTGTTAATGAAACTGTAGATAATCAAACCCCGAATGGGATAAAAGAAATTATTGAACGACGTCAACTGTCAACCTGCAAGCTGCATAAAAACTAAACGACACACTTTCACCTCCCCTCCCCCCACCCCCGTTCCCTTTCTTATATTGCGGGTATCCAAGGAAAACCTGCTTTCGTTGCCACTTTGTTTAAACTTTTCAACTTCCACTACAATGAATCAGTGCGGAAGGATAGTTTCTTTTCCGCTCCAGTCTTTTCTGTCTCCATGTTTTAACAGAGTTCCTTAACGTGCGTTATCTTTTTTTTGGTCCTTTTTATCCCCTAAAGCGTCCCCCTCGATTAAGTGCCCACCTTTCAATAAGCGCCTCTACTTTTTGCCGAAGTTTTAAAGAGGTACCCTGGGTCTTATTCGAGGAAATACGATACTTTGTAATTACGTTGTAAATATAATAGTAATAACCTTAGTATTTTTATTTTAAAAATAATTACTTCCCCCTACCGAAAAGAGATACTGACAGAGAAAACTATAATGCAACAGGTTAATTATTGTAAAGAAGGAGGAAGTAAGAGCGTTGTATGATAAAACGGACGATTAATTTTTACGTACTTTTGTAGAGAAATCCGATGGAGATGGAGAAATTATCCCTGGAACTTAGTTATACATAGCTGAGCTTGCAGCAGCTGAAAGAAAGGAATTGCTTTGATCACAATTTTGAGGAATGTTGTTACTGTAGGGAAACTGTAGACTTCGTGGAGCCTCAACGCAAATATTTTGTACAGGACCTGAATTTTGAATGCAGTGTACCATGAGAGCTGGAGTGATACACCTTGCAATGTTCTTCTGAGACTCCTTCTTCAGCTTCATGCGGTACCGTTTGTTCTTGAACCAATTCTAGAACGAAACATACAGAGGTAAAGAACGGCGCGATTTACCCAGAAGCCTATTCTGGATTTACTGATATAAAGGGCCTGGTTGCTTAGCCGGGCCTACACTTTGGCTTAACTTTTTCAGAAAATCGGTCATTCTAATTGACCGTTGTAATATTTCACGTGTCGTGGGAAATGACTGTTAACGATTATTTTCTGGAATTTCTAGGACGTTTAGTTGCGATGTTGCAGCTGTTCAACACACGGCAGTCGCCTGGGTTCCCATGCGGGACATACGGGAAATCCTAGATTTTGAGCATGTGCAGTGGAAACATTCTTGAACCGCCAAGCTAAAGCCTGTCTATTTCATTCACTTTTTTTTCTCGATTTTGAAGCGTCACTTCATTGTAAACATTCAGTTCGAATTTTCTCGAAGCCTTCTTGAAGGAGTTTATATTAGAAGTTTTGATTTTACAGGTTGTCACCGTTCGCAACAACATTAACTTTAAAATTAAGCATATTTCTCAACTTTCTCCTCCTGGGGTTACATTTTTTAAAATCTTACCTGCAAGGCTGGTTTTGGTATCCCCAACACAGCAGCTACCTCCATACACTGGTTGGAAGTCAGGTACGGTGATCTAGCAAACAGTCGCTCCAACACGTTTTTCTGATAATCTGTCAGCCTCCCTCGTGTTCGCAGTCGTGGGTAAGACTTCAGTGCAGAGGCCTGGCTGTTTACATCAGCTACTTGAGCGGTATCGCCTGTGTTGATAAATTCGGCAGTTAACCATTTAACTATCAAGATCTTATCGGTTAATTCTTTCCTGTAACCACACATTTCCTTTGAGTTAGATACGAGAATTTGGTTTGTTTGAGTATTTTCATTACCTGTTTACTGGATGATGTATAAATATTATAAAGAGAAGTTACGTGTTAATCACCTCTGGAGTAGAAAATCTTTCGTTTTTAAATTTTAAGTTACAATTTTTCTCCTCCTCTTGCATTCACGTGCAACGCACGTGATTTCACAAATTAGCCAATCATGTCGAAGAACTTTAATTTTGACATTGAAAAACTGACGTGGACATTTTTTCGCGTACGTTTAGTTTTTTGCGGAGTTTAGTTTGTTGTTTTGAGCTTTCGTTCGCGTAAATTTGTTACTCCTTTGTTTGGAATTTTAAGACGTTTCGGATTTTTTATTTTAGCTAAATATTGTGGTTCATTTTAAAAGTTTGATACGTATTTTCTATAAAGTTTGGACTCTAGTCTCTTTTTTCGTGGATGGATTTTTTACATCTGGGAGTTAAAGGATTAACTTGATTAGGGTAGATAATGAGTCACATCTAGTGGGTATTTCTTTGTTTTGTGGAGGAAAGGCTCTCGAAAAAGTGAAAGAAAATGTTAAAACGAGGAGAAAGAAAAGAAACAACCCAGTAGCTTCAGACATCGAGCATAATAATCGAGATGAGGTCATGGCGGATGCAAATAAATTCTCTCACCGACATGCGCTTCTTTGCCTATGGATTTATAAGTGAAATACACCTTAGAATCTAAAGTAAGTTTTCAATCATTTTAAAAACAAGGGTATTGCTAGTTTCCAGGTTTACATCGTCCTTCATTATCATGTTGACGGATAAACGAATTTCCCCATGTTTGGAAAAATAGCCGTATTTAAAGTTTACTTTTTTTAAGATACAAGACACGACTGTTTTGGTCGTGTTTATGAGGGAATCACAGGGAGGCAGAAATCCCCTCACTTATACTAAGAGAGAAAGTTTTTGGTTTTTTGAAAACATCTTGAAAATACAAAAACCATTCAAACAAACCAAAAAACGTTGTAATAAACTCAACAAGTTAATTCAGCGTGTTGCTTTGACGGACTTCCACCTTGTTTCATCTGAAGTTTTGGCTCATACTTCATATTTTTTCCAAAGCAAGCTCAAGCAATTGAATGTGAGCAACAGAATATTCGTTGGCAGGCAACACTTTAGAGTAAGCTTGCCGTGGATTCTGCACTTACCAGAAAAGGATCTCGGTGGTAACGGATTCAGCGGGTTGAATGGATCGACGTCAATTGCATGTGAATCTCTACCATTTTCTGGTACTGGTTCAAATAATTCTGCCATTGCGACAAAAAAATAACTGTTTCGGAATTTTAAAATTGAGAGTTGGTGTGCTCCCTATAATTGCTTGGAGAGAGATGTTTTGAAATTGCACAGTGGTGCAGTGGCTGATTTAAGCAAAATAATGACGTACCTAGGTATTTGTTTTGAAAATAAATAGTGCGCTATTCGCTTAGGGATTGATTTTCTAGCGTAAGGTTGAAGCGTCATTGAAACCGAGTGAATATCTGTTCTGCATGTATAATGACATCATTAAAACAGCAATACGTCATTTAATCAATTTTGAAGTCAATAAGCGAATTATTATTAACAAACAGTTGGTTTCTCAGCCACGGATATTACAATCTGATCTTAGCATATCTTTTTCGGAAATATGTTGACGAAATGAACGCTAAAAGCTTTCTAACTTGTGAGATGAATCAGTTTCTTCTTGGATAAAAATTGGTTATCGCAGCATTGACGGTAAGCAAAAAAACAAGCAACATGATCGGTCATTTACATATCGCATAGTTATTCAGCTTTATCAGTTTGTGCCTTGATTTTACGTAATAAACGAAACTAAATGAAATATCCATAATTAACACCTGATTCAATGGTGCTAATAATAACAATTTTGATTAATTACGACGGATTTTGAAAGTGAAAAACAAACGTCAAGAATTCAGATCAAAACAACGAATTTACAGGGTAACCAACCAAATGTTTTGGTATCAGACAGGTTCGAGAGACCCAAAGTACCATAGATTTCCGAAATCGTGGTTTTAAAACGTAATTAGACTTAGTTCAGACTGGATCCCTTTGGCAACAATGCTATCATTTCAGACAAATATATCGTGTTTACACATTCGTTTTAATATTGTTATGGCCATATTATTGCAATCATTGTTATGTATATTTTAATTTTTGTTTGCAAAACGAAGAGGTAGGTAATTAGGTAATTAAGGCTGATTAAAGCCTAATTAACCCATTCCTTATTATTCGAGGTAATTGATGCTTCGCTGAGTGTTATGTAACAGATAAACAGATTATCCAATACGATTGGTACATACTTCGTATGAAATAATGTATGTTGTTATGTTGAGCAGTTAAAATGTCATTGGTAAGTTGAGTGGCTGGCCTAACGAATAAAAACAATTAGCTGCAAATTAGCGATTAATTAGCTATATGTGACCTCACAACAAAAATATGGTATGAAATAACTTTACATAGCTGTAAAGCAAATGAATTGGAATCAGCCATCACCACAGGGAGACGGTTTGGTTAAGTTTAAAAATGTCAACTTCATCCTTTGTCGAAGAAATTGTCTCAATGGAAGGAAAAATGTTGGCTGATGAAATTGTAAAAGGTAGATTTACACAATGTGTTGTAGCAGTCCCCATAAAGCGGATATTGACCAAAAAAAAAGATGAGGACATCTATATATTTAGCTGAAAATGAAGTCCAGTCAAAACTCTCTGCTTCTTGAGTCATCGAACACGTCCAATAATTTAACATGATCATTAAATTATCGCATCGAATCGAATTAAAATCTGCATGGAAAAATTTTGGTTGACTTGATTTCTATTCAAATTCAGTCGTAGGTACCAAGCCAGGCTGTTGTCTTAAACCAAGTGGAAAACCGCGATCGAGGTTTAATTCTCATCAAAAACAAATTTTGGAGCAAGTGTTTCACCTGTCCCCATACCTTGACTCCATTGAGCAGGCACAGATGGCCGAGACTTTGGGCATTCAAAAGACGGCGCTGCAGGTATTTATCGAAAAAAATTCAACGTTTACTTTTTCTGATACTGACGCCCCGTTTGTTTTTGTCTTTAGAACTGGTTCAAAAACAAACGATATCGTTTAAAGAAGAGAAAAGAAGCGGGTGATAAGGAAGTTTTACCACAAAATGAAATAAATGACTACTGCAAGGTGGAACCAAGACACGAAGAAAGTTTCGGTTTTGCAAAATTTATTTAACAATGGCGAATCAGACGTCAATAACTGCGAAGAGCTTTAGGAATATTTGTCGGAATCTTTCTTTTTCTTTCCCTGCGATACCATGGATATAAACGACGCGCTAATTTGACTAAAATGTTGTTAAATTGTACTCCAAGATCATCTTTCCTCTAGTTCTAATACTTACCCAATTTACTTGACTTCTCCTGTGTCTTTTGACGAGTGTTGAATGCTTAAACTTGAATGCTCATTTGTTTTAACGTTCAGAGTAATGTCGAAAGTAGTCCATGATTGCATCAGTTTTGCTCTACTTCGCTTAGTGATTGGTCCAGAAAAAGCGCTACTTTTCTGGCCGGTATGTAAGACAAGTAGTTTAACTATAATTGTCTCTAAATGTTTTCCCTGACTTGACTATTAGCCAAAATTTTAGGTTAACGGTTAAATTTCTTCACTTCGAAGATATTTTTCGAAACATATTTTTTTTTAAACAGTAATATAGAATTATGATGAACAATGACCACATTGTGTATAACATAAGATGTTTATTGATACAAATTAAAGCTAAGGTATTTATTCTCAGTAAATCTAATGAAACGTAGAAGAGGTAATAACTTGTGTGTAAAGTGGCTTGAACGGTTTTATAATCATTAATATCACGTACTGAGCTGCTTGCATTGTATTCTTATTGTGGAATTTAAAGAAAGCGACAAAACTTTTAAGTCTGTGAAATATGTTTCGACAGAAACTTCTGTCATCTTCAGATAATTAATGTACAAAGCGTTGGAAGTTGAAGTATATAATAAATAGAACAATGCTAATTATGATGAATAGTGACAACAAGAAAAGAGGTAAAGCATGAAAGTGTGAGAATTAAAAGGATAGTTTTAGATTTACACGGTGTAATTGTTAATTCAAGGATGGTTGTTCTCTTTGAATATGAATAACCTCTTTTATCTTGAGTTGAAAACCGGTAGAGGCGTGATCTAAAACCGCTATCCGCTGAACACAAACCGCGACAATGTGCAGAATCTTTCACAAGATGCTACGAATGACCTTCACATTTTATATTTTTCACTCCCAATTTCTCACTGTCAATTTTCTACTTGCCGCACGTGACATATAATTCAAGGTCTGAGAATTTGGTGTTGTGAGATGAAATAGTCAATTGATCAATCTCGGAGTGAAGGATATTTAAGAGAGTTGGCTAGGGTCATGAAATTTTTGAAACAATTATTTCGCGCGACCTACCGACATTTAATAAGAAGCTTTGATTTTGATGTTTGGGTTGTTCTAAAGCCGATAAGTTCTACTTCTGAATTTGAAAAGTAAGAATTATTTTTGTACCTTTTATAAAAAACTGTATCCATGAGCTAAAGTTTTTTTTTTGTGTGTGGTTTCATTACTATATGAAAGCAAAGGCGATACAAAATATATACAGTTGATCTGTTTGTATAGCTATAAAACTCATTGAAATATTTTACATGAAACCCTGGCTCAGGTAAAGTGTAACTTGAACAACCCAGCCCTATAATTGATCTAGAAAATTTTAATCTGTCTACCTACTAGAGGATGCAGATAGATGAAATACTTTCTATTCGATTTTTTTCTACCCTGAACAATCAGGAAAGAGACGTAGAATTTGTAACTGACCACCATCAAATGCGATCTTTTACAGTCTATTTCTGGATTTTTTTAAAAATAAGTATCATTGTAAATAACTTCTTTACATCTTTTGTGTATCGTTATGTCGTTATGTTCAGTGCACTGGACTCCGTGTCGAGAGGCCTGGCTTTGGGACCTGGCCGGGTCAATGCGTTGTGTTGTTGGACAAGACACAGTGCCTCTCTTAACGGCACACATAATTTGGAGCCTCGCTTGTGTATCCCGCACCTTAATGGTGAAAGCTATTAAAAAAAATTGAGATGTAAAAACAAATTGAATAGAGACCTTTAAGACCAAATGAACCCCTTCTGAAAGTAACCCCCTTGTTTACTCTTTTGATCACCTGTCATAAGAGTGAGAGCTAACACTTTCTACTTGTGTTTCCGAGAGGAGCCTAGTGTGAGAGGCGTTAAGGCGAGCTCAGATTCTAACTTGATACCTATGACTACTTGCTTCATCTGGTCTCTCATTCGTTTGTGAAACACACGGCGCCGTATTATCTAAAAGCCAGTAGGTTTCCATTGCACCCTTGCCCTAAAATGGAGATAAAAGAAAAAACATTTTCCTGTCAGTACTAAATAAGCCTGGTACATAAAACAAGACGGTCTGAGATATGTGTTTTGTAGAGAGGTTTTTAGTTTAATTTTAGCAATGTTGGTGAGAGCGCTGACCAGGTCAGTGTGTTGATGTATTTGAAAGAAAAATATCAATTGCACTCCAGTGCCTCTCTCCACCCATGAGAATACATTGGTACCGGGAAGGGTAATGAAATGCTGCGAGGGATTAGCATCCCAGCCAGTTGGGAGTAGTGATACTCTTCGTCGTTTCGCGCGTCAGATATTCTGACCAAAAAGACTGAGTCGAGACTCACCAGTAATTTAAACGCGTAATTTTGAGAAAAATATGCAGAAAAAGTCTTCTATCGTTGTGTTACTTGTTTTCTTTAGGTTTTTTTTTCCTTTCTAGAGGGCGAACTAAAAAGATTGTTCATGAGGATTCAGTCCCAGGTCTTATTCCTCACTTGACCCTATATAACAATGGCAAAAATGTCATACTTTGACGTCAACTAATCCTCTGAATTCCAGATGATAACCATCGATAAATTCCAGCATGTCCTTTGTATCTTTGCTCACATGGATTTTCTGGGCTGAAATGTGAAGTATTTGGGTTTTAAATAATCAACGATCTTTGTAAATTTTTTTAACGATTTGTAAATAAACAACAAGCAAACAAACAAACAAACGAAACACAAATTGGAGAAAATCCCTCAGAGCAAGGACGAACTCCACCATCCTACTCAACATAAAAAAAAAAGAATAGATTCCATTTGTTTTTCATGTATGCATATCACCAATGCAAGTCAGGCCGCGCTGAACTGAATTGAACCCGGGGCTCTATAAGTGTAACTATACATTTTTTATGTTGACAAAAATTTTGAAACAAGACTTACGCAATCCAGTTGTCTGCATTCTGGATGCGGTGTTCACAGTGTCCCCAAACAAACAATAGCGAGGCATTTTGTTCCCTACAACTCCTGCCGCGCAAGGACCTGGAAATAAATGAGTGAAGAAGTTAACAAAAATAATATAGAATTGCAAAAAATGAAAGATTTTGTCTTCCTTTTTAATGAGGCGCAGACTAAATTCACGAAATAATAGAAGAACGAATGGAAGTATACCATTTAATATATACTAAAAGCTAATAAAATTTAATCTGATACATCAAATTTATAGCCAGTTATTGTTCGTTTGTGGTGGTTAAAAGTATCTATGAAATATAAGAAATATGAAAAAATGATTGTATGCGAAGAATGCAGACATTTAAAATAACTGTAACGAAACCGGCTACGGGGGTACCTCCAGAAATCCAAGAGATAACTTCAAAAACTCACCCGTGTGTATACCTATTCTTACACTGAGATCTCTTCCGTCATCGGAGCCAAAATGAACACTTTTCATGAGCTCCACCAGATGAAGAGCCATCAGGGACACCTCAGTGACGTGATTGTGCCCATTTTTCTCTGGTAGGCCTGATACAACCATGTAGGCGTCACCGATCGTCTCCACCTTATAGACATCGTATTTGTCGATGTGGTTGTCAAAGATTCCATAAAGTTGGTTCAACATGTGGGTCACCTCCATGGGTGAGATACTGGCACAGATTTGCGTGAAGTCCACGATATCACTGAAAAAGACAGTCACGCTTTCAAACTGCTCTGCTTTGACAGTCTGTCCACCCTTGAGCTGTTCAGCGACAGGATACGGTAGCATTTGGTAAAGAAGACAATCTGCTCTATGTTTTTCTTCCTTCAGCTGTTTCGTTGTTTGATGAAGTTTGTTCGCGTATCTTTGGATCGTGTGAACAATGAACACAAAGCAGGGCATAATCAACAGAACGAAGGCAAAAACTGAATACTTAAGTATCGAGTCCTTCTCTGCTGAGCTTACATTCTCCTTAAGTTTGTCAAGGATCAGTGTCCCGACCTCCTTTTGAACTTTAAGTAATGCATTTATGTAAATAGTCATGATATCAAACCACTCTACTCCCAACTCCACTGACGCGTTTTGTTTTTTATTGCCTAAGATAACTTTTCTTTTTTGCTCCACTGTAACCAAAATCGTCCTGTTAGAAGCTTCAACAGATTTATTATAAATTGTTTTAATCTCCGGCACAAGTTGCATGCTCGTCTTTAACTTGTCCTGTCCCAACTGATTCTGCTTTGCATACCAGAGTAAATCATTTGTATCTTGAAAAAATCCTCGACTGAAATAAGAACCTCCAAGAGCTCGCTCAATACCAGTTCTTTCTTTGCCAATAAGGAGCATTTGGTACCCGATGTAGTCCGACAGAATATCTTGGTCTGTTTGCTGGACGTTGCGGAAAGACCAATCAAACAGGTTTGTAATTATTTGTGTGTAGAACGTGATTTCTTCTTTGATTGTGCTGTCATTGGAAGGGTGAGACTTACGATGGTTATTTACCAGCGCCAGAAATGTCTCCAGGCTGTTAAAATTATACGTTTCACGATTATCTTGTGGCCACCTGGCGAGATTTTGGGCCACCTCATCAGTTTCCTCTGCAGCTTCTAACACCCGACGCCATATTCCCTGTTGTGGATCTGAACTGAAGTGTAAAACTCTTGTTCCTCGCTCAATTTGCAGTCTGTGAATGAGACCCGCGACTTCGATGCTCAGGTTTATGCTAGCTTGCAATGTTTTGGTTTTTGTAGTGACCTGACTGGCTTTTAAAGCGTCTAGTATTGTAAGAACCGTCAGACCAGTCATGCCTATCAAGCTCACAACTACCATGGTCGCCATTTGTGTTCTTCTTCCAGTTCGAGTGATACTTTTTGGTGTTGATATTTTATTTTCCAGTCTCAAGTCCAGGATCGGCTCTACTTGTCTCGTTTTCTTCATGGCAGCTGATAATCCGCGAAAGAAAGCTTCAGTTTAACCGAGGTGTCTTGAATTGAATCTTTTTTCTGGGGAAACAAAAATTCCTTCAATGAGGTGTATCTGAAAGTTAATATTAAAGTACTTTATTCAAAATTCAGAAGGTTTCCTTGAAAGTTAGGTTTACTGGTACTTTCACGAATAGCCTCCTTCTTGAAAGCTTTTCCATCAGACGAGCGAGTTAGAGTCGGGAGCTTGGGGTGACAAGAGTTGAGGGTAAGAGGAGCTAGGAGCCAGAACATTTCCAAATGAGAAGACGTGGGTTTGAAAAACTCTGTTCCCAGTTTCTGTGCGGGTTTTTTTCGTGAAAATTAAACGTTCGCTCTTAGAAAAAGATTGCAAATTAGATCTAATATCGAATTGAAGACTTAAAATATTTTTGTGCCCTCTTTGTCATTAGCATGGCTGGAGTCTTCTAGGAATCGAGTACGAATGGAAAACGTGAAGCAGTCATGATTATCCTGAATACCGAGAGCCTTTTTTTTTTGCATTCTTAAGTGCAGCTTACACAGAAAAAAAAAAATCTGGCGCGTGAAAAAAAAAGTATTCAAACGAGAGTTGGACGTCAGTGTGCGAGCATCTGCGGTTATTTAAAAATCAGTCATTTTTGGACAGTAAATCAATGTTTCTTCCACCTTTATCAATCAAGATTAATCCTTCTTATCGTTCTATTGTTCTTTGTGTTGAACTCAATCCGAAGATAGCAGATGCTTCTGCCGAGAAATGTTTGCTAATCTTAATTTTCTTTGATATTTCTGTTGATGAGAAGATTATTCTCGCACGAAAATTTCTCAAAGCAACCATTAGTGACTCCAGCTCGAAAACTTCACCTTTAGAATCACTTTACGTTAGCTAATTTACACCATCAACTCAATTGATAGAACCAACCTATCTCGTAACATACACCGCCCCATTCCCACCGATGCAGCTCTACATTTTCGTTAGGAACTTACCCTCTTAATTCAATTCGTTCTATCAGTACTGCGTCATCATGTTCAATCTTTCGATATGTTCATCGTCAATCGAATTTTTTCAGGAGTGTTAAGTAAACACACGCGTCTTTCGAAGATAATCCGGCCTTGATCCATTACGCTCTATATATTTACACAGTGAACCGCGAAGTGTTTAATTTTTTACCACAATTGGTCAAAGGGAAATGCTAAGTTTGCTCAGGGCGCAAATATCATCTTGGACTGAATAAAGAAATGAATAATAGTCTTTTTGGATTATCCGTCTAATCCCAAAATTTGGAACAATTAATCTGAACATTTTCAACCTACTAGTTCGGTGACGGTTGGGAGTGAGCAAAAATCTATCATCGTAACGAAAGTACGTGTTCATGTCAGTTTTCCCGACCAATCGAAATCGAAATTACTTTTAATAATTATAGACTGTCTAATTATACCAAGATTGGGTTTTTCAATATTTTTAGCCGCTTTTATATACTCAGTTGAGAGTAGGTTAACTTGAAAAGGTCCTGATACGAAACATCTGTCGTTCACATACAAAACAAAAGCGTGAAAAGGCTGGTTTGAAATATTTCCTTATGTCGTGGTAACCCGAACTGAAGCATAGCTGTTGTCTTCATCTCTCGTTTTGGTGTTTAAGTACTTCAAACCTTCCGAATAAGATAAAATATCTAGTTACGAAGGAAGAAAGAAGCAAAATGCAAATACATGCAATGCACCGATTTTCAACCTGTCAAGACAAAAAATTATAGCACCCAATATATTGGTGTCTCATTCTAAATCAGGCAATCAGCGAGTTCATTTCACGAAATTTAACACTAATGTATCGATGAGAACATTATTCATGTAATTTCTGACGAATTTAGAGGCAGTTGAAAAATAGTTCAAATGATACTCAGAATTTTCAACCAAGCCTTCATTATTTTAACGGCAAAATTCTGCCGAGCAGAACACGTAGTCTTCTATTTACTAAACTTACACTCTGCATATTACGGTTTTTTTTTCACTTTTTTTTTTTTTGCGGAAGCTAACCAATTGCTATGTTAGAGGGCCAACCCAACGAAATTAAACCTGGCAAAAGAAAAAAAAAAAAAAAAGGCACGATTAGCTCCCTTTCCTTTCCTCTCACGCTTGCAGAATTAAGTGAAACGAGTAAAAAACCATTTATGGCAAAATCACCTTTTTAACATTCGGAGCTTGCTGTTAATCGCAGATAACATGTAAGTAAATCAGTAAAATCAGCATTTTACACAATAAAAAACGAATAACGACTGCAAAATTTTCGAAAACTTGAGCGAGCCTTTAACAAACGTGAGTATTGATGGAGATATCTACAACTTTCAATTAAAAAAAAAGAAAAAATTAGTACGTGTCACAATTTTATGAAAGGAAGATGTGGATGGCTTTAGATATGGCACAGAAAGCACAAAAGGAAAATTGGAAAACACTTCTGAATTTTTTAACATTATATTAATTGATTTATGGAAAAGAAAATAACACGTAGTATTTTTCAGACGTTTCCAGGACTTACCAAACGCGCTGATGAAGTCCCCCTAGAGTCCAAGTTTTTGGAATTTCTTCTGCTTTCTGTGGTGGCAGGTTTTCAACTGGATACAGCTTTTTGTAGCCCATGTAGCATTCTTGACGGGCTAATGCTCTGTTATAAAGCAGCAGAGAATCAAGTCTAATCGGATAGTCTGAATTCTTTCATCTAATTGGTCAGTTAACGCAGAGGGCAGATGGCTTGTTAATGGCTGTCTGTTAAGAGCCGACGAGAAAAGCTGATGCATTGGCGTATTGTTTTTATCTATTATGGAGGTAAATTGATGTTAATAAAAGCTTTCTTTTGAAAGCTTTTCTTTCTCTTTCATTTCATTTCATATTTTTCGGATGATAGACGACTTTCCAATGAGTCACCAATAGTTAAATAGTATTGGGGCAAAATCGGTAAGTGATTTTAATAGATTTATACGAAACAGCCTTTCCTCTTCACAAGCAAGATTAGGCTTTTGCTTTGAGTTTCTTTCAGTCGGTAACCATAGTAATAACAATTACAGCGAGTTATCAAGATGGGAAATTATCCAATGAATTTTTTTGAAATCAGGAATACGAGCTGAGTATGCTTTTTGTGGCTGAAAAACGCTCAGATTTGCTCACAAAACCATAAAACGAACAAAATTCTCTTTGATGAGTATAAATTTTTTAAATTCAACCACAGTCTAGACAAGAACGTCATCCAACACCATTTTAATCTCAAACATTTTTAATCAAAATGCACGGTAAAAGTCCGTGACCATATGAAGTAAAAGGTGTATCCATAGGCAGATGTCTAAAAGCAATGTTTTGACAAACTCTGACAACTTTGGTCCCAAAACTGGACAAACTTTGTCAAATGCGCAGTTACAATCTCGATGCTTGAGATCTTTTTGGTGAAAGAAAAAGCCTCTCTTGTTAAATGACTCAACCATTTCCTGAATAATTACACGAAGCACTGCTAATCATAATAATAACAACTTTTGTAAGTGAAAAATTTTGGAGAGTAAAGCTTAACTTAATTAAGTTCGATATACATTTCTCAAGCCATCTACTTGTGTAAACATATTAATTTCCGACTGGTAGCCACCGTCTTTTCGCTAGCTTATTTCTCGACCCTAAATCAACATCATATTTTATTTCACATGAAGTTTCCTTGTTGATTTTCAATGAGCAATCAAGTTGTTTTAACAGAGTCGCAGAGGACAGTTTTGGTATCGCTCCAAACCTAATAACAACGGCCTATTTCAAACAGATTTGTCGTAATCGTAGGATGTCTCTTCGTGTCACCGAGATACACGTTATAATCAGCATCTTCAAAAATCGACGGCAGAGCTAAAAATTTATAATCCTTATTGACCTTCTGTCTTATTTTATATATTCTATTTATGCATCCCAAGGTTTGGCGCTTCCTGGGACTAAAAAGTTTACTCGCTTGTTATGACGATCAAAGGCTTTTAAAGGTTGGACTTAATTTCGGCCTAAAACAAGCCATCGAAATCAGTCAAACTTGACAGTCCTTAAGTACTTAATTGCCAGTTTTCCGAATCTCTTTTCATCTTCTTAGTATATACAAAATCTTTTGTGTTCGTGTCTTAACAACTCAAAGCTCTGCAAAGTCCACTAATTAAGAGAAGGCCCCATTTTCAAAAAGCATAAATAATCGAAGCGCGCACTTTTCACTCTAATGCGAAAACAAGAATAGTTGCCAGTAACTTTTTTTAAAGTATATACTGGGGTTATCATGTTAATTTTTAAGTAATCTAACTACTGAAACTCGGATGGATCCAAACATTCACTGGGGAAAATTCCATTTTCAAATAACAGGTTCTTTCATTTAGCTTCTCTTAGCTTTGTCATACAGCATACTTAGAGGCACCATTCTATTTGTGTAGTAATCTTGCAAGCAAACCCTACTTGAAATCCACTGAACTGGTCTCATTCTCAAATAGTTTAAATAACCGAGGCGGTCATTTTTTCACTCTAACAAAGTGAAAACACCACACGAACTAACGATCACATATTACACGTCAGTTGCAGCAATCAGTTTAAATGATTAAAACCGAGCTTGAAATAAAAAAGTAGAATTCATATCAGAATTTCACACGACCTGAATGTTCTGCCATAGTTTCGCACGACAGTTTTTCCGATTGTCGGTCGGTATGCTTCTCCAAATGCGTTTAGAGAACTCAATGTGAAGAGTGGCCATGGGCTAAGACGATATATCAACATCCACTCTTTACATTCTCGCGGGGGAGAAGGGGATATGGACTATGCATGCAAATTCGCCATCTGCGCCATCCCTTCTCAGCCCAATTGATCGGTTTTATAATATGTTCGTTAAAATTCAGATTAGAGTTTGGTACTCAAACTAGCTTTCCGTAAAAAAGATTAACTGCATAAGATCATTATTAGAGAGCCGGTGTTTTTCTTTCCGCAGCGTAGATTTCCCCCCAAGTCTCTGCCTCTTTTGGTGTTTGAGAAAGTACTTGGGGTAGAATAAATTCTGTAAACTTTTTCTCCAGACTAAATCTTGTTTGCACCTGCTTCGAGGGGGGCGAAGTAAATAAGGAACTAGGACTAATATGGCAACTAATTAGGATTCCGTTTTTTGGGGGCGCCTCGGACGTGTAAAATTGTCGGCGAAAGTTGGTCATAATTGGCCGATGTTTGATTATTATTGTAGCAAATGGTTTTTTGTTTCTCGAATGTGATGAGAATGTTTAGTAAAATGTCACCTCGTAATGTTGGAATCTTTGTTGTAATCGCTAGAGAACAATCACGATTTTTGTCGCTGTAGGCTCCAAATTGGGTCTTGATATTCCTTGCCACTCAATTTTTTTTCGGATGGAAAAAATTGTAGGAGCTCTTTTCGCCTTTTTCGCTTGTACTTTTCGAAAGATCTTGCAACGAAATGTGAGAAGTGGTAATTCGCTTCATGCCAAGATATATTAACTTTTACACATAGGCGTTTATCCTGCTTCGGTATATACCTTTGTTATACCAAATAAATGTTTCTCGTCTTCTGCCTTTCCCGTGAGCGAAGATTTTGCGAGAAACTTTCAACAGTTGCCTAGAGTTCACCGGAGAGAATAAGTCTTTTAAATCTTTCATCGGATTTATCTTCAAAGCGACTGCAATTTCAGTTATAAAGTTATAAAGTTGAAATTTCTCTAGACCCTGTGTTATAGGACATCAAATGCTAAAGATTTTCGTTAAATGCTGGGCTCGTATGACATCAGAGCAGTGAAGTAGGTCGGGAATAATCTTCATAAGAGTCGGTTTTCACAATCTAAATTTTAAACCATGCACTACGTATCTCTTGAGACCGATCTTTGTTTTAAAAATGGTGTAACTCAAATAGTGTAACTGTTCTTTTCAAGGGTATATCCTTTTCTAGCGCAATTCATAAGCTTTGGTACTATGCGTGGCTTAATGTACGACTTACGACATGAAGCACTTGCTGGTCGATCAATGTATTCGTCCTTTCAACGTGCCAGTTGCGATGGCCTTATGCAGCTTGCTTGAGCCTAATGTCTAATCTTGCGGTGGTTTGGTATGCAGTATGGTGTGTTTATAATGGTCGATGGGGAGTTTGATCAAGTCCTGAAGAATTATTTATAGTCCTACGACGCTTTGATTCAACACCGGAAAGTGTTTATGACGGTTAAGAAGAAGCCTGTTTTAGTCCAGATGAAATGATTTGTAGCCCTGCGGTGGTTTGCATTTACATCGTCAAGTGTTTTCGTAAAAACCATCTGCTGTTTATAAGGGTTTAATTTTGAGACTTTAATGAAAGCATTCATCCATCTCGTTCGATCTGAAGCTCATTGGTAGCTGAGGATAAATTGGCTCTTTTTCAAAACTAGCATTGGCGCTTTTTAATAGCGACCATTGGTGTTGATCTTTAATACAAAAGGGAGAACTCCTTTGACAGGCAAATTAGGTTTGTTTTTGTATGATTCACAGTTACAGCGGGATACGCTGTAAAATTGACAACTTACGCCGTAATATCGACAATTTACACTTTAATATCGACATCTTACCTAACTTTTGCGGATACTTGGAGATGAGTTATTACGCAATGAGTTTTCATGGCTTACTTTACACTTTTCTCGCCCAAAAATTGCATCGTGTTTGTCCAATTTTACTCTTTAATTTGTTCTCAGCTTCCCTACCAGATAATTATTCAATAGTCAGTCTCATGAAGGCCTCCTAAACGCTAAAATTCAACAAAATTTGCACATAAAACTAAAAATAAGCGCAAGGAACGGTTTTATTTGAATACTTGAGGGCGTAAGTCGCAGTTTTACTCTATCGTTGTGTATTCTTGTGATCACACATATCAGAGTCAGCAGTCAGGTATCTTTGATCGCGTACACAGCATTTCTCTGTGTACGTGGGTTCATTTATCCCTTGCTCTACTGAAAAAAGGAGGAAAAAGGGAATTTGAATTGGAGAATTTAACTCGTGCATCTGGTACAGAGTAAAAAACAGTTTGAAAGACTCAGATGGTTGCCAAAGCCATGCGTCTGTGTCGCTCTTGGCAACAAATGGCCGAGGGGCCTTATCATTCCAGCTGTTGTTTATGAATTAACAAATTTTTGTGCTTAAAATCTCGATGAACTCACGTTGACGTGCGAAACAATTATTGATTTTAGTTAAGAAGCCTTAAGAAAATTCGATATGTTGTCTGTCAGAAATACCCCAGCTGTGTACATAGTCTCTCCCACTCATCAAAAAACAGATGGTTGCATAATCATTAGCTCGCCATTGAAATTCTGGTAAATATTATGAATGTTATGAAAGTCATCTAGCGCACGATTAGTGAATAATCAATTCGAACGAACAAAATAAAGAATACACACACATCTGGTACAGTTTCAAGATTATTTCAAGTATTTATTTTCAGCTCCGAAGAAAATCTATACTCAGAAATGTTTGGGACATGTAAAAGCCTCATTTGAGCGCTCCCTGAGGTACTCAACATGTGAGTTTAAGATATTTTTTCCTCGAAAAATTATCAATGTGCGAATAATTTCTGTTATCCAAGTTAATGATGCTTTTTGTGCTTCTTTTCGTCGCTGATTTTCTTTCCTTTCGAGCTCTCTTTCTTGCCCTTCTTAAATTTCATGCATCCGGGAGTTCCACAAGGTGAGCTTGATGGATATGGTGCGGGGTATGGGTAGGGCTGCTGAGGGGGGTAGGGCTGCTGAGGGGGGTAAGGCTGCTGAGGGTATGGCTGCTGAGGATATGGATATTGTGGCTGCTGTGGGTAAGGGTATCCTCCACATCCTTGGCCGTAACAGTCCTTTCCTTTTCCTGTTGAAATAAATATTAAAGTTAATTTAGACTGATCAATGCTCCAGAAACTATGTCAATTTTCAAGTATCTCTGCCATTAAAAAGTATATTCAAATTTATGAAAATCGCAGTACTCTCCAAAGGGTAACTTTACTTGTCGAAAACTGTCTTGAAATTTTCTAAAAAAATTCGGCGGCTCTCAAGGTCGAATTTTCAGCGCATTTGAAGACAATTTTCGAAAGGTTGGGTTTATCTTCCGATTTTCAAAACGGGAAAAGTAATAATAAATATGTATGTACACCTTTTAATTTAATGATCGAAATAACACTTGTATGGTTTTCTGGTATCTGAAGCATGTTTTTCCTTTTCAAAATGGTAAAAAAAAACATCGATGCAATGTTTTGCACAAGAGTCATGCCCAAACTGAATAGATAATTTCATAGTTGTGTAAGCGAACGTTGTGAGTCATAGTTAGCCGCTTAGAACTTTTTTTTCAGTGCTTAGCGTTTACAAGGCTTCCATCCTCTTGTATAGACGCGTTCCTCCGATCCTCCATCTGCCTGACTCCATGCCGGGCAAAGTTTTGTTTTCGATGAGTGGGATTATCTGGTTCCACAGCTCAGTTATCGTTGTTAGTATCACACTTCATCAAGTCGACGCATCAATATTTTCAAACCCTCAATCTGTTTTGTACTTTCTAACTTTAATCCAATTGCAAAAATATCACTTCACCTTCTGAGTCTACCTATTTAATTGATGACTGATCGACTGCTGGGGGTGGGGGTACATGCTCTTTAATTTCTTTTTGGCAGGGGTTGGGGTGAATTTACGCTCTTACTTCTTTGAGTATTCCACACGTAGCTAAGTAAAAAAATTAACATTCCATAAATAAACAGTGATCTAATGCGGATAGACTTTATCACACGTAATTTACAAATAGGATCTGTTTCAGTTATTTGAAATTAAATATGATAACTATTAATTTGACACAATATCAATTTCCTTTACTTATCGTGGGTCAGACAAAATGTATCATAACATCCACTAAAAATTTTGTATAAGTTATTTTCATAAAGTATAGCGCCGTGTTTTCTTTCCAGGATATCGTTAAAAGGTTTACAGGTTTTATATCTCACTTAGCATTAATACTCGAAGGCAGAAAACAAAAGACAAAGACACAAATACAATGCAATCGCCACATACAACCAAAAATGCCAAAGACCTACTCAGCGGGTCTTATTCAACAATGGCTGAAACGTGGTCTACAAGGAAGATCTTCTACCGCGCATACCGATCATTTAAAAAGTTGAAATGCGATACGAGGTTTAGTTTTTTTGTTGGTATAGCACTTTTTCAAAAGCTGTTGGTAGCTGACATTGTATTCCCCGTGGGTTAAGCAACTTTTTAACAATTCCCACACCAGTAATCTCTTTGATTTCACTACCAGCATGACGTAAATTTGATCTCATTTAATGATTCATCGTTCACTGATTCGATAAAAATCCAGCCGGAAATCGAATTTTTAAAAATAAATTCTGGACGTTTAAATTTTCTTGATGATGCTATCATTCTGGGGCTGATTTTTTTTGTTCTTATTTTTTTTATTTTCTTCCAGACGTATAAGTTGTTTGAAGCATGTGTTTGGTTCTACATGAACGACTTTGATTGCAATGGATAACAACTTGGTCACCCTTAAAAATTATCGCCTTAACTTCCTTTGCGTTTGTTTCGAGTCTTAACCACCTTTCTGCTGAGTCAACGCTGGCTGACGAGCTGGTTTAATATTTGCAAATACAATCGACAAGCACATATGCGACGAGGAGTGAAATAAATTCCCCTGATCTAAGTATTTACCCGATCCACTTCCGGACGCAGAAGAATCTTCCACTTCCTTGTCTTCGCTATCTCCTTCCGTTTCTGTTAGCTTGTCGTTTGGTTCCTCTTTCTGTTTCAAGACAGATTTTCCTTCAACAGTCATCAGTGTCAGAGCCAACAGGCAAGCGATTAACAGTAGCGATCCCTTCATGATAACCTGTAAAAGCATTAAAATAGCCAAGGAAAATACTTAAAAGAAAAGCTTCCCGCGCTTCTTATTTTCTTTCTCAGACTTAGATGGCAAGACCTGAAAGGATAGTTTTAAATTCTCTTCTCGCGTTTGAACTGAAATGCAAGCTTGGTTTAAAGATTTGAAAACAAAAACATGATAGCCTATATCACAGCTCGAGCGATATGATTTGCTAAACAAATGACGAAACAGGATCTAAGTGTCGCCGGTACACAAAACCCATACCATAAATGTATTGCACAGATGACTCAAAAGGAGATTGAATATATTGCACCTTTTCTATATGTCGTTGCTCCTTGGCCGTCACCCGCAAAGCGTAATGAAAATTTCCGGAAAGCTTCGAGGAGTAACTATATGAACCGTCGCCTTACATAATTTATTAATTATTACACGGGTAGTGTTTTGTCCTTATGAATTGTAATTGTTATCCTGGTTTGAAAGATCGAATATTTTACTTCTAACACGCGTAATCACAAATGTGATCATCGCTTAACTTTCTGAAAACGTATTTCGTAACTATAAAGTTCACGTTCTTAAAATTTGTTGACAGGCCTTAAAAAAACTTTTCTTACGATATCATCACAAGTTATTATTCCGTAAGATAAGCAACGACCAGGTCACAAGTATTTCAAGGTGACAATGTTCTTTGCATTTTCTAAATAAGGTCGGCCGATTTGTGCCCTACAAGTCAAGTGAATTTCTTCCTTTCTGAGGCAATAAAAGACATCTTGACCTTTTTTTGACGGTTTTCCACGCCTTGAAATTACCAGGTGTAGAAAAATACAGTTTTTTCTGAGGAGAGCAGTCATTTCACATTATGTGGGTGTTTCTTTCAATCGGCTTTCTTCATATTTGTCGTTGATTAGCTCACCCGCTCTACAACCGGGGGAAGTAATGAGGAGATGTGTGTTTTTTTATACTTGCTCGGCTGTGGAAGTGATTGCTGTTTGAAATAAAGTTCAGTCCAGTCTTAGTTTTCATCAAGTCCTGTCTCGTTTTTTATCGATTCCTGAGGAAAATATAAATTTCTTTTGTATTCGTCACTAACGATTGTGTTGGAATATAACAACCTGCTCTCTTTTGTCAAGTCGCCTTGTGAGTCAGGGCAGTTGTGTATTCGAAATACCTCTTGCGTATCGGAATACGGAAATCGTTTGTACATCGGTGTATAACCTCCTGCTACAATTTTGTAGAACGAGAAAATTTAGAGTTTTCAAACACTTATTTCCAGATATTTCTACAAATGGGACAATTTCTCAACCAGCCATTTTGAAGTGGCAACAAAAAAAAAGCCCTAAAGGCCAGCGCTCGTCGAATGTTACAAAAAATCTCGTTACTAAGCTTTTAAGCTTAAGAAAAACTTTTAAAAAACCTCTCTTAACTACGAAATAGCGTCTTAGTAATGTGTACCATGTCTTATAAAGAATCTCTAAAATGCTAGCAATTATGATACATCCCATTTTTGGGGTCTCTTCAGTGAGTGTTTGCGTGGTCAGGTCATGAAATGGATCAACGATTTTTCAATCGTCTACAAAGATTTATTGAAGCGATCAAGCCAAGGGACTTGGAATATTTTCGATAGGGAATGCAGACACGGTGAATGAACCCTATTTTGCTTCTAGATCAACATTTTGGGTTGATGACTCCCCCAACTGACGTAAAAAAAAAAATTTTAAAAAAAAGCTCTGGCGTAGTTTTTAGAGGTTCAAAATGAAAACAACCAGCTGTGGCTTATTCCTTCTAAAACCGGAGATTCTCCTGAGAGGCCATAATTAAAAAAACACAGATCTGGAAATCTTGGCCATCCTGTGTAGTGCATGGTATGTTTGTCCTATACCATAGCGAAACGATCTCTCCCCTGACGAAAACCACGCACTGGAGCTTGTCTGTTCTTCATTTAGCTATGTCAAAAGAGTGCCGCATTACGCTTAACGTAATTCTTTATCAGCGCGCGCAAATTGGCATTTATCACGTAATTAATTAGCTGAACGCAATACACCTCAAAGTTCATCCAAAGGAAGAGAGCTTGTGTTGGAAAAACTGTCATCTAAAGAGCATAAATATGCCCTCTTTTATCGAGTTAGAAAGGCTTTTGAACTTTGCACTCTCCTCGCCAGAGGTGGGGACCGTAAATTTTAACATTTTGCGCATGTTTCTTCAAGAAATACTACGGCATCTTGGCATTGAAAACAAAGCTATCGACATTGACACACTAGGAGAGGAACACAAAAGTGCTATTGACTTTATCAAGGATGGAGTCCTTTCTTTCGAAGTCTTTCAAGTCGAAGAAACTCCTGAAATGATGGTGGGACCTGAAGCCGAATCCACGACTCTATTTCAAAGCAATACAGAGCAAGAACAAGAGTCTCCTCCTCCATCAGCCTTAGATGCGGAGCAGAGAGAAGGAGAACAGTTGACGAGTGTTGAAACTGATCCCACAGAAGAAAGTAAATTGGATGCATCGATTACAGAAGGAGAATTGAGCATTGCTCCTCCTAAATCAGAAGATCTTCCAGTTAAAGATCAACCGCCCTTAACCCGAAGCTCCGTTTTCTCACCTGGAGGATCAGATTCGCTGAACAGCCTAAAAAGGAGGGTTTTAGAACTCCAAGGACGTGTAGAATTTCTTGAGTCACACCCCCCTCCCGCTGTTCCTGATCCCGTTATATCGGTGGCTTCCTTAGTGAGGAAGGAGAGCAAGACACCCGCTCATGACTTTGTGGAGTTGGTCAACATAAAGCGGACGCTTGAGGCGTCAGAAAGTTCTCTGGAGGGCTTAACAGAAATGGTAGATGCCTTAGCGTCTGATCTGAATGAACTGAAAGAATCTTTGCCCAAAGTCCATAAGACCTCAAGTGATCTGCGCTCTGATATGGAGGAACTGCGGAAATCTCTGAATGCTATGAAAGAGGATAAAGCAGGGAAAGAGGAAGGGGAAAAGGAAGGGGAAAAGGAAGGGGACACGATATCAAATATGGAAAATACTGAGCAAAGAATGGATGGATTTGAAAGTGTGCTGGCAAACTTGAAAGAAGCCGTTGCTGAGATTACTGAAAATGTGAAAGATCACTCACAAGTAACAGATCCCAAGGGGCAGGAAATGCTTGACGCTCATGAAAAACAGCTTCAGGGATTGAAGGTTCACATTGAAAAAGTAGAAGGTAAACTGGATGGAGTGAGTTCTAAGTTAAGTGGAGCTGAAGAGGCTGCAGCAGACACCCTGACTAAACTTGAAGTGTGTGGTGAGGAAATCAACGAAATCAAAACCAAACAAGAAACTTTGGGTGAAGAGTTAAAAAATCACAAATCACAAATTAAAGACAACGAAATGCAAATTCACCAGTTAAGAAACTCGATGACGCTGATGAAACGTGAAAACACTGAGCGGGCGAATGTAGAGGCTGCGGACAAAGAGAAAGGTGAGGAAAAATCTCCTGCACAGCCTGAGCGTATAGAGGGCTCCTTTTGAGTTGATTTATTACAATAACAAACCATATCAAGCTTGTTAAGTCCAAATGAAAACTTATCGACATCAAAGGGAATCATGTAACCCCGCACCCTTCATCCCTTATTTAAACTCTGGATAATGATTGTGTTGAGCCAATCCATAACAGTCATTGCATTGCATAAGATACATCTATTATATTAGGTTATAAAAATGCCTGCCTTTCAGGAAGTTTAAAACAGTTAGGGTGCAAAATATTCAGTTAGCCGTGCACACCCTTGAAAAACATCATTTGCTGACAGTTTCGTTCTACTCTAAGAAGTTAAGTCTGTTTTCACACTTATTGCAGCACGAAAGTCAACGACAGTGTCCTCTACGTTATTGCCATGATGTTAAAGAAATAAAAAGCGCGCCGAGTGCATTATTAAGTTCTATAAGCACTCGGGAATTTTTAAGAACACTCGAGAAGTGCGGAGAAGCACGAGCCGAAGCCGAGTGCTTCTCGCACTTCTCGAGTGTTCTAAAAAATTCCCACGTGCTTATATAACGCAACAATACTCGAGGAACAAGTTTTGTTATTTCTTTTATTACACCCATTCTGAAATCACTGGTGGTACCTGTAATCTGATTGGCTCTAATTGGTGCGATTTATTCATGAATCACACCATTTTTGCTTTAAATCACATCTTTTTCCCAGTAAGTGAGCAGGCCACACTTAAAACAAAACAACCAATCAGATTTCAAGGCTTGTTTAAAGTAACCAGTCAGATTGCAGGAAAATGATAGACAAAGAGTATCGTATGGCAAATTTTGCTACTTTTGTTTCCAAAACTCTTACTTTCCCCCTCAAAAAATGGATAAATTTAATTTCAAACCAGCTCAGTATTGCATCAATAAAATATTTAAAGTGACCAAGTCCTGTATTTGGGCGATTTCAAAATGGATGTAATAAAGTGGTAATTGAACCTCGTGTCGTGCAATTTTTGTCGGAAATCATACTTGTGATTTGAAATCGAACTTGCGCTGCACGCTCGACCGATTTTGAAATCACGCGTATTATTTCAGCCCAAATTGCACTCCACTCAGTTCAATTACCATTATCTATAAAATGTATCGTGAATTGCGCGCGCTCGTACCGATGACGTAGGCTGCGTGCATTATATCTCAACAGTGCACTCGTGTGACGTAAGGCGCGTGCTTTATGGAAATATAATGAACTCGTTCTAACCTATCACGTCGCGTGCATTTCTCTGAATATTTTATAATTAACATTAAACACATCCTCCACGTACCGGATTATGATGTACACTTCATAATTATTCGCTGAAGGCGAGTTGAAAATTGAGTTCGTCGAGAATAATTACAATAGTGTGCTAAATCTCATAAAAACTTCCGATTTTTTATTTTGTTTAAGAGGAAGAAAGAGAACATAAGTCGGAAACTTCCACGTACAGGCGCCGCGCGTACAGCGTCGATCGACAAGAATTGAGTTTGATCCGTACCATGATATCTGAGTTACAAGAGGAAAAAGAAAAACTAAAACAGACCGACATCCGATTGAATGACGAGCTTTACAGGAAACAGAGGCATTTGGACGACCTTTATAACATTGTTGACGAACTGAGAGACGTGAAAGTCGACAAAGAACTGCTTAATATGGGATTTGAGTTGAAAGCTGATAAAAAAGACGTGGAAACCAAGATTGGAAGGGAAGACTTTGAGCACTGCATAGGTCTTGTTGATCAGTCCTTAAGAGATTTGCTGCAAAGATTAGAAGGCCACGTAAGTTTGATGTAATATTTCGTTTGGTCAGACCTATTGTAAGCAAACAGGCATCCCGGTAGGGGAGGCTTGTCGATATGCAATCTTGTGGAAAAAGCCGGGATCAGAATGGTGTTGAAGTTTGGTGTTCCTGTTTGTCGGGGTTTATGCTATCAATACCGCGCTTGTCTTGTATTACCATATATTTTTTTCTGATTTAACATGTTTAGTCAGTCAGCCAGTCACTCGGTAAATTGGTCCTGCTATCAGTTAATGGGTTGATACGTCCGCCAGCAAATCGCTTGGTCTGTCAGTCACCCAGTTGGTCAGCTAGTCAGTCAGTCAGCCAATTGGTCAGTCGGTCAGCTGGTCAGTCAGTTAGTTAGTTAGTCAATCAGTCAGTTGGTCAGATGGTCAGTTGCACAGATGGTCAGTTGGTCAGATGGTTAGTTAGTTAATCAGTCACTCAGTCGGTTAGTTGGTCAGCTGATTAGTCAATCAGTTGGTCTGTCAGTCCGTCAGTCGATTAGTCAGTCGGTCATTTGGTCAGCTGGTCAGTCAGTTGGTCAGTTGGTCAGTTGGTCAGTTGGTCAGTTGGTCAGTCAGTTGGTCAGCTGGTCAGTCAGTTGGTCAGCTGGTCAGTCAGTCAGTCAGTTGGTCAGCTGGTCAGTTAGTCAGTCAGTTCGTCAGTTGGTCAGCTGGTTAGTCGGTCGGTCAATCAGTCGGTTGATTAGTTAATCAGTTGGTCGATTAGTTAATCAATTGGTCGGTCAGTCAGTGAGTCTTCCAATCAGTTCATAAGTCAGTCATCCAGACATTGGATGTGTTGAGCGTGGGTAAATCATCCAGTCATTCATCCAGTCATTAAGCGGGCCAGTCATTTAGTCAGTTGGCCAGTCAGTCAGTCGGTAAGTCTGACTGACTGTCTGTCATGGATCGGTCGGTCGGTCGGTCGGTCAGTCGGAGAGTCAGTCCATGAGTCATTTGGCTATGCACTTGATTCGAGTTAAGAGGAATAGAAAGTTGAGCGTTATCTTTCCCATCTAGGAAAACGCGCTGAAATTAGCCATAGAAGCAATCCACTCAGACGTGGGCAAGAAACTCGACAAAGAAGAAGTTGAACCCTTGAAGCGTTACCTAGAGTCGCGAATGGAATTTATGAAACCAAAACCGGTGGAAAGACCGCCCCCAGAAGAATTGGCAGCAGGGATCCGAAAGCGGTTCCTAGTGAATCACAACTGTATATCATGTGACCGCCCTGTTAAATACGCGAGAGAGGAGCCTTTTCCCCCTCTACCAACCATACGCTGCATGCCGGGATCGAAGTCGACCCGTCCCTACACCACTTTCGAGCTGGAACAGATCCGACAGCACATGTTCCCAGGAGGACTGTCGATGACGAAGGAAAGGTTTGAACTGCTGGAGAAGCAACGCAGCAAGTTACAGAAAGAAATGTTACGACTTAGGTTGGTGCTCCCTTTCCATCTAACCCTACCGTGAAATTTTAAGCATGAGATTACCCAAAAAGTTTATTACAAATACTTTTACCACCTTATGATATCTATCTAATGAATGGATTACAGACATACTTACAGAAAGGAACTAAAATACTATTTTCCTGCGCAACTGTTGATCGGTCTGGTCACGCAACACGTTATCTGCACCTTACATGGTCACGCAACACGTCATCTGAAAACGCCTTGCGTTACGTGGCCAAACAACGGCTGCACAGGAGGCGCAACAATGCTGATTTAATAAACCTCTTAGCAGTAAGTCCTGATGGCCACCTAAACAACTGTACTGAGGCAATATTTCTCTGGGATTTCGTTTCAGAGTGAGGTGGTTCACGCAAAAAAACTTACTATTTGGAAAAAGACTTATACAGGTTTCAAACGCCAGACACTGAGACAGACTGGTCACGTCCGACAATTTTGATCAGTGGACTGATTTACCTCACATCCTTTATTTTCATTAGGAGGGTTTTTGTTGTGGACAAATATGACGACAGGGTAAAACATATTTCAAAACTGACTGAAGAAAACCGTAACAGTCATAGTTCTTCTACTTTGTTTTAATCATTAGTGGTGTTCACGATCTACAAGAATTGGCCGAGGCCACTGCAAGGGCCTGTGGAGGAGTCCATACCCTCACCTATCCCCAGAGTCAGTCGGTTGTTCGTGGACTTCAGCTTAACAAGGACGACTTGGACTTCCTCGTCCCGCAGAAAGATTTTCAACCGGTGGATATCTTAGGACAGGACGGACACATCTATAAGGGATTACTGGATTCCCTCCCTACGACACTTCCCCACATCCCACAAAAGAGCAAACCCTCCGGACTAAAAAATGCCCCAAGGAATGTGAGGAGGAGCACGACCCCGACTTCCCCTAGTCTTCAAAAACCTGTAAAGGACCAAATTGAAAGTTGCTAATTTAAACTGATTCTCTAAGTGACGATTTCTTTTTCGTTTGTAAACATTACTTAAGCAGAGCAATATTCATTATTCCGTAGCTTAGAAAAATCCTTCTTTGTGTTGTAAACGGTGCGCTTACTTATTCCAAGGAGGCAGAAATGCAACGGACGAAATGTAATTTTCGGTTTAAAAGTTCTTTGTAACCTGTTGATCAAAATAATCAAATACATCAGTGTCTTATTTAAAAGAAAATCCTTTTCATTATTTAACAAATTTGTAAGTTGTCAAGGTACGCTAAATTCAAACTGATGAACATAGAGTAGCCATCATCTTACTAACGATTAGAAAGTTTTGACAAGTGGATTGTGCGGATCATGTCCTTCCTTCAGAATTTTCAGAGAAAAATTGACTGTACCGTAACCTTGTGTTAGAGACCCCATTGAAATTACATCAACATGCGGTCCAAAATATTGCGCGATGTTCTCTATTGTAACGCCTCCACTTCCCTCAATCAGTAAATGCGGGAATTCTTTCTTCAGGACCTCAGCTGCTCTGTGAAGAGCCTTAGGCTCAAAGTTATCCAGCATAACAACATCAGCTTCTGCACTGGCAGCTTCTCTTGCCTCCTCGATGCTTCGACATTCCACTTCAATTTTGATTGAGAAACCTCCCACCTTTCTTGCGTTTTGTACGGCACGTGTGACGCTCCCAGCAGTCCAAATGTGATTATCTTTGAGCATGATCATGGAGGATAGATCATATCGATGGGTGGAAACACCACCGACCAAAAGTGCGTACTTTTCCACGATTCGAAAACCCGGGGTAGTTTTCCGAGTTCCCGCTATTTCTCCGTGCCAGTTATGGTCTTCCTTAAGTTTCACCAAACTCTTAGCCTTCGTCGCAATTCCACTCGCTCTTGTAATACAATTTAAGGCTACTCTTTCTCCCAGAAGAATCTTGTTAACTCTCCCAGTTACCTTTGCCACCGTGGTCGTGGGTTCAACTTGCACCCCTTCGGAGAACACCCACTCCACCTTGCACCCCAACTCACGGAATATTGCGTCGAAGAAAGGAACTCCCGCTAAAATACCCCTAGATTTGCACAACAATACTGCTGTTTCTTCACTTTCTCCCACAACGAAACCTCCATAATCAAAGCTTGGTGTATCTTCAGCTAACCACTGCTGAACGTGTTGTCGAAGCGAAGTTGGGTGAAGAAGAACATGAAGACGTTTGTCCGCCATGTTTGATTGAGTTGGTTACTAAGCCCCAAGCTTGGCTACCAAGCTAAGCTCTGCCAGGCTACCAAGTTGGGTTTTCTTTTTTTCCCAGGTGTCTCGACGGGACTTTAAACAACAAAATGGTGATCAGAGGGAAACTATCCGGCGAGTTGTTTATTTTTAACATTTTAAGTGTTTGTTTCACTTTAGTGGATTCAAACTTCAACGTGGAGGAAATATATGGTGTTAAGTATGGATTTCAGATTTCTAAGGAGCCAGTTCTCTTGAAAGAGGTAAGCTTTCAGAGAACTTTCTATCCGCCAATGGTGTAACGCAACGTTTGTCAATTTATTTTGCTTTGATAAGCTGCTTCGAACAAGGAGCGGGCACCTGCAGCTGCAGATGGAGAGACGTCGGAAGATTTTATTATTAAGCGGATTCCAATTTTTCACTTAAGATGTTTTGATTATCATTACAGTTTTTTTCATTGTGATCTGGATTAGCAGATCTTTGTACTTAAAGATGATTTATGCATTCTCTTACTTTTAATTAAAGTTAACACTTGGGTTGTTGTGATTGGTGCATAGCTAACAACATCTCTATCATAAAAATTGATCAGGATTTCATCGTATCATCGCAATAGTGAACGTTCTAAGTTCGGTTACCCTTTTACTCCCAAGATCTGATTGTTAATTCTGCTCTGTAGCTGCTACACATTTCCTTGTAAGTTAGTAACAAGAAGTGGGTTTTATATGAAGGTAACAACTTGTACCTGATATGTTTGAGTATTCTCATTACCTGTTTGCATGATAATGTATGAATATTACAGGGAGAAGTTACATGTTAATCACTTCTGGGAGTTAAAGGGTTAAGGAAATCAGCATAACTTTGTCTTGGATTTGAATATTTTATTAATATCTATTAATAAACAGATCACTGCCCAGCTTGTGTGATGTGATTATGAATTTATTCTCATTTGCTTTTTTCTTTTGTGAGTAATATTGTCAACACTTGAAGATAAAATTTGCATCCACATGTGAATTTTCATCATTCACACAATACATGTCCGCTTCTCTGGAAAAAACATTATCTATTGTTTTTGTAAGTTAGAAAATAATGTTGTAAATAATGTCACATCTATTTCAGAGTTCAGAACTTGGAAATACAGTGTTATTATCATCCAAGCATGGACAGCAATATCAGTGTGTTCTACCAAAGCTTGAGAATTTAGATAAAAAGGATGAGGATATCCAACATATATCTAAAGATGAAATTCCTCAGCTTCTAGAACCAATAAAGAAAAAGTGTTTGTATAATGTAAGTGCTTGTATGCCTTCTTGAAACTATTTGTACATTAGGATAGAGAAGCCATCTGGTGTAATAATTGTAATTAGAAAACAATTTACAAGAATTTCAGTAACTTTTTCCATAAATAGCTTCAGATGGTGTCGTAGGTGGCTGTGCCGTAAGGCTGAATCCCAAGCACAAGGGCTTACTTGAGGTCTTATGAGTGGTTGTAGATTGCAGGTATCAGGCTTTTATTAAAATTGCCAGGTTTCTGGGCTTGATAAGCTCACATTTTAGAGCACGGTACTGCCGTGTGGGACATTACAGGCTCAAGCCTCATACCAGACCAACACTCAGGGTGTTAAAATAACTAAGAGAATGTGCTGCCTTTACTTTGCAGTCAGCAAAAGATTAGACATTCTAGTCTTCTTGGGATAAGGACTAAAAGCTGTAGGCCCCATCTCCTGCCTCTACTCTGTACTGGTTAGCAGGGGACATTAAAGAGCTCACGCTCTTCTTGCAAGAGAAGGGAATGTAGTTGCGGGTGTTGTAGTCTGGCCTTGTCGTTGTTTATACAGGCCTCCATTTAACCAGCTTCAAGCTGAACTTGGCCAGCCTGTCTAAATATTGCAAATACTTACATACATACATTAATTGAGAGGGTACTTAAGTTGACAATCTGTGTACAAGGCTGATTTGAGTTTAGATGAGGTTGGTCAGAAATTTCACAAGAAAATTTTTAATGGATGACAATGTATAACTAGAAATGTAAAAAATAGGGCTTGGCTTCTTAGAAATTTAGATCCATGTTTCTCTGATTAGTTGTTTGTTCATGTCAGACAACTTGAAGCCATTTCAGGAAATAGTTGAATATTTAAAGTTAATCAGGAAGTACTGATAAAATTAAATATTAAATTGTGGAAAGCTAATATCAGTCAAAGTAATTGTTTTCTCATAATATCCTCCAAAATTCAATTGTGTTGAATGAGAAGGACAGTAATTTAAATGAAGATTTTGTATTTGTATTAGAAATTAAAGGAGGTGAATCATTCTTTATTTGTGTTGAAAAGAAAATCAATAATTTTGTTAATCATGAATTCAACCCTTTAACCCCTAAGATCTGATTATTAATTTTCCCCACGAGCTGCTATACAATTCCTTGTAAATTAGCTACAAGACTTTGGTGTAAGATCAAGATGACAACTTCTACCTGTTAAGTCTGAGTATTCTCATTAACCGTTTGCTGGAAACATACTGATATAATATGGAGCAGTTAGATGTTAGTCACTTGTGGGAGTTAAAGTTTTAAGTACATGTATTAATTGTAACTTACTTGTAAATGTGTGTATGCTTCCCTTTTTTTATAGAATAAAGGATGGTGGACATATGAAGTATGTTTTGGAAAAGGAATTTACCAGTATCACATGGAAGGTCAGAATGAGCACCAGGCAGCTCACATGTGTACATGTTTCATTTATTTTGTTTATTGATTTTGGGTCGAATTTGCTTATTTTAAGTAGCACTTGTATTAATTATTATATATTCATCAAAAAGTATCACCTTTTCATTTTCTTAACACCTTTTCCTGGAAAAGGAGGGTGATATTATAATGTCACAAGATTATCGCAATGTCTGCAAGGCCAAGGATTTCAGCCTCTGAAACATCACACATTGAGATGGCTTGAATAAATCAAAACTGCAACACTTATCAAATCCAACCTTATAAACTTTAAGGGATGCCTGATAAAAAGCCTCAAGTGACCTCTGATAAGTGTACTGCTAGATTTTCCTTTGAAATTGGTCTGTGTTCCTTTAAGAAACACAGGAGAAGTTTATTTTGTATTGAAAGTCACTTAATACATCCCTTCAGTGAACCTTTTTATCATTACAACAGGAGTTGGAATGTGATGGAGTGGTGTTGTTGCATGCTTTCTTGAAAATCTCCTCTGAACATAAACCTCTTAATAAAGAAGGATTGTCAAGCATATCAATATTTTCTAACCAAATAGGTGTTTCTCCATTTCAGCAAATAAGGTTGTTGGTGATAAAATTTCCTTGGGAGTATTTAGTAATGAGACTGATTGGAGTCAGGAGAAAATATACCTTAGAAAGGTAAAAACTTTTATGGATGTTGAATGAATTGGTTAACAACTCTGTTCAATCTCCATTTACAAATGTTTGGCCAGTCTTTAAATCTGCTTCTAATTACAGCTTTAATATAGCACTCCAAGGGGCCATTGTTATGGTTCCCTTTGCATGTGAAAAAAAGTTTTCATTTGAAATTTAAATAAAAAGTGGCTAATCTGGCAATCTGTATTTTTGACCATGTTAGTAGCAATTCTTTGTTTTTTCTATCTTGGTGTTAATGGTTTAAAATTAGAGCATGATGCACAGAAGTACATTGTTATGGTATATTTTAACAGACAGTAAAATCCCACAAACTTGGACAGCTACTTTATTAAACAATTATTCTTATTTAGGAGTGACTACAATAGACAATAAATGATTATCCTCAATAGGTCCTCTATAGATTACGCCTTAGCTCACCACTGACACAAACCCACACTTATCTCCAAAGTTCCTTGAAATGAACAATCTTTCACAGTGGCTCCCTCTCTTGGTATAGCATTCCAAACAGTCTGTTCTAGAAGGTTCCATGGTATGCAAGTCAGCATGTGTAAGACTAAGTGCTTTCTCTCTTTTTTCCTCCAGGAAAAACCAAAACCAGGAAAAAGTTCAGTGGCTAAAAAATATCATTCCCAGTATTATGTGAATGGTACTCAGTGTGATTTGACAGGAAAAGAAAGAGAAACACAAATTAAGGTACTGTAGCTGCAGTATTTGTCACTTTGGTTTAAATTGTTTACCTCTATTTCTTCTTTCTTTTCCTTGATTGATTTTAATCTTCATCCCCCTTGCTAGCTCTTCCCTTCCTTTTCCCTTCCTTTTCCCTTCCTTTTCCCTTCCTTTTCCCTTCCTTTCCCTTCCTTTTCCCTTCCTTTTCCCTTCCTTTTCCCTTCCTTTTCCCTTCCTTTTCCCTTCCTTTTCTCTTCCTTCTCCCTTCCTTTTCCCTTCCTTTTCCCTTCCTTTTCTTTCCTTTTCCCTTCCTTTTCCTTCCTTTTCCTTCCTTCCTTCTTCCTTCCCTTCCTTCCTTCCTTCTCCCTTCCCTTTCCCCTTCCTTTTCCTTCCTTCCTTTTCCTTCCTTCCTTTTCCTTCCTTCCCTTCCTTTCCTTCCTTTTCCCTTCCTTTTCCCTTCCTTTTCCCTTCCTCTTCCCTTCCTTTTCTCTTTCCCTGTGTAAGCTTTCTTTCTGCCATTTATGTATTGTTTTCTGCTGTCTTTATTTTGGAATATTTCTTTTCCCCCTAATTCTTTCATTTCTGTGTTCCCACAGTTTCTTAATTTCTTGATTCTATCATCTCAAAGTATGCCTCTTCTACAGTTCATCCCTTCCCTTTTTCTGCTTTTACCTTCATTTATTCGTTTTTTATTCTTATATGTTCCTCTGCTCCTCAATTTCTCTGTCTCTGCAGGGAAACCAAGCTGTCTACTTGTTTTCCTCATTCTGTTGTGTTCATTTTTAACTCGTGAATTGCGCGCATGCGCAAGAGCGAGTTATAGATACGATGTGGGGAATGGCATTCGCTCGATTGGTCGATTCCTGTAAACTTTTTTTAGATTTTAGGCTTTTGAGTGCATTTGATAGTTTTTGGCGAGCAATAAACAGACGAAATGGCGACCTTTGTTGCTAAGAATAGTGGTGGGGTGAAAAAGAAGCCAATGATAATCTTAAAAGAGTTTTTTTTTTCGTTTTAGTTTCAACAAGCGGCGCCAGCGACTGGCAGGCATGCAAGGATTCACACTGAAATAACAGAACAACCTTCGTTTTTCATAAAATTGTAATTTACAATCCTTGAACTTGAAAAAAATCCGAAGATTCATTGAAAATATCACTTACTGCGAAGCGCTCGGAGTTTACAGATGTTCAAAAGCTTTTTCTGTTATAGCATGAGATTGAGGACAAAATTGATCGTTACGTTTCGTTGCGTGTGTTTTTCCTGTGTGAAGCAACAGAAGATGCCGGCGACTGACGAAATAACAAGTTAACACGAAAATCAAATAACACCTAAACAAACAATTTTAGCTACCGATTTTCAGTGAATTTTTAAAGAACAATTTTCTTTTAAGTTTCAAGACAATTTGAAGATTCAACATACATACAACGTACTAAAATGCAAAGTTACACACCACGAAATTGATAAATAGGCCTGAAATGAAATTCTATCTTGTTATTGATTATACGTTGCCTAGCACGTGACTTAAATCTACCCAGGCGGAGATCCAAAATGACGGTGGCAGGCCTGGCTTAGTTATATCACTCAAAACTCGTTCCTGTTTGTCTCATTTGATAAAGAGGGAATCGTTAATGTTTTCATTAAGACAGTATTGCCTTGATTTTCTAATATTTACAACGAAAGAAAGTAAATTTCACTTTTCACCCACATTTACTTCCAACCTTTTCTTTTGAACCAGAAACAAAAATGATAGACGTTTAAAACACATGACATCATCCACCTTGTCAAATGTAATAGCATGATCATTTCAATTGTAATGCCTTCTTATCCCAACGTTACTTTGTTTCTTTGCTACATTAGCGAACACTGAACTACTGCTCGTACTCTAGATACGACAATCAATTCCCTAAACCAGATAACATAAAACATAGTCTAAAAAATCATGTGTCAATTCACGAGTTTGCTCACAGAGCACTTTGATGTTAAATGCTTCCACATTCCTTGGCTCTTTGTGAGACTCTCTGTTTTCATAATTACTTTCTTGTTTTCAGATATTCTGCGACGAAGATAGAGCAGATTTTGTAGTAAGAGTGGATGAACCGTCGTCCTGTTCCTATGTGATCACAGTACACACCAACAAGCTTTGCAAACACAACTTGTTCAGGTCCTCCCAAGTACAGGAACCCCAGTCTATTACCTGCTCTCCAGCATTATCAGAGGAACGATATAAAATTTATGTAGAAAGAGTCGGTGAGTAGTTTCAATCAGGGAACTTTTTTCAGAGTAAGTGTGTCAACGTTGTGTAAGTCGTTTGAAAATAAGATGTGCGGCATAACCGAAGCTGATGGCATCCCATTGCTACTCTTGTGATGTTTTATCTTATAAATTACAGAATCACGAAAAAAGGCTCAAGAGGAGGCCAAAGCTGCCAAAGAAGCTGAAAACAGAGCTCGAAAAGCAAGAGCTGTAGAGAAAGTAGAAGGTGAAGATGAAATAGAGGACGATGATGAAGAAGTCTTTGATACAAAGAATACGAGATCAAAGCGAAGCCAAGTGTGGCCATGGGAAAACCCTGGAGTTGAAAGTGAGGATGAGGTTTGGATTGATGGAAAAATCGAGCAGGACAAAATTGATGTGCACAGATTGGACATTACAAAGGGGCGCAAGAAAAATGCAATGGGACATCTTGAAAGTGAAGGTATCACCATCATGAGTCAAAAGATACACAGGAAGAGACAACCTGTCATGGAAAGGTAAATGTAATGAGCTGATACAATCTAATGCTCGTTACTGATTCTCTTACAAATTTTTTGAATGCGTTTTGTGAGAGATCCGGCCCTTTATTTTGCCCATGTTAGTTTGAAGGGTGTGGATGCGGCATGTCCATGTTTAAGTTAGAAAGAAAGTTTCGGTCTTCTTTGCGAACCTCCTTGGCTTTTTTTTGGAAAGACATGTACCATCTCAGATTTTGATCTTTGATCTGAATATTAACTACTGTAACTGTTGAATATGGGTGTCGTTATAGCACATTCTTAATTTTAGAGGGAATCTCCTTCTTACTTCTACAGCAGGTCCTTATTTCGCTATTTTCTTACAGACAAACAGGAGACGCTGAAGAGAAAGAAGAAAATCCTGCCGAAGATGAAATGAAAGAAACGCCGGATAAAGAAGAATCAAAGGAGTCAATTGAGGGGACGGAGAAAAGTATCGAGAAAGAGGAAAATGTTGACGGTAATGAGATGGAGAAGGCTGTTGAAGGAGCTACTGAACAAAACAACAAACAGGGGGTTAAGGGAGATGAAGGTATTCCAGCGGAAGGAAAGAAAGAGGAGGCCATTGATGTGGTCAGCAAAGAAGGTGGAAAAGAAACAACTACAACAGAGCAAAGTTTGGATGAGGAATGGAGAAATAAAGTGGATGAAGAAATTCTTAAACTGAGATCTACTTTGAAAGAGAAATTAAGCAAGTTTGGTTTCAATCCTGAAGGTGAATTATGGTAGATTTTTGTGATTAGAATTATCATCCATCCACTTTTTTGTTAGCTTGTATGGGAACTCATTCGCATCACTAAAACCGATTTTAAGCTTGAGGTTTACATCAAGAACAAATTGCAAAAAGAAACGCTGATCTTGTTCATTTCTCGTAGTAGATTTAGCAGAAATATTGAGCAAATCTGCTACTTTCCTAAAATTCAATTGTTTTTACATCTAAATGAACAAAGAGCCGGAAGAAGACGGCAGAAATTTAAATTCTTTCATTGCCTTTTTACGTAAAGAATCATTCTAATTCTTTAGATTGAGCCGTAGTCTAGTGCGCTAGCAAGGTGTTTGTCGAAGCCAGTCAGGTGTCAAAATAATGGGCAAATCTGCGAAAGTTAGTCCAAACTTTTCCAATTGATTATCTCATTCTATGGCTCTTTGCCGTCACATATACTCATCGTCCTTCCAGGGTTATTTGTGTCAGTCGTTAGCGAATACCGATCTAGTTTGGATAATGTTTTACTTCAGTCTGTATTTTCTGTTCCTCGTCGATGGTCAAATCTTGAAGATATGTTTTTTTTCGTTATGGCCTTCAGCACCTTATATTTTTGTACCTTTACTTTTTTTTTTGACTGACAGTGTTGGATAAGAAATTCGAGGAGAAATTTGGAAGTGTGGGAAACCGAGAAAAGGGGAAGGATGCTGCCGACAGTCAGATTGGAACAGAAAATCATGAAGATGAAAAAATTGATGAGAAAGACGAAAAACTTGAAGGTGAGGATGAGGATGAAGATGAAGATGAAGATGACGATGAAGACACGCCACAAAAGGAACAGCAGAAGTCAAAGCCTAACATAAATTTCTTTGCGGAATCACTTAAAGAGTTTCAGAAGGTTTGTTCTTTGTTTCCTCACCCATCAGCTCCCAGAAGCGGTTCACAGTTTCAATGGTTATCCCGCAAATAAGTGATGAGAGTGGACTAGCTTATCGGGTTGCGTTATCTTGATGCAACACCAAATTCTCTCAAGTATTGTACAATGAAATGTTTTGTAGCCTGTAGGGAGAATAAGAGACTACTCAGCTTTTTAGAATCAAAGGTTTAAAAAGCTAAATTTGATGCCTTTAAATGGCAAATGATAGCCCTTATTCATACAGGGTCGACTCGTAAATATTTCTTTGGAAAGTTATGCTTTTATGCAATTTTTTTTCTGGAAATAAGACATTACTCTTCTACAAAGAATCGAAACATTTTTCTAACTGTTTAAGCTAGCTAGAAGCTACAGCTTTTCATGAAATAACTGAGATACTGCCGGCGCTCTGATCGGTCAAAAACCTTTTGATCGTTTACTGCACTGGTAAACCCACTGAAAATTGAAACACGCTGTGTTTTGTTTTAAGTTTATGTCATAACAGTAATAGACCGCACTTTCTACCGGTTTACCGTCGCTATATTGGAAGAACACGAGAAAAGTATGTAAATCACTCGCCGGATCTCCTTTTTTTTCCTAACATTCTGCGTGAGTTATTGCGCCTGTGAACCGATAGAAAGTTCCGTCTCTCGCTAAAATAGCCCGATTGACTCAATTCGTTCTATTGTTGACAGCTTTTTAGCGGGGGCATGATGAAGAATTTGTTAGAAGCTGCCTCTGTAATGCAAGCTGAGTTGGAAAAACAGTTTTACGAAGAACGCGCTCGAATGAAGAGTGAAGTTGAAATCGTTAAGACAAAGATACAACAGATCGAGGAGACAAATGGTGGGAAAGACGAAGAGCTTGCCAAAACATTGAGCAAGATAAAGGATTCCATTGAACGTTTTGAGAAAACCAACTTGTAAGTTACCAGGAAATAGATTTATAATGTAATAATTGAAATGCCAATGGTCGAATTGTTGTTTTCGTTATTTATGGTTTACTTTGTGGTCGGTCGGTCGGTCGTCGTTTTTGCAGTCAATCGCTCAGGCATCTAGTCGGTCAACAACTCGTATGGCATTCTCCCCTAGACAGTTTATTGTATCAGATTCACCTTGTTTGTGTGACAGTAAAATAATAATGGTTGTTTCTACTTCCCACGTTTGATATCAAGTTGAATCGATCAGCATCTCCGAGCAAATTAACTTCCTTTGAAAACTGTTTATCTCTTCTTTGGTGGTTACTTGTATGATTCTCACAATATGTCAGCATGTTTATGCGTCAATGTTCTAGAGAAAAGTTCAATCTTAATTCAAATTCGTGTTCTTATCTCTCTTAGGCAACTAGATGATGACATGGAGGCAATCAAAGAACTCAATAAAGAGATATTCAATATGATAGGGAGTAAAGATAAACCAGCCGCGAAAGGCGACTTGCTAGAACTTTCTCTTAGGAGCAACAAACTTTTGAAGAAAATTCTTTTGCGGCGATTCCAGCTGGACCAAGACTTAGATTATATCACAAAAATGAGAGGAAAAATTTCTGGTGACAAAGATGCCGAGGAGGAGTCGAAGGATAAGGCGCAATTTTTGCCAACGAAAGGTGGTATTGATAAAGTGGTGAACAAGTTGAAAACTATGATCCAAGATCTGGACGTGAACAGTAAAGTGAATGCAAAAGCTGCAGATTTTGGGGATGAAGGCAGTACGGAAATAAACTCTGCCAGTTCTACAATTGACGACGTTGACGAATTAAAGTCATCAGAATCGTCTGATGAGAGCGACACGAAAACAGGAGTCAAAGTTAAAGTGTCAAAGGTTAAGAAAGTATTCGTTGGCGACGATGAAGACTCCGAGATGGAAGAAGCAGATCTTGACGATGAAGAGATGGAAGAGTTAGGTCTCCAAAAGCGAATTCGTATGGCTACGAAGAAAATGGAAGAACTTGTCAAACAGCAGCTGAAAGACTCAGGAGTGTTGCCTTCAGGTATGACAAACTTAATTAGAATTAAGAAAATACTTGAAGATCTGTAATGTTCTTTGTCTGCAGCCAGTGCTTGGACATGCTGTAGTTTCTTCAACTCTTTCAATCCCAAGAATGTCCAGAAAGGAAAGATGATGAGGAGACAGAAAAACAATAACCAGGAACATTGTTTGATTTAATACTACATTCTCCAAACTTAATACTTTTCATCTTGGTAGTGAGTGGGTTGATGCTTTCCTTGCGACCTTGCGAAGTGGAAGGAGCTACATCATGATATTCATTTGCTTTGGGGGGGGGGGGGGGTACTCACGAAGCTACCCAACACTTCAAGGACACTGCAAAATAATACATCATTTATTTGAAGAAATAATTAAAAAGGAATGAAGAAGGTTAACCATATTATAATTGATAACGCACTTAATAAAGTGGAGATGTCCAAACAGTAACGTGTTTTCTTCACTTAAGTATAAATCTTGACATGTAGTGTAATCATGTTTAGGCAAGATAAAAGTCAAGATCGTAACATCCAAAGACGCTCTGGAGAAAATGGAAGGCAAAAGCGATATGAAGTTACTCAGTGACGATGAAGAAAATCAATTTAAAAACATGATCCTTGGTCTATTGGTGAGTTAAGAACACGAAACATTTTAAAAATAGTACAAATGAACGAAAAAGCGTCCAATTTTCAATTTTCGGTTTCAGGCACTGATCTGTGTCTGTTGATAACGACGCACAAGCGGATGAGCTGTTATACCGGTTTCGAAATAATGGAGAGCTTTTAAACAGTTTATAATCTCTTGAAAAGAAAAAGGAAAAAAAAAAAAGATCTGGCATATATCCCCGTTCACAAGAGTGACAAATGATGCACGTCATTCCTTTAAAAGTAACGTACCAGGTGTAACTGACTTCTCCCTGTTTTTGTGGTCGAACAGTCACGTGTTCATATTCTTTGCTAGACTTTCAATCGGTACATTAGTACCACTTAGAAAATCGACAGTTTGAATAAATAAGTTTTTGAAGGTTATACCGATATATTTTAATTGAACCTCATTGGTCAATTTTCTTTTCCTAATCTCTCAGGGAGGTAGTCCTGACGCTGGGAAAGAAAGAAAGCGTCAACAAGACTTGGAAAACAATTACAATTTAGTTTGGAATGAGGACGAGCTGCAGACAGTGCCGAGGGAAGATGATGAAGCAGATGGGGAAGTGGAAGTAGAATCATTTTAGCCACAATCAAACTTTTGCACTCCTCATCAAGAAAGATCTAATCGTCTTGTCACGAGCGTATGACAAAGAAAAAATCGGAGTGTTCCTAGAAATAGAACCTCAGACATTTGGATTTTGCGCTCCGATGCTCTACCACGCATGTACTCACCTTAGAGTTGCCTTGAACTCAACGATAGAGCATCACGGCGCGAAATCCGAAGGTGTGGAGTTCGATTTCTCATGGGGACTCCACAAGGCAAAGGAAATCTTAATTCCAAGGTTGAGATCAAAATTTGTCCCATTTGTTGATGTTCTACAGACGTAGGAGAAAATTTTTGAGAGAAATAATTTCACTTATCCCGACTTATACTTCAGCTCTCTACTGAAATCCTTCTGCAGTTACATTAATGTTCAAAATGGCAGAAATGATTTGTTTTCTGTAGCATACCCCTCCATCCAAAGGGATCGCCTTTGGAAAAAGGCCAGTACGCAGCATTGAGGCGTGCTGTATGTTAATCTTCTTCTATGGCACTTAACCAATCCACTAAGACAACACCGTATTTGTTGTTTAAGTCAATTTGTTGTCTCTGATGCGGGAAGGAATTTCCGCTAAGAGCGCACGGTGACCTGTTACGAAAATTATCAAGACAAACACTCACTTCTGGCGCTGTCGGATTGACAAAAAAAGAAAACGAGTTTTATTTCAAATAGAGTATGTTAAACAAAAGTATTTATTGTAGAGTTTGTATAACTTTAGATTGTAAAAGTCAACCGAATACAACATATTGCTCTGCACGCGCTTTTTATGCGTGAAAAAAAAATCTCATGAATACCAAAAAAATCTGTACCAAGCTCACAGATGTAAAGTGATTTCTTACATCTCTACGTGTAGTGTAAATACGTAAATTAAAAAGAGATCTTTTCACCATATATTTTGTGTTGGAATCGTGGGAAAGCACAATTCTTTGGCTTTGATGTTGGTATCGAGACCCCACAACCCCGCACCCATTTTGCTTAAAATGTTGTCCAAATCAAGATGTAGTGAAAATCTAACCATGACAATGGGGGCGTGAGCTTATTTCTCAAGACAGTTTAACTAAGCAGGCGAAAGAATATCTGCAGAGGACTAATGAATGACACGGACATAAATATGGAAAAATTTCTGTCATAGTTATTTGCTTGTTTACCATAAATGTACACCTTCAGACACTAAACATGACAAGGAAACAACAGACCAGGACATTTTCAGTTCTGTTAATGGCTACTTTATTCCAATTTTTTTTTTCCCAACCAAAGATAACATGTCAAAACGCAAAAATCCTGTACAGAGCAAAGGAGATTTTAAAAGTTGATGCACGGTTAATTTACATAGTCAGTTCCTGAAAAAAAGAAAAAAAAAAAAAACCATGTTATTAGCTAAGTGACCCCAAAGGTTTGCATGTTGTTTAAGACAGCTGTGTATGATGGAAGCCGAGATAAAAGAGATGAAACAGTTTTGAATACCCTCCTGGCAAGATGCTGGTTAAAAAAAAAAAAGGATACTAACAGGAAAATAATGAACCAAAAAAAAATCTGCATTCCAGGCATCTATGACCTTAGGATGGACATTTGAATGATATTGCCATTCTTCAGCTGACACCTGAAAGGAATCAATTTTCTTACCAATCTACAACATGATACACCAAGGAAGAAACTTACCATAATAGCATTGACGATATCATTTTCGTTATTTTTCAAAGCTTTGATAGCCTATAAAAAGGATTTGAAAGGGAGAACACATTAATATTCAGTTGAAGTACATAAAAAACCTCTTTCATCATGATCTAAAGGCAACAGATTTTTTCCAACAACAGCCCTGCAAGCACTAAAAAACCTAACATTATACAGTACACTAGGGCTGTAAAGGATGATGTGAGCAGAGGCAGAAAAAGCTGTTCGACCTCAGGGGATGCAAGTTGAAAGATGAAAGAAAGAAAGAGAAATAGTGGTGGTTAGAAGATGAAATGCTCATTGACTGAGTTAAGTTGTACTGGACAGGAAAACATTTGGCTTGAGGTCATGACTAATTACTCTCCCAATCAGTCAATTAAAGAATATTTAGCCTATCATATGTATTTTGCAATCACAAGGACATAATTATGTAAAAGACAAAACTCAATTTAGAATTTCATAAGGTAAATTTTTTTTTGGAAAAAACACAAGAAAAAAAAAAAAGAGGAAAGCAACAGCAACATAGGCATACAAACCACAACAATTGGTATTGGATATCTGGAACTAATTAGTACCATACCTTAGATTTGGAGACGTTAGCTTGCTGCATAACAAGTTCAACATCTTTTTCCTCCACATTGCTATCATTGATCTGCAATTGACAGAGGTTCAGTATAAGTGAAAATGCAGGAAGTTCATATTTTCATCTCCAGCAATGAAAAGACACCAGTAACTAAGAAATTTTTCTCATATAAAAAAAGTCAGGGAAATTTTGCTCTGTGAAGATGTAACCAAGGGAAAAGGAGTTTTTTTTTCTTTCAGATGGTACTGCCATGGTGAAAATTTTAAAATTGTGATACTGTTGCAAAGGCTCCATCAACCACAAGGAAACAGGAGTTGGCAATTAGAAGCTTAATGAAGAAAATTTCTACATACCTCTTCTTCCTCAGATTCTTCTTCCTGTTCAATGGCAGCTGCCTTTGCTTCTGGGATGGCAGGGGCTGGTTGAGGAGCTTTGAATTTCTCAGCGGCCTACAATAATTGAAAGCATGATAATACAAAATCACATCTAATCAAACACTAGCTCATATGAACAAAGGTGTAAAGGATTAAGAAAACAGTTCCAGAAAGAATTCATTCCCTAGAAACCAATGATCACTGAAAATTGTCATGAAAATATTCTGGATAGTTGGTCGTCTTAACTAACACATGGAAAGTACCAATCCAAAGAGTTTAAAGAGGGCAAAGATAGATCTCATAAATGTGTAAGTAAAAGTTCACCTTTATTTCCATTCATAGTATATAACAAAAGAATTTGTAATCACTAGGATTATAAATAAAGGTGTCACCTGAACTTGGGCTTGCTGGCTCAAATCCTCAATCTAAAGAGAAATTGGAATGTGTGTTAGATACAAACAGTGAAAAATGAAAATGGTAATAAAGACACACACAGAATGTAGAAGTGTGCCCTCAGATCTCATAATCTTTAGATCAGTGGACCACATCTAACCAAACCTTCCAGCCAAGTGTATGGGTGTAACACAACACAAATGAAGTAATGTATGCAAGTTTACACAAAATCAAAACAACACAAACACAAGGAAAGAGGCTTTTAAGTTTGGCAGATTTTCCTCACCATAAGGCATCTTTATCGTCACTGGGCACACATGGACAAAAACATAGCACTTACGTTTCAAAGGGTACTAATTTGACTGATGCTACACAACATCGAGATGGATGAATTGTACTCTATGTAAATACATGTAGGTGTTTCATCACAAAAAAATTTGAAAATAATTTTTTCCATGACAGCCGTTTTCTTTTGTTTTCCAGAATAAATTCCTTTGTTGTTGTCCAACATTCCCTAACAAACAAATTACTCAATTCACCAGCTTTCCAGCCATGAAAAAACTGAGTTATTGTCATGAGCTAACCTGAAATAAGCACAAATCAAAATGTTTCCTTGCAAACACTCTAAAGTGCAAGCACATTGTAAAATGTAAGATAAAATTACCTGGACAAAATAGAAACTTATTGAAAACATACCTTTGCCTCACCAAACACTATGTATGTATCTGAGGCTGGGCTTTTGTAAACATCTGGCTTGTTTATAACAAATAGTATATTTTTGGATTTCCGTATTGTTACTCTGGTCACTCCAGAAACAGTTTTGAGTCCAATTTTTGACAGAGATTTTCTGGCTTTCTTTTCTCCTCTGCTCTGTTTTGCTTTGCTGACAGGTTCCTCAGTCAATCCAGCTGCAGCAGCCACTTCACTTGAAATAGCTGGTTGGCCAGCATCTCCTTCCTCAAGCTCTGGTAATTCGTCATCACTGTCACTTTCAGTTCCCGAAATAACTGGAATGTTAAACAATTGATATTATATAATAAGCTCAGTTATGCACCCATTCTGATTGGTTCTCACTTATGATCTATTAGAGGACAGACGTATAGATGTTGTCATCATTAAAACTTTTTAAAATTCTTTATCATATAAAACAAATAGATTCCAAGTTGCTGTGCGTCTGTTCAGTGATAGATCACAGAGGACATCAAAATGTGGTAAGAACATCAGTGGCACACTCGGCTGCACCTCATGTGCCACTTTTTTGTTCTTACCACATTTTGACGTCATCTGTGACCTATTACTGAACAGACACACGGCAACTTGGAATCTATTTGTTAATCAGACAAGGTTTTCTTCATTGAGATGTAGGAGTGGGAGAGTATTCTAAACCTTTCACAATCTAACTTAAATGCTCATTTCCTTCACACAGATCTCTCTACCTTTTCTATGGTAATAGCAAGGAGTTTATTAGATTGGTGATCATTTCATTTATTCACATGAACTTTAATTTAAGGGTGATACTGTGAGTAGAAATCAGAAGCCAGTCACTACTGGGTTTAAAAGCTTAAGTAACAGGAGACAGTTCTCCACCGTCTAGTAACAACTGCTCATGCCATCCATCATGGACAATACACAGAGTTGCCGTTATGGAAATTTAAGTGTTTACTCATTTTCCTCGGTAGAAATGATATAAGGCAATATGATAAGATTTTGCACATAGAACGTCTTGAATCATATTCTCGTCTATACGTACGTGTTCCTTCCAGCAAAGTTGAGGTAAAATAAACTTTATTTCCCTCCAATTTTTAGAGGAGACTTGAGAGGCAAGTAAGTGTATGCAATGCCAGGTTTCTGAGAATAACTTCTAAGGGATGGGGCATGTTATTGCTTTTAAGACTGAGAAGCTCAGTTTACATGAATCTTGGTACACACGTAGCTTCCACGTGTAAACTGTGGTGCCATGTTCGAGTTGCGGTAATTTACCAACTATCAGCGGATAAATCGACTGATTCACTAACCGAAATGGTAGCTATTGTCAAAGTAAAGTTCAAATTCAGGTGTGGTTAAACAAGGTGTTGGCGATGGTATTTTGAGTTTCTCCTTTCCATCATGTCAAAGTGACCATGATTTCACAAGCCACGAATTGCGTCACTGTCAAAAATACTTGGGTGGAAAATTTTCTCACCGACGGTGACTGCCAAATAATTTGAATTTTAACTAACCATTTGTTAAAATTTTATCAATCTGAACGTAAGGAAAGTTTTCTTACCTTCAGCATTCGCCTCTTCTTCAGCCGGAGGGTTCTCTACTGCAGGTGTCATCTGCAAACATCGACACAGAAAGAATCATGATATCGAGCAAATTTTAGCAACGATTTCAGTAATGATAAGGTAACCGAAAAAATAAATTATCCAAATACACTATACGCGTGTCTAGCGTTTAAAATAAGGTACACCATTGACGATTAAAATAGATAACTCGACCTACCTTGACGAGAAGACGGTCTCTGCCACTGAAGCGATCAGAAAGGGATGAATATGGGTGCGCAGGGAATCATGGGAGCATAACAGCTATGGACTCGGGGCCCGGGTATCGCGTGGTACTGAAGGTATAGCGAAGTGCAGAAAGGAACCCTACTTTTTGCAGGAGGAGCAAGTTTTAAACTTTTTTTTATTTATGTACAGAGTGGAAAGCATACTCCTATTTGCAGCACAATTACTCGACTTTTAACTCGACTCGTTTAAGATATAGCGATCTCGTTCTAGTCATCTCGGTTGAAGACAATAAACTGTAGGCCCCGTTTCCTAAATCTCCTCCGTGTTGATTAGCAGGGGATGTTAAAGAACCCACGCAGTTCTCGCAAAGAGAAAGGAATGTAGCTACCGATGTTGTGGCCTGGTCTGGTTTCTAAAAAATTATAAATTGGGAACAACTGCAAAATTTCATTTAAAAAAATTTTAAACTGATCAATGAAGCCTGGCTTAGGTCCCCTGCAAAAGTGTTGTAAGGTGCACTAAACCATATTCATAAGCAGAATGCGCTATATATTATTAAAATAGTCAATTAAATGGAGTCAACTGCAAGTAGATTTCTAAAAAAAAGATCGAAGAACCAACTTTGCCTCTCTCTCATCACCAGGCTTGTTGGCTCAGTTGAAAGTAATTCTCACCTAGTATGTGGAAAGTACAGGATCACTTCGCTTGATATACTTTTTTCCTTCCGTTTGTTTTGATATTGCCGAGCAGTCTGAGAACAATTAAATTCATATGCTACCTCTGACGATAATGCAATTTATATTTGTCACATTATTTCCCCCACCAAGTTTTTGGAATGAAAGAAACCAAACAGGAATTTTTTTTCTCTAGATACCTTTGATAAAATTTTGCTTGTCAGATTGGCATCTGGGCTTTTACGTTTTTTTCTTTCAATCGTTACAATTATGAGTTCCTCAGGCGATGAAAAGTGGAATAATTCCAAGGATAATACCTTGCGAGTAGACCCTTACCATCATCGCTTCTGCACGAGCGTTTTTCGCTGCGGGAAAGTATTTAGCCTTGCAAAACGTGAACCGGGGGAGGAGGGATCCGGAAAGGGGTGTGGCTCTAAAATCTTTCGGCGTTCGGGGAAACGAGCGTCCTGCAGCGCTACAAATAATGAGGGCGTGCCCGCAGGATATAGGGTAAGGTCTGACTGATCGATAGAACGAGGCTGTTGTTAGTAATAGAAGGCAGAATAAACACTCGTTTTAAAGGTGAAAGTTCTTTATCAAACTGAACACATTTATTCGTGTATAAACGTTAACCTCGAATATTCAGGAAAAACTGGAAAAAAAAATTACAAAATTTGTTATGAAAATTCAATAAAGTGAACTAGAATTACCACCGTGGTAACCATCTCAAAGTTTACAAAGGCTTATTCACGGCAGGTGCATTATTAATCCTTAAGAGCATAACTTCATCATTTGTGATCCTTGTTGATTTTCACCTTAAACCTTTAATGCTCTAGTTTGGTTTACTCTCATCATTTTGGTGTTGGTCTACCCTCAAATATCGTTGCTTAAATCTTTCGTTCCAATCAAAGGCAATTTACTAGGACCCTCCCCCCCCCAAAAAAAATAGACAATTCAAAATATGACGTAATATTCTGGTCTGAATCGCTCCAAATTTCTATCAACAGGGTTTACCCAGCAACGAATTTACTGCAGCAACCTCAACACAACAGTTGAGACAAAACGTTGACAATTCTTTTTCTGTTTAACAGGTTTTCGGTCAATCAGGAGAAACTAAAACATTTCAATTCCAAAAACTATGGAGTCCTTGACTAACTCGGCTTTGGAAAAGTCGCGCTTCAACGTGAAAAACAAACGAAAAAATTTTGACATTTCTTACTCCGCCTGACTTAAATAATTTGCATATAATCCCCCTTCTGAGCACGTTAAATGCTCACAAATTTTTGTTTCCCTTAAATAACAAATCACCTCGCGATTTGGTAGTTTAAAGATTACCCATCTTTACCAAAAATCGACATTGCCTTTTCAAAAGTATATACCTGAAATCGATTTAGAAGTAATTAAACAATTATTCAGACCATTATTCTCGTATTCTTTCGCAATCTTTTAAATGCCACTTGCAGTAATAAATATTAAAAAATATCAAATTCCAGATAATCCGCACGATTTTCATTCGAAATTCAAAACAATTCGGTAGTGGTAGTGATTTTTCCTAAAATGCAGTATAAAATCGTATCCAAAGACTTGAAGAAAAACTCCGATAAACTGGTAATATCGTACCAGTTTCACAAAAATTACTTTCAAAGTTCTCCATGTGCGTAAGGCACAGTAAAATTATTTCCACTTGATGATAATATTAATCGTTTCAAATTGGCAAAATACAATTACTTCATAGCTAGGTGAGTTCAGTTCTGCCCCGCAGAACGTCATTTTCCAATATTCATTTAAAACTGTGCTGTATGGTTATGTACTTAATGAGTCTCAGATCACTCTTAGCAAATAGATGAAAAATTCAACTTTAACTATTTTTTTCACCGATCTCTATAAAATCATAGTGTCAGCTCTTTGTAAATTGTGCCATCTACATAAGTACCTTCCTTAAAAAACGGAAGGAGAATTCCTACTCAGAAGCTGTGCACAGTTCCCTTGCCTCGATAAGACGCTTCATTGTAAAACGTACAAGAGTCTTGCTGCATTTTCAAAATAGAAAATGAGGAAGTTGGGAAAAATTTCAAAAGGTAGTTCGCTCTCGTTTGGGCAATTACAATAACGAGGGTCTAATGTACATCCCCCCATAGAAGCTAACTTTCTAGTTTTTAAACAAACATCTTACTACTGTAAACTAAAGGCATAAGCTAACTGTAAAAGGTCAACACATTCTGTTGGTTTCCTCGGACCATCAACACTGGGGGTGAAGCCGCTGACAACACTTCGAGCCAACTCATGTATAAGAGAGGTGACGTCATCTCTATTTTAGGGACCGGCAAAGTGAGAACAATCAATTTGGCGTCTTTGGAGTGCAAACGGATCAATTCCCCGAGGCGAATGTTGCGCATAGTTTTACGGTCTTTCTCAAGAGCTGTTACGTCTGGAAATTCTTCCTTAACAGGTAATTTCATGAAATTTTGGATACTCAAGGTGGAAGGTTGCGCGTTCATACCCTCTACCTCCACGACGCTGGTGAAGTCGATTCGAAATCGCTTTAGCAAGGTCGCCATTCTGAGCTCGTTACTCTTGAGCGCATGCGTAGAGGCGGGCGTGAAGATCCTCAGCTTGCAGTCTTTCCAATAACGATGAATTGAGAGCAGGTAAGGTATAAGAATTGTCAACCCACCATCATCGAAGAGCCACCACACATCAATGGTCCCCTTAGGCTTCTCTTTAAAAGCAACTTCCTGCGTTATTTCTTCCGGTTTGGCTGGCTCCACAGGGTCAGTCAGTTTGGTCGTCTCGTCGACTTTATCATCCGGCTCGTTATCTTCTTCGCTCATCGTTTTGCTAACGGTCACTTTAAACTTTCCTTTGTTAACGACATATGAACTCTCTTCTTCGGCTTTCTTGGCGGGATCTTCCTTCTCTGGCGAGCTGGGCCTTTCAGCAGGTGCTTCGAGCGTGTCACTTACATGCAGTTCAGGTAGAATGTCTCCTACTTCTTCTTCGGCAAGCCAATCTTCCTCCTCCGCGTGGGTAGCCAACTCTTTCAAGTCGAGCTCGCCTCTGAAACGTAGGATCGATACGGAGAAGTTCAGCTCAAAAGCATCGTGCACGACATTGACGTATTCTTTCACTTCTTCCCTTCCCTGCTCTGTTTTGCATAGTTTTTTCCAGTCTCGTTTGAAACCGAGGATCACCGTGTTGGGTTTCATCTTTCCCAGGCCTACAGTTTGTAACATGACGCGGACGCCTTCTCGGAAACTGGGTGCTAGAGGAAGATTGGATATGAATATTTTAAGATTAAAAATTACAGGTATCTGCAAGGAACCTTAAAACTCAAAAAGCAGTTTTGATCAGTAATGTGAAATTCTCGCCTCATAATCAGTAATTTCAATAAATACTTAGGGATCGCACTACCCACGCCCTCAGAATGAGGGCATGAGTACAAGCGTTTCTTCGCCTGCAAGTGTGTTTAATCCTTTTCAACCTAACATCAGTATGAATATTCTCCATACTGTTCCCCACATGTTTCCTAGGGTGCTGGCGAGGAGAATTTGTTTAGAAATAAAGAGCTTCCTTAGTTGGTGATCATTTCCTTTATTCTAGTGACCCTAATGTGTAATTTGGAGAAATTAGATGCTGGTCACCCTCAGGGGTTACAGGGTTAAGGCCTTGAGCAAAGCGAGCCAGAGAGAGGTCTGCAAGGGATCTGGAACTTATAATCATTATCAGCGCCAGATCCCTTGCCGACCTTTCACTAGCTAGGGGTTACTCAAGCCCTCAAGCTTTCTTACGGGCAAAGAAACGCTCGCACTGAAGCGCAAGCTTTGATGACCTGCTCACCTCCAGGTTAAGATCACACCTTTACGGCATTTGCGCAATTATTATACTAAGATGTTCTATCCACAGTCATTTAATAATAAATATACCGAAAAACTGAAACAATCTCAAGGCTAATTCTCGTCAGCACCTTCTCATATTTTCTTTTGTTATGGTTGGTCTCGCTGGTTACTATGGTTTTGCAACACTCGATCGGAATGTAATCTACGCTGAGTTTCAAGTCAGTTTACCTGTACATATGGTATGGAATGCTCTTATTTTGGACTGTTTCAACCACGCATCTTCGTAACCGGAGACAGAACCAAACGGGCCGAGTTTAACTTGACCACAAACCATTAAGCCTCTGTTACGTGTGATATGCGACACCAGGTGAACCAGATCTGGACGGGACGAGGGAGAACCAGTCAAAACCAGGCACTGGGGACGAAAGTTCTTCACGTGATCTTCAACAGTGTTGAGACGGTAAGTGAAACGTAGTGCCCGGATGTAAGTATACGCCTGCGCAGACGAACCCCAGTTGACCTGAAAAGGATTTGAAAATTAATATTGCAGTTTTGAACGACGGCACTCGAAATGTCTTTTTTAAAGACTATTTTTCTATGCTGAAAAAATAATTTCCTTTCGCTCTTGTAATCTTTGTATTCCACAGAATCTTTCCTCTTCGCCAAGGGACGTTTCTGGTTTTAGTATTTAGTAGTTAATGTTCGCGACAGTTCCAAAGTTTCACGGAATAACCCTTTCTTTACATGAGCCTTATGTATTACAATTATTATTAATTAATCAATCATAGAAGGACTTCTACCAACCTCGGGTTTTTTGTAATCCACATATTTGTACAGGGCAGTGATGATCACAATGGTCACCAGAGCAGCCCACCAATTGATGAGGAACATGATCACTATACACACCATAGCCCCTACCAAGGACACCCACATGTTATAGTACTTAAAAGATGGTCTCCATCCGGGGGACTTGCCAAGCGATGCTGCAAACACTGCATAATTGATTAGTGCATAGGACATGAGAAAGAAGTTGGAGATAACTGGAGCAATGATATTCAATTCTCCAATTGCAATAAAGGCACCGGCAATGAGGAATGTAAAGATATATCCTCTACGAGGCTCATCTCCAGGCCCAACCTGTTGAGAGGAAATTTAAAGTATAATCACAATCACAGACTGTTTGTTATTCTTTACTACGTTCTGTGATTGATTCAGAAACTTGTGCCATCCTCCATTTATTTTTCTTTCTTCAACAATCAGATTCAAAACAACAAATCAACCAATTTCCAATAGGCCACCCAAATTTTTTCACAGCTTGGACAGTTTGTACATTTTAAATTTCATTTCTCACCAGTCCCTTGGGAGACAAGTATTGAACTTTGCCCCGATTGGCTGTTGTGGTTACATTGGTTTTGTTTTTAGCCACGGGATCTGATTCCTTTCAGGAGGATTAACCCTTTGCACTGTAACATCAGTATGCATATTCTTCAAACTGTTCTCTAAACATTTCCTAAGCTGCTGACAAGGAGAATTTGTTTAACAATCAAGACCTTTTTAGTTAGTGATCATTTCCTATATTCTCTTGATCTAAATGTGTGATTCAGGGGTGATATTGTGAGGAGAACTAAAATGCTGGTCACTCCTAAGGATCAAAGGTTTAAAAGTACTCCTATCTACTTCATGTAATGCAAAATAAATAAAGAAAAAAAACCTATTTGCAGTATCCACCCACAAAGCCCTTAAGATGTGAGAAAAAGAATTAGACCCACAATTCCAAACTCTACAACATACATGTATCAAAATAATCTTCTCACCCCTACACCAAAGTAATGGATCCCAGGGAAGATGTTGTCCTTACAAAGAGCTTGGAATGTTTTTGGTGCACCAACTAAGCTGGCCAGTGCTGAAGAAAGAGTTGCTGCAAAGATGCCCCCAGTAACTATTGGTCCCCAAGCTGAAATCTTTTCCATCACCTGCAAAAAAGAGTACTTTACAATCAGAGGTTTAATATCCATGTACAAACATCTCAGTGTGAGCCAGTTACCACCCAAAAGACACTGATTTTCACATCTTCATACTTGTTTTTCATACCTGGAAATCATTCATTAATCCATAAGGACAGCTGAAGTCAGCTGAACAATGAGAATCAGCTGTAGTATTCAATGTCTGGTTTACAACTGCTAGCACCACGCCCGATGCATCTCGTAACACACATGCAGCAGCCAACCAGTCAAGAAGGACATAAATAATTGTGCTGATCAATATAGCCCACAACGTTCCCTTGGGGATAGCTTTCTGCGCATCTTTGAGATCACCAGAGATGTTAACTCCAGCTAAGATACCAGTAGCTGCTGGGAAAAACACAGCAAACACAGAGAAGAAGTTTTCACCCTCACGGTATGCCGGCCCAAAGTTTGTTTTAAACAGGTTTAAGTCTAATCCAACAAATCCTTTTGCACGAGCTGTTTCATTTTGTGGCCCAATGAAAACGCCAATTATGACATCAACAATTGAGACAAGAAGGATGCAAAGGAGAAACATCTGAGTGCGCACAACCCACTCTAAGCCAACAAGAGTGACACACAGAAGCAGAATAACTGTGCCAATGCCAACAATACGAATGATGTTCAGTTCCCCAATCAACTCCACATCGCCACCATTCTCTTTAATTATATCCTTAATGGTTTCAGCAAAACCAACAACATACAAAGCAACAGCTACAGCATTTGCCACAGAGAAGATCAATCCTATGGAGCCACCAAACTCTGGGCCAAGACTGCGTGATATCAAGTAGTATGCACCACCTGTTTATGAGAGCAAAAAGCATAGTTAAGAAAGTTCTTTCATTGGTAGTTTATAAGATGCACCCCAAGTTTTGAGCAGACTTTGATCAAACAAGCATATTTTCTCATGAAAAATGGTGTGTCTTACAAGTGAATAAATACCGTAATCAGTATCTCACCAGTCAAACACCATCATTGTTTCATTTATTTTTGTGGATCAAAGGCAGGATATAAATGCTCTAACAATCAAATCATAAAACACACTCTATAATAAAGTACCTAATAAATGACACTTCAAGACTCTTCACAAACACTGTGAGATTTAGAGATCAGATAAAAAGACCTAGGATTTTCCAAAGTACCATTCAGCACTGATTCATTCCTGTTTCAAGTACATGTAACTAAACACACCTCCTTTCACTTCACCATTGGTGCACACAGCCGACATGGATAAGGTGGTTAACATTGTCACTATGGCAGATAACACAATGATGACAGTTGACCAAACGATTCCAGCCTGACCTGCCACCCATGAGAGTCGCAAGTATAACATAACACCCCAGATGTTGAGAAGACATCGTAACATGACACCTTTCAGCCATCCAAACTTGGGGGCAACCTTCACCTTTTGGTCTTTCTTGATTTGGATGGCTATTTCGTTACTACCAACATCCCCATTTTCAACATCATCCACATTTTGAGGTTCGTCCTACAAAGATGGCCAAAGAATGACCTCAAATTAGATAACAAACATAAAAATAAAGTCACAACTGATAGATGATAAAATTTGACTGACACAATGGCTAGAGAACTGAAATTAGGATTCAAAAGGACCTGCACATAGAGAAGTATTGAGTAAGATAGGGTCTTTTATGCTCAGGTACAGTGTAGGCAGTGGTTTTGCATCAGGAAAAAGAAACAAATTATTTTATTTTCATGGGAATTTTTTGGTATTTAGTATATAGGTATATGTACAGGTGCAAACAGCTCAAGGTAATGTTTGGTACATGGTATTAGACTTTTTATAATCTTAAGGTATATTTGTATCTCATGGGCAAAAAAATTGGGTAACTCAGTGCCCTACTAACACTCTGTAGTTGTGCTAATAAATCCATGTCTGGGTCCTGATCAGCCTCATAGTGCTGGGTCATAAGCAAAACACTTAAACCTCACAATGCCTGACTCTTTACCCAGCAGGATTAAAGGGTAAAAACAGAATGCAACAAACTCTGATGAAACAATGAAAGGGGGTTGTGTGGAGAGGGGGGGGGGAAAGGGAAGAGGGACTGGAGGTAAATAACAATAGACCAGTATCCCATCTAAAGGGAGGGGAAACATTACTGTTGGTCAGCTTCATTTATGCACTGGCCATTACACAAATAATCCTTGTAAGAGACTTAATAGTGACAGAACAAGTGTTATTCCTTTTTTTTAACAAGAGATTAAGCTTTGCCTTTAACAAGTTGAAAGGGATTAGTGTCAAACAGATTACACCAAATGAAAGGCTGCATGTGTGCCGAAAGAGGATCAAGCTTGTAATAACATCACATTAAAAAACAGGACAACACAGTCATAACAAGTGAAAACAGATCATAAATAAAAGAGACTGTATTTTCTTCAGATGTAAATACTGTGGAGAGAAATGAATTGATTCTCAATAACATCAAAGATCGGTAGCAATTCTGATTTATCACCGAAGGTCTAATAAACACAATTATGACTGTTGCCCATTCATGCATTTCTTTAACACAAAGAGTTACGGTGGTTGTTAGCAGAAAAATTGGTCTCTCTCTTCTTAGTTGTATTCGAATACAGTAGACTGCTGTTTAATTCATTTTTTTCTGTTTAAGCGGAAACGTTTGACATCAATTTAATTGCATTGTGTGGAAGAGCATTTATGATCAGGGTCAAATAAGGTCTTATTGCCTATACAATATAAACAATGTCCATAATACAATTATTTCCAAATTTTTGTTCAAATATTGAAGATGTACAGAAATAGCATAAAAGAATTGTCAAAAGATATGACCCTTACTGAGAAGATTTTTATCGCTAGAAAGATCGAGAACCAGTTTTATAAACACGCTTCTTATCATTTCAAAGATTACCTATTAATACTTTTTAACACTCGCCCGACTTAAAAAAACAAAAAAATTCATACGCTTTTATACAGACTTCAAGACGCAATCAGAAATGTTTTTCTTTCGATCTTGTCTCTCGATGCAATATTTTACGAAACCAAAGAATTCAAACGCTGAATGAAGCAAGTTTCCTAACCGTTGATGAATGTTTAATATCCTATATCATGAATAAACGATAAAAGTGATAGAGCTACACTGCAGCCACAAAAATATCGCACACAACGATATTGATCTTGACAACGCATGAATGAGTGAGTATGAACAACTTCATTTCAGCACCCTAATTATAATTGGGAAGTTATCCAAGTATTCCAAAATTTGAATTAAAAATTAGAACAAATGTAGGCCATATCGTGTATCAGTTTTTTTCTGCCCTAAAGAAAACAACGCGACAAATAGAAAATGCATTTTTAAACAGAAACTTAACGTTCGTAATTTAAACACACCAACCGCACCGAAGCATTGTGCATGTCGGTGGAAAAATTCCTAAAGTTTCCGCTCCAGCAAAATACAAATTATTGCTAGAATGCCGGTGAAATAAAATACAGGAAATGGGCTAGATGTAAATTACCTGTTGCTCGTGGTCTTCCTCGAAACCTTTCCTCAATTCTTTCAGTGTTGGCCGCGACTTCTTCGCTGTATTCGATTGCGAGTTGTCATTTCGATAGAACACAGTCATAGGAACAGCATCGTGAGTCGCGTAGCCGATTGTATTGGCGTCATCAAGAGAAGAGAGAGGTCGGTCTGGCGTCTCCGAATCAGGAAAAGTCATCCTTGGGCTCGGATCTCTTCCTTCGTCCGCGATTTCTTCAGGAAGATCTAACTTAACTTGGTTAACATTGAACCTCAAAGAAGGAGCATCGCTCGATGTTTCGGACGACACCGGTTGTTCCTCCATCGGATTTTCGTAGCCCTCGACTTAGTCTCTTCCTACAGCGATTTCCACAGCTAAATCTCCCTCGCTAAAATAAAAACATGGGTAAAACACAACATCTTGAGACCAGCCGGTTTCTTTAAAAATTGCAGCAAAACAAGACTTATGAAGCATAAATAAATCTGTAGGGAGGAGAGGGTAGGGAAATTGGATCATGTGACGTACACGTACTCCAACTTGGGTTTCTAACAATATACTCATTAAAATGCATGTATCCTGTTTGATCGGCGATATATGCTTACATACCAAGTTAAAGAAAACATGACGTAAAAACTGGTCGATCGACACAACGAAGAATTTAATAATCTCGTTTTAATCATGACCATTGGCACCTATGAAAGATAAATTTGGAAGTGACATCTTTTTATCATAACACGCTTATTCTGCTCTTACTCACAGGACACCCACGTGTGGGATATCGGTCATATATCTGCTGAAGTGTTTGCTTCTGAGCTGGAACAAATAGTTTTCCATCTCCCCCGATCAACAGTTCCATTACTTTTCAAACCACAAAAAATTTGTAGGTAAACGTCTCTTTTCAAAAACCTATTGAGTGGGAAACAGATCCAGTTCTTAAAAATAAAGTTTCACTCACCTCTATGGACTTAGACCCAACCAACTGCCAAATCACTGACGATGCCGCACGATGCACGAGGCAGCCGCAGTGAGCTTGATTTTGTTCGATCTACATGGTCATGAACAAAATATTGGCCACAGTTTCATTGTTACTAAGACTTTGATAATGATTTTGGTTGGTTAAGTGGACTCTTCCCTCACCATATATGTAATGACCCTCAGTATTACGTATTGCGCTTACTGAACCAATACATGCGAAATTGCGGCTGTTTAAGTTTATGTGTTCAAAACGCACAAGCTTAAAGGATGATTCAAAACATTTCCAAAGGGATTTAAATTCGTATGCGTTCAAGATTACATCCCACAATTGTTTGCAAGATTTTGCGGGTTGTAAAATGTGGCTTGAGAGATGGTTTATCAAGTCGCGTGGGCGTGTAAATCACGTGATCGATTTTCCGGCCTAAAAGCCTACTTGAAATAGTGGTAAGAGGTTGAACACAATTATTTAAGTATTGGAATCATTCATGAACAACGCTAACTGAACTTTTTCTGGGATAGGGTCATAATTAGGTCCATCTTGGGCTATAGATGCTCAGAGAGTTAAAAAATAACTGAGAAGAGTATCGAGGAACTGTATTAGTTCGTATGAATATTCTATTGAGCTGTCAGTCACGCTATCTGATTTTAAACGGATTTGATGGTTTATTTTCTCTCAAGTACGGGTTTAAAAAGAGTTACGGAATTTTCAACAAGGAAAATGTAAAAGAGTTATGTAGTATTGATCACATTAATTAGCTCTTAATCAATGCGAAAATTTGAAAAAATTGTTTTGCGACTTGTGATTGAAAAATCCAAATTATCACAAACATTTAAAAGGTAAACTTGTTTATGTTTTTGCTTTTTGTTTGACGAAGTATGTATTCTTTTCAACAACTATTGGTGTTCGGGTTGCTCAATCTAAATTTCCAGAACTTTTGAAATTAATTTTAACTTTTTTATATTGTATTTGGTGGGATCATACTCATTTTATCGGGGTGAAATATCGAACGAGGCCATTCAGGCGCCTTGTTATAACCAAGAACGACCAATGCACGTCTGAAGCTATATTGAGTCCATTTCTTAGGAGTTCAGAGTCCAAAAATAATTGAAACCGGGAATTAACATCGACAACTTCGACGATAAAAATGCGGTGTCTGTAAATGGATTTAAGCCTAATCACGCGATCTAAAAATGCGCTATTAACATTTCAATCCATCAGAAAGTCGCCAAAGATTAAGAGCGTCTAATTGAATAGGCTTGTGTAAGTACATCCATTTGGTGGCTTAAGCGTTTTAATTCACCTCAGTCATAATTGCCAGCTGTCGAACAGAGTGTCGGCGAGGTCACAGTACCCTAATAGAGTATTATATTGTCTCAGAGAAACACTCTCTTCACTGAGGAGAGGGGGGAGGAGGGTTAGATGTTTGCTTTACAAGCCAACTAAAACGCTTGAAGCAGAGAGCACGAGGCAAACAAAATATTTCATTGGTAGAATAACGGTTCGGCACGTGCCTCCTGAAACTTTGTACCGTTCCTAACTGTTCTCCACAAACAACGTAAAATCACTTCTTATATGTGCATATACAAGAAAGCAAGCCCTGTCGCAATTTTTCCTCTTCATTCGTTTCCAATTGTAATTAAAACTGCTCGTCGCATATCAGATACTCGATTTAAATTTCGTCGCCGCTTTAACACTTTACACCGGAAAATCAGAATGCATATTCTCGACAATGTTCTCTTTACATTTCCAAGGGTGCTGAAAGGGAGAATCTGTATAATAATCAAGAGCTTCTTTAGTTGGTAAACATTTCCTTTATCTCGTGACCTTAGTGTGTGATTCAGGTGTGACATTGTTAAGAGAGATAACATGTAAGTTACTCTCAGGGGTACAAGAGTTTATAAAAAAGCTAAACAGCCACACTTCAATGACTTAACGCAATCCCGATTTGCATAATTCTGTTACATCGCTCCAGCACCTATGTACTAATATGTTACCGCGCGGAAACTGGACGCTAGGAAAGTTTGAACAGTTGGATGTGTGTTCAGTACGGTATTTGCCTTGCACTCATTTCTTTTTTACCCTTTTTCGTTTTTTTCTCGTATCTCACATAAGATAACATGATTGAAAAGGTCAGTTCAAAGAATTTCCTATTTTCACCGTGTCACCACCGGTTACCCGATCGAGAGGTTAGAATAATGACAAATTATATACAATGGAAAAAAAAAATACGAAAACGAGCTATTCCCAAAACAGACATCCATGATACTTGTCGGAACTCTGCGGCGTAGAAAAGGGAAGCAAACATTAATTTATTAAAAATGAAAGTTCCTTCTAGACAACAGAGTATACAAGTTTTCATTTAATGATTAAAACTCTTCTTCATCTTCTTCCAATCCATTAGGGGTATCCAAGCTAACTTCCTCATAATCCTTCTCTAAGACAGCCAAATCTTCACGAGCCTCAGAGAACTCTCCTTCTTCCATACCCTCACCCACATACCAGTGGACAAATGCGCGCTTGGCGTACATCAGATCAAACTTATGATCCAGACGGGCCCAGGCCTCTGCAATGGCTGTGGTGTTACTTAACATACATACCGCGCGTTGAACCTTTGCTAAGTCACCGCCAGGAACAACTGTGGGAGGCTGGTAGTTGATTCCAACCTGTTTTCACCACAACAAAGAAACCGTTGATGGTATAGAAAATAACCTTCTTTTTTCATAGTTAAAAAGAAACTGTATAAAAATTTCTGAGATTCAAGGATCGTCTATCTTACTGAAATTAGATTACAGTTGTCTAAGAAATTGCTGTCAGTCTCCGACTAAGTGGGCGTCTTAGAAGAGCAACCTTATTCATATTGCGCATGCGTATTGGAGCAGATCATATCTGGACCTCACTATCAAGGCAAACATTTGTGTAATTTGCGCTCCGTAAAGTTATCAGGACTTTCGAGAAACGAGCTCCAGGTGAGATCTGGAACAATGATGCATTTAATTACTAGCATCATCTCCGAGCTTCAAGGAGCGTAAAGCAACATTACCTATATTTAATCATCGTGTAATATTTTGGATATTTTAGGTTGCAAGTTTTTAGTTGTGATCTTGTTACCGACACATTGGCAAGAGCAAGTGTAATTTCCTCAAAAGGTAAAGAATCTCTCTGACCTTGAATCCCGTGGGACACCAGTCCACAAACTGAATCGTGCGCTTCGTCTTGATGCTAGCAATGGCCGCATTTACATCTTTAGGGACCACATCGCCACGAAACAGCAAACAGCAAGCCATGTACTTGCCGAGACGAGGGTCACATTTCACCATCTGATTGGCTGATTCAAAGCAGGCACTTGTAATCTCAGCAACGCTTAACTGCTCGTGATAAGCCTTCTCTGAAGAAATAACCGGAGCATAGGTTGCGAGAGGAAAATGAATCCGAGGATATGGCACTAAGTTAGTCTAGAAAAAAAGGATAAAAATGAAAGTGATAAAAAATAAATTCAGAAATAAATGACTGTATATACAGATGAGTGACCAGATAAATTTCTTGCACTTAGTTCAATCGTCCGACATCCATCGTTCTCTATACTGATTTTGAAAATTATCAAAATACAGTCTTACTTCGTATTTTCTGTGTTACGATTGTTTGTGACCGGCGGAACCAATTCACTCCATGCGAATCGCATACAAATATCCTTTGGGTGATCGTACTTATACCACTTGGAAGATGATAAAAAAACAAAAAACCGAAAAAAAGACTCTTTTGTCGCATCCCACCAGCCTGGGTTGATTATAAATTGCATTCTTTGGTTATAGCTTCTACAAGCGCATTTTATTTTGTGCTTAGTTAACAGGCCATTTTACAGTTGTTTACTTAATTGCCAAGCCTTTGATTTGGAGTGAAGCTGAAGGTGGTTTTGTCGTGAGAGAGACCAGTATCTTGCCAGCATGATTTGAGAGTAATTTACATTTGAAAAGCAGCAACGTTTGTATCTTAACAAGGTCACCCTTCGCCTCACTCTGTTCAAAGGCTGGTAACGAAGCATGCCACTTTAAAATGGACTATCGGCCGATTATCTCAAGCTTACTTCCTTAAATTTGTCTTACGATTCGTCAAAATGTTGTTCACCACTTCCTCGAGGTAGAAACCCATACCAACCTGAAATTCATTTAAATCCACATTTAATGCGCCATCAAAGCGAAGTGAGGCAGTGATTGATGATACTATCTGACCAATCAGACGATTCAGATTGGAATACATTGGCCGCTCGATGTCGAGGTTCCTACGACAGATGTCATAAATAGCCTCGTTATCAACCATAAATGCGCAGTCCGTGTGCTCAAGGGAGGTGTGGGTGGTGAGAATGGCGTTATAAGGCTCGACTACGGCTGTGGATACTTGAGGTGCTGGATAGATACAAAATTGTAGTTTTGATTTCTTGCCGTACTCGACAGAGAGGCGCTCCATGAGAAGGGAGGTAAAACCAGATCCTGTGCCTCCCCCGAAGGAGTGAAAGACTAAAAAGCCTTGTAGACCACAGCACTGATCGGCCTGAAGACCCATGTAGAGAAGTGGAAAAAAAAATAATATCAAGAAAAAAAAGGATAATTTTCGGTGGCAGAAATGGTCAATGTTTAAATATTAAAAGTGATACAATAGGAAATGATTGGCTATAAAAATTTGTTATTGACTTGAAAAAGAGTTGTTCTACTTCAATTTAAGCTTTTGTTTTCTCATTCTTTCCAGTATTTCTTTTAATGTTCTCAAAATGTATTCGAATTCAGTTGATTAAATTTTCACTCCAATGACCTTTCGCCGTGGTACTGTTATAAAAGATGAAATAAACGAAAAAAGGCATAGTAACGTGTTTTTTTGAAACAAAATCAGATATCATCACACTAAAATAAATCAGATATCATTAAAAAATAATTATATACCAATGCCCTGGTTTTATCCAATACTTGATCGACATGCTGTTTGCCAACGGTGTAGTGACCGCGTGCATAGTTATTAGCGGCATCTTCTTTCCCGGTGAAGAGTTGTTCAGGATTAAAAAGCTGACGGTACGTGCCCGTACGAATCTCATCTGTACAAGGATCGAAGAAAGATGTACGTAGTGATAAATGAAAGGTACTATACACGCCAAGAGAGCACGAAGCGTTTGCTTTTACAAGAAAATTAACTCAAACCCGAAGAAAACCACAACATATTAGTTTTCACAACATCAAAGGGATAACCTTGAAAAGAATGAGGATGACTGATTAAAGAAGATCTACGCGAATTGCAAATTGCCATCCTTCAAAAGGCTAAATTTTTCAAGACGGCATGCAGAAATCTGGCGATGATACAGTAGGGAGAGCGTAGAGAGAGGGAGAGATTTACCAATACTTAAATTATGTTTACCTAGTGTGGTAAAAATATGGATTCATGTCAAAGTGTGATCATAGAATTAGAGTAGGACACCCAGTGTATTTTAGAGCCGTGAAGTGGAGTTTTCCCAAGGAAATTCTCAGAATAATGGGAAAATGAAGAGGTGAGAGTAACATGGATGGCGGATGAGGTACGAAAGTCGAGGTGATGAGATGTAAACAGATGACGAATGGTATAGAGATGTATAAAGGGAGAGATGAGGTATTCAGTAATTTTCATATGAGTGGAACTGAAGCGAGTATGAAATTAATAAAAGCAAAATGTGTTGAATTTTATGTTCTGCCAAACCACGCTAGCGATAGCGCATCTTTTATGGATCTTTAAAAGCGTTCAGCTTGAAGAACACTTAAAAGGCCGACAACATGTCTGTCGTCATTTTTCACTTACGCGACAACTTTCCACTTGATGTCAAATTGATATGTTGTAAATACCAACCAAAAATGAATTTTTTCAACTTAAACTCTCAATTATACATACATGCACGTTAACTGTCGAAGACGTGTTTTTCATGGATGGCTTGTTTTAGCTTTTTTAGCTTAAGACCGAGTCAACCCTAGGGTTTGTCCCAGAGCTTTCAGTCTGCGTCAAGGGTTTTCTCACAGTGATTTGCTTTTGTTATCCTGAGACATTTTGTTTCTGTTGAATAAACCATTTCTGAACACTTATAACCTTCACTTTCCGCGATAAGGCTAATCGTAAAACCTTTCTTGTGAAAATTAGTTTTATCAGCATGATAGAACGATTTTTTCATCAAAGGCTTTGTATTAAGACTCTCTTTGTAAAGGGAGCTTCAGGCCTCTCTGAAATTGCCTATTGAATTATGGGTGAAAAATTCTTAATTGAAAGTGCCGTCTCCCGAGAAACTCACGCCATTAGGACATTTTTTATACATGTACCACTGAGTAATTTCGTATGATTTTTACGAATTTTAAGGTATGAGATGCACGAGAATAAATCTGGCCCAAAACTTTTTGTAGTTAAAGATTGTGCGTTAGAATATTTCTCGATTTAGCGAGTGCTCAAAGTGGTGACTTTTAAATAGACGTAACAACTCACAAGTTGTCACGGATTACCATAGATATGATATTTTAATGGTAAATTGGGCTAAGTCACATAATCTTTCTTTCTTTCTCAGCAAAAATTTGAATAAAGGAAAGAATATCACTTGTAGGAGGATCTTGTGAACAACTTTTAAATTCAGAATCTAATATCCGTCAGAGCTTGCGATTAAAGCGCGCAAATATCAAAATAATTAGTTAATTGATCGCACGAAAACGAAATCATAAACATTTACCGAACGACTTCAGATAAAATTTCATAACATAGAACCTGGGGAGGCTTTCCATCTCGAGGGCGCCAGAAATCTTAACATTTCACGAAAGATTCGCGATTGAAAGAACACTTTTTTGTCATAAACCAGACTGAGGTCGTCAGCGTAGGAGGCCTTTTACTAGCAGAACTTTCACTCACTTACAACGCAACTTGCGTTTTAAATGAGAAAATGTAAATTTAATATTTGGTTTCAGATAACTGTTGCAGAGAAAGTGAAATAAAATTAGTTAGGAAGCGCGGAAGGGAAAATTCAAAATCATGATTTTGACGCACCAACCACAGTAGGCTCCAGATCGACAAATATTGCCCTTGGGACGTGTTTTCCTGATCCAGTTTCGCTGAAAAACGAATTAAATGAATCGTCTCCTCCCCCGATAGTCTGATCACTTGGCATCAGTCCATCGGGCTGGATCCCGTGCTCCAAGCAGTACAGCTCCCAGCAAGCATTCCCCATCTGACATCCAGCCTGACCGATATGTATTGAAATACACTCACGCTGGAATGAAATAATAAAATGAAACAAGAATAATACTAAGAACTGGCATAGGATCGTACTTTCGATACCACAGCAAATGTAGTAATCAAGGGTGGAGTATGCCTCACAGTTTAATTTGTTTCGAAAGGTATGTTATACCATTTATCCTTTAAGTTTACATAATTTACAGGCATTTTTGCTCGTCCTTCAAACTTAGCGCCTAGAACAGGTTACATTCTATTTTTTTACAACTATTTTCCTTTACTACGATGTCTGCTACTTAAAATGGTAATTAAGGAAATCCACTGATTTATTGCGCTTTTCAGGCTTTGCTGATGTAATGCAAATTGTGATCCTGAAGAACCAGCACTCATAAAAAAAAGGTAAATAAAAAAACGTACCATATTGGAAAGGTTCCTTTCGTTGCTTAATCTTTGAACTGTTCGAAGAATTGAATTCTCAGAGGGACGAGCAACGACTTCCCTTTAGTTCGTGTCAGCTCTTATGAAAAGTGTTTGCATTAGCCTGGGGTTACTGTTTCGTATTAATTTGTATGTAAAATGAACATTAAACGGATTCAACCAATCAAAGAACAGAAAGAAAACCGGCTCCCCACTTCTAACTAATTTTTCTGACGAGTAAATACTGGTGGCGTCATAGCTCAAGTGACCACTGGCAGCAGCTTGAGTATCATTAGTGATACCTCCATCAATTATCAGTCAGGTAGAAAATGTGTTATCATTAAATTGTAAATTGAACTTCTAAGACATTTCATGGAGTTTACATGACCACGTTCCATGCTACCAGGCCTCGACAGTGGGAATCACCAAGATGGCCGCCGGGAGCGTTCTCTCTGGTCGGTTAGCTTTAGTTACTGGTAAGATTAGCTAACATGTGTAGAGCTTCCCATGCTTTTGATTTCTTTCTGGGTCATACAATTACCTGTCATGCACCTAAAAGTATGCATTTAATGGGACTGGGAGAGCTGGTCACATAGTTTTTACTTTGATTCTGGAGGAAAGCGTGAGATAAAATTGAGGCCAAAAAAGCCAAAAGTTATTGTGATCAATTGCAATATGCTAGGTGGTGCCAGTGGTATTGGTCGAGCAGTTTGCCAAGCTTTAGCAACAGAAGGAGCAAGTATCATAGTTACTGATCTTAACATTGAAGGAGCACAGGACACTACTGACACCCTTTCAAAACATGCCAACAACAAACACATGAACTACTCTTTGGATGTGGCAAGTGGAGAAGAGATACAAAAAGTGCTTGAGTGTATCATCAGTGAGTATAAGAAGCCACCATGTATCTTAGTCAATTCAGCTGGAATCACAAAAGATGAATTCTTGATAAAGATGGATGAAAAAAAATTTGACAAAGTTATTGAAGTGAATCTCAAGGTAAGAGTCAATGATGTTTTTATCACTAAAAGCTAAAAAAACTTCAGATATAGTAAGTAATGTGTAACTATGTCAAAGAAATAACTGATACTGATCATTTTCCATTGTATTTACTTAATTTAGGGAACTTTTCTTGTCACTCAAGCAGTGGCTAAACTGATGGTCAGTCAAAGAGTTACAAATGGATCTATCATAAATCTTGCCAGCATATCAGGAAAGGTATGTTTCTTTACAAAACCAGTAATTTTTTGTGCTCTGATCAAAGTTACAAATAAGTACCAGAGGTTCCAAGATAACAATCATGGTCATTTACACTTATATAGCCATTTTCATGTTGAGAGACAGGTGCATCGAGTGACTTTTTAATTGTTCTCTAAAGCATATCACAGATTCTAATGAGCAGAAAAGATAAAATTGAAATTAAACTAGGCACCTGGAGATGTTTACATGGGATGCAATGGTTGTTTTCTACAGTCAGTTTGGTTTTTACAAGGAAAATAATTAATTTGATGTTGACTCTTCAAAGGAATTACGATCAACTCGCCGACGGACCAACTTGCCGACGCCAACTCGCCGACGTATAAAATCAAGAAGAGAAGTCGGCGAGTTGGTCGTCAATCCAATACAACTTATTAGAAGTTAAACATACAGAAAAGTAAACGATATTTAGTAAAAAAACACTGGTGAACATTGGTGAACATCTAACAGAAGCTTAAACATTGGTGAACATCACCAATGACTATAACAGCTTAAGACGCGAACGAGATAATTATTGTGCGACAACAACACCGTAAAGACTCATCATGTCAATCGCTCAGATTTTTTAACGAAAACTTGGCTTTCTAGATGAGATCTTTAGTAAAAAGCATTTCTTTTTATTTGCAACAAAGTTTATAAGGATCTCAAGGCGAATAAAGCGAAGTAAACATCACCAATGACTCACACAACTCATTGGCGTCTACAGCCAATTTTGTTCATTGGCACAATAACTTGTTCTCGTCTTAAGCTGTTATAGTCATTGGTGATGTTCACCAATGTTCACCAATGTTTAAGCTTCTGTTAGATGTTCACCAATGTTCACCAGTGTTTTTTACTAAATATCGTTTACTTTTCTGTATGTTTAACTTCTAATAAGTTGTATTGGATTGACGACCAACTCGCTGACGTCCCTACTTGATTTTATACGTCGGTGAGTTGGTCCGTCGGCGAGTTGACTGGTTACCCTTCAAAGTACGGGAATGTAATTGAAAAAATTAAGACAATAAGAAGGAAACTCAATGATGCAGGATATTGTGTGGTCACCCATTCTATTCATAACTCCAGCCAACAGGGCTTAACCTCAGTGAGAAGCACAAGCATGTGGCTAGTGAGTGTATGGCTAATTTCCTTATCTGACACAGATGACATTCACACAAATTTTTAATGTGGTCTGCTAGAGCCAACCTATGTAAAGAAGGAAAGGGCACAATCTTCATTGATTGTGATTGTAATGTATTATTATGTTGTCTTCATACCAGATAGGAAATCTTGGTCAAGTAAATTATGCTGCGTCCAAGGCTGGTGTTGAAGGTTTGACAAGGACTTGTGCAAGGGAACTGGCAAGGTAGCTGTGTTTGTGTGACATTGATCTCTACTTAAGAGAGACTCAGGCTAACTTCTCTGAGTATCTGGACTCATCGTGCAACATACTTTCTATAGGAGGAGGTGTGAGGAAATGCATGTAAGGCAGGGTCCAGGTTTTAGTTCTGGGTAGGTCATTGTTTATGTGCCTGAAGGCCAGGCACCTTATCCTCACTCCACCTCTTTTGAATAGTATGCATGGGTACAGGGAGGACAGACACATAGAAAATTGCGGAAGGGTGACCTGTGATAGACATGGATTTGTAGGTAGGTGCTATAGGTGCTATAGGTGTATCAACACTCTCACTTTCTTTATGTTACAGAAACAAGGGTAAGCCCTGATAGGTGGGGGTCACCAAGCTATGGTTGTTTGAATGACGGATAACACTATCCACTGGATAAATTCTCTATCTGTTGGATAGTGTGGTATGTTTTTCTTACCCTTATCTCCTGGATAGTGATTTATTTGTTGATAGTGTTGTTCAACCTTTAAACAACTGGGCCCTGGTGTGTTAGATAGAAGCTTGATATACTGGTTGAACCCTTACCTTTGCACTCTGAGTATTGTTAGCAGCTACTTTGTTGTGTGACTGCAGATTTGGTGTTAGATGTAATGCAATTCTGCCTGGCTTTATTAAGACTCCAATGACAGATGCTGTCCCAGAGAAAGTTCTTGAACAGGTAAGAAAGTAAAAACGAAAACATTCAAAACAGAAACAACCATTGATCACTCAGTTTTTTCCAACCTTGTGTTCATGGTCTCTATCTTTTTTCCTTAATAATGAGGTTGACCCTTTTCTTGATTTGAATTTTATTTGCTAAAGATGATGTGAATATAACAAATTCCCAGTTTGTTAAGTAGATCTTGCAGTAGCTACATGATCTTTGTTGAGGCAAATCCGTCCTATTTGCTTAATAATTAAGCATTATAATGAATTGAATTGAATTGAAATGAAATGAAATGAATTGAATTTTGAATTATTCATCTTGAGCTCCCTCTCTTGCTCGCGCATGCGTTTAAATTCATGCTTAGGCTTGCCTGTTTAAATGCCCATCCAAATGATAAATTTGCGGTATGCATGTTGTTGTTTGTGTTTCGGCAGGTAAAGAAACAGATCCCTCTTGGGAGATTTGGGCAGCCATCAGGTAAGATTTAGAAGGAAAGCAGCCTGTTCTAGACGTGTGCAGTTGTGGCGAAGGAGTAAATACCGAGAGAGGTTCAGATCTTCTCCATCAGACCTAAACCTGCTTTGCTTTCCACTTAAGGGTCACTATTGCTCTCTTTACTCTTTACTTTTCTGATATAGTATTGCAATTTGTAGACTAGATAATTATTCATTCGTGTAATTTTGACTATACATTGTTATATTTTATATATTGTATTTTACTTTTTTATCTTTAATTGTAAGGCGCATTTGAAAACTGCATAGTTGAATTTGTGCGGCATAAATAAATGTTATTATTGTTGTTATTATTATTACTATTTTTCACGGATTTCACAACATTTCACTAGACAAACACCTCGAACAGAACAAATATCCTTGTAATTATATTGGGATTGATTACGAGTGTAACCTGCACAACATATCTTGATATGTGATAATTAAGCTCCAGTTCTTAATCCTAATTTTATGTTAGCCTACGTGTAGCCGCACCCTCCCCACCAGGGAGTAACGGAAGGGAGGGAACCCCCACGTAGGCTACATACATGTCAGTTTTTGTAAAGGTAAAGTGAACTTTTCTATTCTGAATTGTTTTTAATTTTAGGCTGTATAATACTAACTTTGCCTCTCTGCAATTTTGTTAGATATAGCTGATGTGGTAACATTCCTCGCTTCTGAGAGGAGCAGTTACGTTACGGGAGTAAGCATTGAAGTTGCAGGTAATTCTTCTCTGAAAAAGAGTTTCACATCGACCTATTTAAAGCAAACACGTCAAAGATGAAGAGAAAAAATATGTGGACGTAATCTTTCAAAAAAGGAAAAAAAATTGAGAATAGAACTGGGCAGATATGATAACAGTCATTCATGCAAGTAGTTTCGTTGGCTAATAATCATCGGAACCTATTTGTAGAAATCCGAAAACTTCCGAACACTCCTGAATGATGACTCCAGCGCATTTCTAAAGCTCTAATCTCGAGATCAATGGCGGAAACTTGTGGCATAGAACAAATTATGATTAACTGTAAATTATCTCAAATTTTTTAGTTTCTAAGAAATTGATGCCCTGCTTCCGTTGCCAAATAAACCGCCAGAAAGAATTTTAGGACGCTGACGTTGTACTGCAGGTGTAATTGGCTGGTTAAAACTATGAATCCTGATTGATTCGAAATAATACTTTCTGATTTTATGGCAAATCAAGAGTTGGTAGATGTACAGTACATCCGGCCGTTGCTTAGCCGTTTTGAGACGTTCGTGATGAAAAAGTTTTTGATAACGCATCACGCGTTATTGCAGAATATGTCCTGCTTTTGTAATTGGCAATGATTGTTGCATTAGAATTCTGCTGACGAGCATCTTTATCGTTTGTCTTCTCTCTTAGGTGGCCTTGCCATGTAGTTACCATGCCGTTTGCAGTTAGACGTTAGACGACTTCTTAAGACCTCGTGTACAACGTAAAAATAAATTGATGGAAATTTCAGACTGATAATTCATACTCGTAATGTATTTGATAACTGTGATTACATTTTTAACTTAAAGTTTTTATTAAAACAATAATGTATTTAAAAAGTCCTCTTCCTGGGTGGACAACGGTTCGATGGGAAAATGTAATCAAATATAACGGAATGTTAATTTGTAAACAGTTGCAACGATCGAGAAAGTGGTTGAAGAGAAAAGCCGAAGAACTGAATTTTACCCTGCCTAAAGCACCTGGTAACCAATCAATTTATAATTACAATGTAAGTTTATTTAAATATTTAATTAGTTCACGGCTTGCGCGCGTCCACCTCCACGGATGATGATAATGTCAAATTGATGTTCATTCTTGAAAGATTCTCTCGGGTCTTCTTTAATTTACAGTTATGACCTGTTGACGGGCCAAAATCATTTTACAGAGTTCAGCTTTCTTTGCAGAAAATTCTTTTGGTTATTTGTCGAACTTCTCTTCGTATTTCTGCTATTCTCCACATGTAAAGTAGCGGATTAAGAGAGGAAGACAAAAATGCGAGCACAACTGTTACCTCAAGAACTGCATATATAGTCATGCTGGGTTCTTTTTCAGGATGGATTGAAATAATCATCAAAAGAATAGCCATGGGCAAATAACTGAAATAAAACATAAGCAAGATCAATAAAATGGAAAAAACTGATCTCCTGTACTTCAGAAAGTCAATTGCTGGTTGAGCAAAGTTCTGTTGCAAACTGATTTGGTGTTGATGGCGACGAATTATCTTGAAAACTTTAAAATAAGCTACTGAAGTGACGAACAAACAAAGCTGAATGAATGAAAAATACGAAATAAAATAAGCAATGCTTATTTTCAACTGAAAATAGCAAATAACCACCGACATTGGCAAGAGCGATAACACAGCAACAGTTTTACAAGCTCGACGTACGGTCATTAAAGACTGGCGACTCATCTGCAGCCAGCGTTCGATTGCCATTACTGTTACGAGAAGAATAGTTAGGGCGAAGAAGTACTCCAAGAATCCTTCGCCGATAACTTTTGTTATCAAAAAGTACGTTGGCCAGCTCCAATTTATTGAGTAATCAGATTTGTTTTTGATGATCACTGAGGGATCCTTCAATACCAATAACAGATTTGTGACATGAAACGGTTCTGTGATGAATCCGGTGCAAAAGTCAGTGAAAGCCAGTGCAGCGAGTAGAACGTAAGACGGTGCTCTACGAAGCGATGGGTTTTTCCAAATCGCTGCAAAGACCAGACCATTTCCAACCACAGCCACGGGTGACATGACACTGATGATGACAATGGCAGCCATCAAAACTACTCTAAAGAAAATATCAAGATGACATATCTCGCCATCGTAGTTAGACTTGGAAAGACACGAACTCGTGTTAATAGACATAATAACTTATCTTTCCGAGCCTTTTCGTTCCCGTAGATCATTTCAAAAACATTCCAAAACTTGCACTTAGCACTTAGGAACCGGGAAAGGGAAAAATATCTCTCTTTCAGGGGATAGATTAAAACTGCGAGATTCTTTATCACAAGAGTTGTTATTTCCTTCTTTGGAAATGGATTAAAAAAAAAACACTAATTTTGTGGAAGTCATCAGTTTTTTTCATAGATGTAATCATGACTTTTAATTGAAATTTGGAGTATCTTGCTTATTTTACAAGCTTTAAATAGAGATTTATTACTCCTTTTCACAGCTTCACAGAGATCCAGATGGTTCAAGAAATGATTGAAAAACAAAACTTGTGTACATAACTATGTTGGTGAATCTTTCATATGCTAAACCAGTTTGGAGTTCATCAATTTTTTGCAGTACACATAATTAAGACTTTTTATTGGAAATGTAGGACTGTTTGAATTTTGCACATTTTAATAAACTTTTAGGAAAATCCTTGACCGACATCCTCACGGCCCATTGTTTCAAAATAACTCTGTTAAGGTTATGAGGTCAACGTTAAAAGATTAAAAGATTGCGAACTGAAGCAGAAGGAAGATGTCGCGAGACATTCATTCCCAAAAAGGTAATAAAGCCCAGAGAACCTATCAATACCTAACCAAAAGGATATGAACTGTCTTCACAAAACTCAAAACCATATCGAAGGCGACAAACATCGAGTTTAAATTATTAATCCTTCCTTGAATAGACTCACTTGGGGACTATTGAAAAATCCTTTCTCGATAAAAGTTAAAACAAACTTCTGACCAAATATTATAATATGACTTCTCTTCTCTTTATGTTAAAAGTAAACTTAGTTAAAATCAGGCGCTGATGTATAGAAAGGCGTTTTAACTTCGATTTAGACCCTACGCAGCGGATAACCAGCTGTTCCGAGGGGTACAGTACTTTGATTATGAAGAGCTGTTCAAGCGATTTCGGTTTCTATAGAAAACAATAGCAACGAGTACTAAAGGAAATTGAACGGGCAAGGGGCTACTTCTGAGATCCAAGATCACCACATTAAAGGCAGTCAATTATTGTAAAAATGAGTTCCATTGCAATATCAAACACACAATACAATATTAAGCTGACAAGTGTTGACAATAAAGAAAAATACCAATACCAAATCCTCTAAGTAACATCATAAGAATTGTATGTCAGACAGTGAGGAGAATTACTACTAAGATTTTGGGAATGAAAACCAACGAGACAAACAATCCAATGCAATAGAATGTTATATGGGAATGGTACGAATTGATGACTGGAGCATAGGAAGATCAAGTGAGAGCTTTCATTGCTGAACAAAAATTTTAATCGCAAAGCAAATTACAAGTACGTCTTTGAAGCAAACGTTCGGGAGAAACTCTCCTTCGCCCGTACATTTCAGTTCCAATTAGTTAAAAGTTTCAGTATTTTTTCAAAAAAGCTATTAATTCGAATACTATCTTATTTGGCTGGGAGCGGTTCACATTGCGGCGGTTCTTCTTTTATCGCCTTCAACCGCTGGATAAAGTTCGCAGACGTCTCATTGTTGTTAGGATCCACGGCAAAATCCATCACTAAGGAAATGGGGTCTTCACTATTAATGTGTCTCTCGAACGAGGCAAAAATGTAATATTCTGATCCGGTTTTAAGCTCCATTGGACAGCCATACATGTCTGTGATGGTAAAACTGCAAAAGGCAGGAGATCGATACGTTGAAATATGACAGTGATTAAAAGCATCAGGCATATACAAACATCAAGAATAAAATTTTTGTATTTTAGTATTTGGAGGGACAACATGGCTTTCAGGACCAGTCGTCGCTAACAGAGTATGGAAGGGAGAGTAAAGAAATTGACTGCCAACAAGGAGTATCATAACAATACTAAGGAGGCTTATTGGGGATAAGTTAAATTGTAGGGCGTTAAGCGTGCGTTGATCTCAGCCAATCGACTGCAAAGTTCATGTCTTAACGCTTTTCACAAAAAGTGGCCGACAAAAAATTTGGCATCAGCAACAGGACAAAAAGACTCAAACTCAAGGTGAGAGAGGAATACGAAGAAAGTAAATCTTTCTATTTATTGTCTTATGTCAGTAACTCACTCGTGCTTTATGGAGATTTCATCATCGGGTGAAACAAGCATAGGCTCGTCTTGTCTATGGACTTCCAATATTTTCACGTTCACCTCCAACGCCAGAAGCTGGCGCTCGGAAGGAATCACTCTGGCGACTAAGAAAAAAAAAGAAAAAGAAAGAAAGATGTGGGCATGGGTAACTAAGGTTTCCCGTTCCAGTGCAGTAACTGCGGCGTTTTAACCCTTTCACTCCCAAGATCTCATTAGTAATTCTCCTTACTACCTGTCAAATGCTTCTCATGTCAGTTTAAAGAATCAATTAGTAATCCCATAATTAATTTTTTCGCTATTCTCATCACTTGTCTGCACGCCATTGCATTGATATTGTAAGGAGGAATTCTATCTTGGTCACTCACGGGAGGTAAAGGATTAAAAAAGCATCTGAGACGCTTGATTAGAACGTTACATTCGGTGACAAAAGCTGGTTAGCTAATGTTCCTCCTCTCTTCAACCTCATCAAATGTTTTATAGGAAATCCGAGATCGATTCTTCATGTTAGTTCGTTAACAGGTAAGGTCTGAACAAGTCAGTGGAATGAACTTGTTTTCTGGTCACACGCGAAATTCTGTCTACCCTCGACATCTCTAAATAACACATCGATTTTTTTTTTTCTTACATGGATAGGAGACGTTGTCGCCCACTGGCTGTAACCCATCGACAGTAATTTTTAAAATAAGTACTCCAGAGAATATATTTCAAATAATGCTTCAGTTGCAGAACAAAACCAAAAGGAAAGCCAAGCCTGATTTCATAAAACAACATCAACAACAACAACGCAATAAAGATTTGTGCACATACCAAGATTGCTGCCACAAACCATTTCCTCCAGATTGTCTTCTGTTTCATCTGTGAAATATTCAGATCATTGTTGAATTAAGAGGGCAAAAATAACTGAGGCTGATATTACACTATAATTCCTTAGAACCTGCCATTTCCCCATCTCCTTAGCAACCGTTGCATTTGGGGCTTGCTATGCATCACGCTTCCTCTGAGTTAATGGAGGAGGGAGCGTGGAGCGAGCATAATGAATCTCTTTCTTAGGAACTCTTGGAACGAGATTTTTTCGATATCGTTGGGCTTTGCAATAAGCTACTGCTGTTCCCGGTTTCGATTACAGTACCTGGATCTGAAGTCTTGATGTTGGCTTGGAAACCAGTAGCTACTCTGTTGGGAGGGAAGCCAGAGTTCAGAACAATCTGCATACAAGTTGAGTTACAACGAGACAGAAAGGAGCCAGGAGACACCTTGGAACCACAGTATGTCCTCCATGGAGAATGTTGCCGATCACATTCTGTGGGGGAAAAATTTGAATATATCTCAGAGCCCGTCCAAGATTCGCCGGATTGATTTTAACTTAAAAATTTTCACACAGAGAAGTTAAGTGTCCACACTTAATCTGGTAAATTGTCCAGCGGAAACAGGCGCTTCTCAAAAACGCTCTGAGGGATAAGTTTGAAAACGTCGCCTTTGTGTTTTCGTGTGATAGGAAAACGGTTAAAAATGAAGCTTGTGGAAAAGCTAATGTCACTGTTTCTTTTTTTATTTTTGGAGGGAAAATGAGGTACGTAGTTTGCTCATACTAATGCCATACAACGATATTGACAAGTAATAACCCCCCCCTCAAATGGCACTTAGATGCTGTTATTATCACTTGTTAACTCTCGTGAGATATGAATACCAATTGCGTGCTAAATTGAGTGGACCATGAATTTAAGAGTAGAAATGAATGTGTATCTAACCATTAATAATCTCCAGTTTGTCAAATGTGCGAAGATCAAAGGTGGTAAAGTTAAACTCCAACTTCATGCCTTGAGGAGGACACACTCGCCATGAACAGGACTTTGCTTTCCGGTAAGGCCAAGGATAATCTGGGCTTTGGATTGTTATGGTCTTGTTTTCATGTACAGCGACCAAGCCTCCGCATGCTGAGGAGACTGGAAACAAATCGAATGAAGAGATATCATTAACTAAGACAATTTGCGCGGAGAAAAACTTGACTTTTATAGCTAAATCTGTAATCACAGGCACCATCGTCAGGCGCATCTCTTGTCGGCTTCAGGAAAAAGCAAGTCATAAACACAACCACATATTTTAACCCTTTAACTCCCATAAGTGAGCATTTCTTCTTGCTATATCAATACAATATCAAGCAGACGAGTGATGAGAATGAAAAAAATTAATTAGGGAATTGTTAGTTGATCCAATACCAAATTCTCCAGACTAACATCACCAGAACTATATGGCAGACTGTAAGGAGAATTAGTAATGAGATCTTGGGAGTTTAAGGGTTAATTCTAATAATTTGCTCAAGCGCCAATAATCAGGGCCCGTTCGCAGGCTCGTGCGAAGGAGACCGCAGCGGTGTCCGCTGAAAGGACGCTTATTTTATGTACTTACGAATCTGTACATAGGTTTCTGCTGTATCCTCTCCGGCGGGGTTTTTAACTGTACAGGAATATCTCCCCGTATCATACATGGTAACATCACTGATCTCGAGCATATTTCCTCGCAGTTTTTCCATGACAAGTTGTCCACCTCTAGACCAGATTGTTACCTTGGGCAACGTTCCTGATGCTTGGCATTTGACAACTGCATTTCGTCCCTCTAGTATACGGTTCACGGGTTCAAATGTTTCCAAATCAATCTTTGGCGGTTCTGTCAACATAAGTAAAAATTTCTGCGCGTCAGCTTTTGGGACGAAAATGTTTTTTTTTCGCCCTATGAAATATAATCCGCCTGGCGTAATTTTATAGATGACGTTAATCGTTGTAGTTAAACGGATAAACCTTGGATAGAAAAATCGCTCAACAGATAATAGCAAATCGTGATAGTTTGGAATGTAGAAAGCAGACATGGGTTGCAAATGACTAAGCTCGACGGCTCTATTGGACAGTTAGTGAATTATTTCAGCTAAAATCTTTAGGACCGAACGAAAGGCAAGACGCGAGTTCCAACGTGAAAATTTTTTCGCATATAATGGTGACTCGTAGCAAGTACTCTCATACTGATCTCTTGGAGTACGAGAAACATGGAGTGTCATCCTAAAACGCATCAAAGAGACGACCAGAAGGCATTAAGCGATTATGTCCTCATCCCTTCTTCCCACCACAGACCACGCACTTTCAACAGAAACGACAAAAGATCTGTTGGGTACACGGGGTCAAACATCAAGCATACGCTATTGATTCTGGTCGGCCGCGCGGTAACTTCCCGCACAAAATTTCGAAGGAAAACAAGAAACAACCACTGGCATGCAAAATATGCTAACAATAATCGAAACTTTAAGAGAAGTCTATGCAGGAAAAAAATGTTGACGCAAGGAAAACTCGAGACTTTGCTAACTTAACGCAGAATTCAAGTACGGTTATCTTGTCGATTTACTATGTTGTTTTGAGTTTTACCAAAACTGTTATACGCTTTTAGAACACCGTGACTTATTAATTTATTGGTTTATATCTCCAGTGTGACACTTGGTTCAGACAGCTAGGAAGCCCGCTATGTGGACTAACGTCGACATAAAAATGTTCGCACATGCGCAGACGATTGACCGATGGGGCGAAACGAAGATCTCCCTTGAGTCAAACCTAAGGAACAAGTCAAAGGTCAAAAGGTAATTGTGACACTAATATAACAGATAGGCCAAATTTTGAAATAAAAGTTCCTCAAATAAATACAATCCTGGAAAGAATGACCCCGAAAAAAAAATCAAGATTACCATTTTTCCATTTGAAAGAATGCATTTAAGCTTTTAATTCTTGATGCAAATTTCATTGTTGGGGAATATAATTTATGTTCCCGTCCAAAGTGCGGGACTTTTACTTTCCTCATGGACAGTGTATAGTTCATTAACCAAAATAGGCGATTTAAACTAAGCTCACGCCAAATAGGACCAAGGCGAGGCAAGACCGTGCAGCAAAAAAAAAAAAGACCATCCGAAAAAAAAATGGCTGGGATATTATTGTGAGACCTCTTGCTGAGAGAGCGGCAAAGTGAGTAAAGACCTCCAGCTTTGTCGCGTCCGGAAGACCCGTTAGTGAATTTCATTCCAAACAATTGGCTCTTTTCGATCGTCACACAAAATCTTCGAGTAGCAAATAGATGAAAGGCGGACAAGCCAAAGGAAAAATAAAAGGGCATTGCAGAGGGCAATTTTCTCCGTTTACACATAAGATCATTACTCGCAGTGGGTTCAGGTTAATTTAACAGACAAACAGCCTTAAAATTCCTCGTGGTCAAACAATATAGAACTACGCGAAAGAAAAATTTCGTCAGAAATTTCTTGTGTTTTTTTGTTCTGGGACCTTTGACAAGCTGTTCCAGGACATCCCGTGACAAGCTCCATGGGTGGTCAGTATAAACAGTAGCACCCACATCAAATTCATCTTTTCATCGTTGACAGCGGAGACAAAGTGTTTACAACTACAAACATTCCTTAAATTTGCTCAGAAATCTCCTCGTCCTAGGCATATTAAGTAGAGGAAATGCTTCAAGATTTTAGAGACATGCTGCCGTCCGGCACGACAGGTCTGACTCAATATGCCGGATTATAATTGAATAGCATTGTTAAAAGCAAAGAATGCCGATCTTGGCTTGTGGTGGGCATAATATTTTTCAGCTCTGAAACTTATCTGATCTGATAAAAGAAATAATAACATATCTCCTTCACCAACTGTCAAATTTCAACTCCCAAGATGCTCCATCATCAAACTGAACCTTTACCTGCCATCTCGAATGAACACCCTTGTCAACATTAGGTCCAGTCCAGAAAAATCAAAATTGTCTCAAGGTTAACATGGCGCGAATATTATGGTCAGTTTTCGCCGAATAATTTTTTCGAGTTTAAAGAAAAGGAAAGAAGATTTGATCACCTAGAACGTCTGACTGGTGATGGCGACGTTTTTTTTTTAAAAAAATGATTATGCGATGTTATTGATCTACAATTACATGACAGGAGGTCGACAGCGCATTTAATACTTCCAGCTGAAAACCGACGCGAAATTGTGGCGCGCGGCACGGCGCGCTCTTACAAAATCCTAATTAGTGCGAATAGTAAATTGCGACAGTACTCATACGCACGTAAATATTTGCTCCGCCGTGTCAAAAATAATAGCAGTACAAAATCTACAGGTTATGTTCAGGTGTATGTAAACAAAACACGCCCATTATTTTTCATAATTTTATCCGCGGAGACTCGTGTGGACTGTCTATTCTCTTCAGCAACAGTAATATTTTAACATTTGTCACAGGTAGAAAAAAAAAAAGAAAATTTTGTTCGATTTTCCATTTCATAGTTTGAAATAACATTTTTTTTCACTTACCACAATCGTCGGATTGATCAGCTGAGCAGTAACCACGCTCAACTAAGGACAAATTGTCATCAGTGACAGAGATAGCAGACAGTGGAAAACCGTCATATCTAGCTGTGAAATCTTCATTCACAAAGAAAATGTAATCAGAGCCTTCGAACACGTATGTCAAACACAGCTCTTCTATCCCAAATGATCCAAAACACAACTCTGGAGGAATTTCGAACGGTGCCTTGAATATTTTTGCGATACGGACGCAAGCATCGAAGACTTGACCAGTAGCATGGCGATCTAAGTAGGTTGTTGTATTGAGAACCTTAGCTTGGAAAACAATCGGCGCTAGGATAGTTCGCTGAATTGGAGTGTAGAAAGAAGTGCCAGTAGGTAGAGAGCAAGTGTATGCAACGGGCAGAAACAAACCAGCAACGAGAGCAGAGATAAGAAACATTTCACCAGCTATAAACTTAGCCGGATGCTGCTGGACTATGTCACGACACCCGATCGATAGTAACGTTTATATTCAGTGAGGAATTCCATTCCCGCTTGTTTGGTGACGGATCGTCTTTCACATGAGGACGCTCACAGACAGCTCAGATTAACAGCTTTCGTGGGAGATTTCGTGAGATCAGATTAACTTTGTGGTCAGTCGAAATAACATGAAACTGAGAGTCATAGTCGAAGAATTGAAAAACTGAATAAACTTGAGTCTTGACAAAGATCGTTGTTTCTTGATGAGCGTCGTCAATTCACTCTTGATGTAAATTGTTTCATTCATTGCGGTTTACCTCCCATCTCCTCTATTTCCGCTTTGAAGTTGACAAAGGCCGTTTCTTTTTCCTGTCATGCAATGTAAAATGAGCGCATATCTTCATTATGTAAATAATGTTACCCAATTTCGTTTTGTTTAATGACTATCACCTATAACTCAGTCCCCAACTCTTTCCCCCATTCCGCTGATAGTAGCTGCCGCCTTTTAGGAGAGTTCGTGGCAAATTTTAGGTCAGAGGGGAATAGTGAGACGTCCAACTATTCGGGTGTGGCACCTTTTTTGAGTTGACGAGAGCTTGCGGCTTACCGGTAATTTCAATAGTAATCCCGAAAAGTTATTTAAATGTTGTTTCATGGGTGTGTTTCGCATGCCCAGTTAATTTTTTCTTTTCTCAAGCACCAAAAGCATCCGCTTTTATCGGTAACAGATTATGTGTTTCACTTTCAGGTGTCTGGAACCTCTTCGCGGACTCCTTATCACATCACAATCTCATTTAAATGTTTCATTTTCAGCTTTACGGTTACCATAGAGGCCCCAGGAATGAAACAAGTTTGTTCGTAGCTGTTGATTACATGACTTCATGTTTCTTGAAATTGTTAAGCTGTTCCTGGTTGGCGGAAACGTAGCTAATCCTTTTAAGAAATCCCCCTCCATTAAATCTTATTTTGAAGTCGTTTTGTTATCTCTTTAACAGATTATAGGATTAATGGATCTAATTTTCTTGATGTTAAGTGAGGACACTGTAACTATTGACTCCTGTAACCCTCAGACCTGCCGAATGCCACACGGAATCAAATCTGAGCTGGCCTGGACTTGATTTTTCCCTGATTTCTGCTGAAAAAATGCCAGATTGATAAGAATGATAGTTGTGCGGCCATTGAAATTTCCGAGTCAAGTAATCATAAACAGCCTGGGTGTTGCACGTCATGAAATAATGGTGTAATGGCAGATATCGTGACAACCCTTTACGGATTCTGTATGATAAAGTTAAGTGCTGCTACTCGAGGAAAATTGACATCATTTTTTAAACTTTTTGCAAGGTCAACTGTGGTTAAGCTGCATCAGGAAATCAAAACGCGAATTTGTATTCTATCGTGACGAAAGTCGAGCGAGAGCAGGCAATTGCTGCGTGACCGCAGATTGATCGCAGAGATCTATGGGATTTATTGTCGATGAGAGGCCTGGGTCTTAGAGGAAACGTTCATCAATTTCTGTTTTGCAAATGTCACGCCATGAGCTTCTGGGAACTTGTGGAGAAACCGTCCGTGCACGAAATGGCTAAAACGCAAGAGAAAGGCAGGCTGATTTCCCTCTGATTTTTATACTTAATTCTTTCTAGATGGATTACGAGGTTTTTGAACGAAACATTAGTTCAATAGGGTAACATATATGGGGTTATTTAGTTGTTTTGTTATCTGCGATGTTGAAGCTTCCAGTTGCTTCTCAAATCAGCTGTTCATTGCGAGAAAAGCTATCAACATCTTTTCAGTTGTTTATCGTTGTTGAAAGAGTAATTTCAGAAATTTTTTTGTCGCAAAATCGGTAATTTGTGAGTCGTCTTTGGTAAAGAGATGAAACAACCTTGTTGCATCGCGAGTGTTATTATTTTTGGGGTGCTTCTTATTACTTAATTCAGCTACCATCTTCCTTAAACAACCTCTTTTACCACTGCATCCTGCTAAAGTGGCAAAGCTTTTGCACAAGGATACTTTTTCTTTTTTTTTTACTGCAGTGCTCTTCTTAAGTTAAATATTACCCTGCTGTAATACATTGATACTCATCTTGCAAGAAATACGTTAAGACTGGTAACTTACTTTTGAGTGCATGCGATGGTTTTAGTTGCAAATCAAGAAGAGCAGAAGTGAGATTGGAAGAGAAATAGAGAGATGAACCGCTGGTGGAAATGCTGACTCGCTCAGTCAGTGGCGCAGGAATTCCCTGTCAACACAAATTATTTTCATGATACAGAATATGCGGCCATTGTTACCTCAAAGCAGCTTCATTATCTTACCTGACACTCCTGGGAGCAGGGATTTCTACATCAACACAGGCTAAAGTGCATGAATTAGAGCAATATATCATTAAATTTATGTACTCAAAAGTAACAGCACCCTTCTTATGACAAATAGAAGATTAATCTGAAAATAGAAAACAAAACTCTTGTAATGTCTAAGTTACACTGTACTTTAGATGAATGAAGCAATGATTGAGATGTTATCATTTGCATGCAATTTTGTCTTTCTTCCTATTCAGGAGTTGGTGGAGGAATTAACAATGCCTGTACAATGCACTGTAATGTTGATGGGGCTCTGAACTCATTGAGCACTTCAAAAGATGGATCACAAGTAGTTGTGGCTGGTCGAAATGGTAAATGATAATTTAACTTCTAGTTTTCTACTCTATACCTAAAACAGATGTGATGTTAGAGAAAGGAAACAAAATTTGAAATACTATGATACCATTACATAGCAGAATGGTTAATGTTCTGTATTTATTTGAATAAGCATCCACAGCAAATAAATGCCCACTACCTCCTTGTTGGAAGGAAATTGAAAATTGTCATCTTTAGACTGCTAGCACAAATATTATGCAGGAACATCATGCAATTCATTTGTTAGTTAACAACCTGTTTTGAATTAAGCAGTCAAACTGTTTAACAATAACAATTTAATGATCACCATGCCATTCCTCACGGGTGACTGTTTAACAAAGGTTTTGCTTTGATTCAGTGTTTAAGGTCATTGGCATTGAAGAGTCTGGATTTGTTGAAAAAACTAATTTACGCTGTGGAAGGATTAACTTGAACTTCAGCATAACAGATGTACAATGGCATCCAGTTGATGGTAAATTGTAGCAAAGTTGACAAGTTCATAATTACTCAAATCTCTAAGAGGAATCACAAAAAGGGTCCTCCTTGAAGAAAAATTTTATGTTCAAATAGTTATTTATCTATTGATGAAAATTTAGGTTAAAAATTAGAGTCAGTTTAAAGGATGGAGGAAACTTGTAGCTTAACTCTTTTACTCTCAATATTTGATTGTAAATTCTCCCTTATAGCTGCTTCACATCTCCTTGTAAATTAGTTATGAGAACTTGGTGCTAGATCAAGATAGCAGCTTCTACCTGATAAGTTCAAATATTCTCATTACCTGTTTGCTAAATAATATATGGATATTTTAGGGAGAAGTTTCATGTTAATCACTTTTGGGAGTTGAAGGGTCAAATGTTAAGGTTTATTGAGGCTTGTTATGTATTTATGGTTTCCTCTCTACTCCTATTTAATGGAGAACTGTAAAGCATAGTTTTATTTTTTCTTCATTTGGGTAAGGTTGTGCTGCATGGGAAAATTTATCTGTCAATTCAGAGCTTTCTGATTTAGTTTTGGTTTTAAAAACAGGTATCTGTAGGTATACATTGTTCCTCAGATTTGGTTAACATTTCAGGAGAAAAATAATTACTAATTGCATTTTTGATCTTGATAAGTGTTTGCTGACTCCTCCCCCCTCTTTGATAAGTGGAAGTGCTTATCCAAAAGTTAATAAGCCTTCCAGTGGTTTATTACAGCATTTATGGTTGATATTAAGGGAGCTGGAAGTTCAAAGTGAAGATTTGCTTTTTAATAATTCAATTAAAAATTAAACCATTTCAAATTGAGGGACAGGGACGTTAAATTTTGTTTGCAGATCACATTCTGGCTACTGCGGCTACTAATGGAGCTGTTGTTCTTTGGAATTTGAACAAAATCACAAGACAGAAACAGGGTGATTTCTATTTTTAGCATTGAAAAATGTTTTTTAATGGTATAATGTTTCAATTAAGAATCATTATCCATAATTTTTGTTAATAAAATGCATTATGCATTCACTTTAACCAGTGAACTTTTACCAGTTATTTAGTTAATGTAGATCAGTTAATGTTTAACATGTTTGAGCTTTTCACATGAGAAGTTAGCAGAGCTTGAAAGATGTGTAAGAGTTGCTTGAAGTATAACCAAAATACTACAGCCTCCAAACTTCCCAGTAAACCCTTCTTATCAGCATCATTGCCCTTACTAACTTACAAATCAATTTCTTTTGCTGTGTTTTCAATTTTGTTGTTAACTCTTTCTTGGCTCTAAGTTTCAAAGTTTCAATGCATACACCCAGGTCATCAATATGCATAATGGGAATATGAAGCACACAGGCCAACTGAGTATTAATTACATTGATGTATTCGCAATTTTTTTAATTGATATTTTTACCCTGTTGACAGAGTTGGTATTCACTGATCATAAGAGAACTGTTAATAAGATTCAGTTCCATCCTTTTGAAAAAGATATTTTGTTGAGTGGATCTCAAGATGGAACAATGAAATATTTTGTAAGTCACTTCATGTTTACTAAAATTGGAAATGTTAAGGTCAGTTATTTATAATAATTCTTAATTTAGCTTAGTGATATATGTTGTTTTGAAGAATTGTTGTATATAATACCTTTTTTTACTTTTCAAGTTTTAATTTTATATGATGGATCTTTGGATGATCTTTTTATAATGCGGTTTTGTCAGATCTCCATTTGTCCTTGGGAAAGCAAGCAAGAGTACAACATGACACTTTCCTGTAAGCAGATTTCCATCCAATTTTCTTTGGTGTCGGCTTATGGAGATAATTCTCATCAGCTGACAGCTCTAAATATGGGCACTTTTACCAATTACTGTGGGTGTCCGCTTATGAGAGAGTTGACTGTATTAAGTTGATCATTCAATATTTAAAGTGGATACAAATTATGCAAGTATTCAGTTATTAACTCTGCACATGACTTCATTGCTGTACTTTTTTATCTATTTTTCTTATTTAAGGATTTACGAAAACAAAGTGTTGCATCAACCTTCTATGGAAAAGCAGAAAGCATACGTGATGTTCAGGTCTCTAGTCTTTTGTTTTAATCTTCAATTTTGTATCCTAAGCACAACTCTTAATGGTTAATCATCAGATTTTTAATAACAGTCTTCTTACCAGCTTTGTCTTTTTAAATGTAGGAATATTGTTAAAGGAAATTCATTGGCTATTTTCTTTTTTAACTAAGAATGAAATTTTGTACAGGTTATACTACTGCATGGAATTTATGCAAACTAGGATGTTGTTGTGCTATAATTCAAAATTGTAAAGTGAACTGTAAAATGTAATACAATGTAGGTGTACCTAAAACCATCTACCTAACCCTACTGGTGTATGGATTTTTGAGATAAAACCACAGTCTGAAGTCTTCCCTGGCAAGAGTAAGGAGAGGTGGAGTCCTCATTTGTAAGACTGCTGGAATGAATTTACTCAGTCTGACTTGTTGTGTCTTATACAATGTATCTCTAGTTTAGCCCATTTGATGGTCAGAAGTTTGCAGCTGCATGTGAGAATGGACATGTTCAGGTAAATTTGCATCATTGTTAACTCTTTAACTCCCAGTTCAAATTTGTAATTCTCCTTACTGTCAACCATACAATTCTTATGATGTTGGTTCAGAGAATTTAATATTGGATCAACTAATTATCCCCAAATTGATATTTTTCTTTATTCTCATCACTTATCTGGTTGATATCGTATAGATATTGTAAGGAGAAATTCTGTCTTGGTCAGTTATGGTAGTTTAGGGGTTAATATTGCTACTCATTGAATTTAAACTTACCTCCTTTTATTTGGAATATTAGTCAATGCTCCAAGCTCAGTTTTTCCTGAGAAATCAGATAATCCTCTGACAGATAATTTCTTTGAGAAATTGTTTCAAAAGTTTTGTGTTAGTGATCAATAATCTGCTTGTTTTAGAAGCTAGTTTTTATAATGAGGACTTTTTACTATTTTGTACAATGAGGAGTTTTTGTATTTATGTTAAAGTTGTGGGATACCCGAATGCCAAACTCTCCTTTTCATCAATACATGGGACACAATGGGCCAACATTTGCCATTGACTGGCATCCTGAAGAGAAGACCTGGGTGGCTTCTGCTGGCAGAGACAAAATGGTTAAGGTAATGAGTACACCAAATCTTCCAGCTAAGTTTATGTCCCTCTTTTTAGTTTGGTCTTAGTTACTCCCTCTATTTGGGGACAGAAAGCGGGATTTTTTCAAACAGAGGCTGTGAACAAAGCCATGCTAGATCTTTATTTGGTGCATTGGAATAAAATCTCAGGTAATAAAAGATATGCTTTTTATTCACTCTGGTAGCATACTCTGATTGACTAGTGTTTTGTCAGTTGCTTATCAGTTGTGACCAGAATATGCATACAAATACAGATATTGCTCCCTCAAAAGTCCACTTTACAGTCATCAGTTTATTGAAAAGTTTGTTTGTGAGTGAAGCCCAATTATGAGTTAATCTTTTCCATTAAATATCCTTGGTGTATTATTTTTTTTTTAGGTATGGGAAGTCTGTGTTAAGGAGCACCTTTTGAATGCCATTCAAACCATAGCTTCTGTGGCACGCATCAAGTGGAGACCACAGAGAAAATATCAGATTGCAAGGTAACTTTATGGCTCTTAGTCAATTATGTTGTACAGAATACACCGAAGTGTAAAAGCAATGCAAAGCTGGAGGTTTCAAGTAAGCTTTACTGAAGGGACCTTTTCTTTCAATATTCATTTTGTTGTATAAGGTGATTGTTCGTGTAACTTTTAAGCCTATGGATAACATGTGTTTTAACATCAATGTGAAATCCACTTAGCCTTATTTCACATGCTTCTGCTTAAATACATGTAATGCTGCACAAGATAGGGATGTAGCTAGTAGAAGTCAGTGGATAAAGCCCCTAGGTGGTGTTCATTTTATTCTTTTCATTGTTTTATTATTTTGTACATCTAATTGCTTCTGTTCAGTTGCTCTCTTCTGGTGGATTTTGATATCCATGTTTGGGACATCAGAAGACCTTATATACCATATGCATCTTTTGGTGAACACAAGGATGCTGTAACAGGTAATATGCATTGGTGAAAGGTAATACCCAATGGCATCTGAAAATATAATCAGGACCTTTAGGGAAAATCTTGAAACATGAAGGGTAAAAATTTCTCACTTTGGGTTGACTAATGGTGGAAAGGTATATTGTGTAGTTTGATTTTTTCCTGGATTACAATTTTTCAAGCTGATTTGATCTTTATTTTGTCTTGTGTTCTTTATCATAATCTGAAATAAAGGAAAATAGAAATTACACTGGTTTGAAAAAATGAAAAAGTTAGAGAAGCAGTTTCTTGAACAAAATGAGAATTTAGCGGCCTGTTGTGGATTAATGAAAATGTTCTGAGTTTCTTACAAGAATTTAAAAGAATTCTGACCCTTCACCTCTTAGGGATCTCTCAGAGGACTCTTTTGTCCTGTTCTGTAATAGTGATTGGCATATAATTTCTCCTTACATTGCTACTGTGGAATCAGACATTGAGGTTATGAGAATAAAGGAATGATTGTTGTTCTCAATAGGAGAACAAATGACAGCACCTTAGAATATGTATAGAGAACAGTATGGAGAATATTGATACTGATGTTAGGGTGTAACGGATTAAGTCAAATTTGAACTACATGCACAATATATTTGATGTGCATTTAACTGATATGCTACAGGCATCAGTAATGCCAAAAGCAAAATCTCTCACGATTTGTTTATAAAATTAATTTTTGTACAGGTATACTTTGGCGGCAGACACTCCGTAACAAAGACCCGTTTGTATTCTTGTCATGCGCGAAAGACTCCATGTTATATCAACACGTGTTTAGTGACGCTCAACACCCAGCTGAACATGCCCCTCGAGTGGGACTGTCAATCAATGTCAATGGTGACATAAGTGTAGCATCAAGTGATCAGTTATTTAGGAGAATTCCTGCGCAGAGTATGACACAGACCAGACCGTAAGTGAAGTGAAACCTTGGGGACTTGGTGAACTCTTGTAGGCTCGTTTGCAGTCATGACTTAAACTGTTGTATGGAGTAACCGAAACTTTTCCTAAAAATATTTTTCAATCTTTTATTTTCTTGGTGGGGTGTGGAGGGTGGGTATCGCTTTGATTCGACGGAGACGCAATGGTCTGATTGTTAGCGCAGGACGTCCGGTCAGATCATTGTGTTGTGTTGTCATCGCGCCTCCATCCAACCAGGTTAAGGAGGGGAACAAAAGGTAGATTTTACAAAAACGGAATATGCTGTGGAAGCTATGGAAAGGAGTCTCGTATGTAGACTTTAAGAGGTATAATGGGTATATAACGATATAGATTCTTAACTCTTTAACTCTTAGAAGTGATGAATATGTAACTTCTCCCAATAATATGCATACATTATCCAGCAAACAGGTAATGAGAATACTCAAATTTATCTGGTAGAAGCTGTTACCTCGATCTTAAACCAGATTCTCGTGACTAATTTACAAGGAAATGTGTAGCAGCTACAGGGGAGAATTAACGATCAGATCTTAGGAGTAAAAGGATTAAGGATGTTACATGAACACACGTGGGACAATACAAACGGTTAATGTAATTGTTTCTTAAGCATATCAAGGTCTCTCTGGGAGTGATTTAGTTTATTTCTGGTATATTTATCTGTTCGCCTGTCAGTATGTTGATGTTGTTATGAAAATTTGAAACTTGTTTGGTAATAATGAAGTTATTTCATTTGGTCACGGATAGGCGTGGTGGAAATATCAACATTATTGCGTCTCATCGAAAGTTCCAAGACATGGCTGACAATGTTTCCGAAGTCAGGAGCACACTTTTGGTCCACCAAAGTAGCAAATCTACCGTACGTATCTTTTTTCCTTGATAAGTTTTATTAGAGTTTAGAGGGGAGTTCTACTGAATACTGTTGCTTCTTCTCTGTGTTCGTTGACGTATTATTCAGGGTGAAATTATCATCATACAGCACTGAAGAGGAACAATTTTCTCAAAGATCGCTTATTTTCTTGATAGAAAACAGTGTGATTTTAATGCCGAAACACATATTACTTTCATACCCCTTAGTGAGTGTCTTCATATAAACTTCTACTCCTTCCCCTTTGTTAAAACGGAGGAAAAAAGGTAAAAGTAAATGAAAACAAAAACTTTTAATCTTACTGGGAGATAAATTTTCTTTGATACGATTTCAGAAAGAGGACTGGTTTCGCATTCTGGCCCAAAGCTATCAGCTGAGTGGATGGAGTTATTCAGAGCTTTGTGAACATAACTACACTGTAAGTTAAAATAACAGTGCATTTTGTGTCAAGAAAAAAAAGCACCACCAATGAGATCAATGTCAGTGTCTGAGCTTCTGCACACCTACCCCTCCCTTAACCCAACATCAACCCTTACTTGTTATCAGTTGAACGTTGTTAGGTTAGGGGAGGGTAGGTGCGCAGTTGCTCATATACTAACAATGATCCAACGAATGCTTAAGACAAAGATTAGCACAATTTGATGAAGATTTTGTTCAATTTGAAAAGATTATGCGAAGTCGAACTTGCTCCATGGTAAGTTTAATATTTCGAGAAAGAGAGGATTCATTTAGGGATGGAACTTGTTGTTTTGATTGGTGAATGGCACGTTCCAAGTTGTTTTGTAACAAATGTCAAATGCTGGAGCTTGAAAGGACAGCTGCTAGTAAAACTGTTGATCACGGTGTTTGTCAGTGCGTTAATAGATGCACTAACGCTACGCTTGCTCGCCATGCTGTTAGGTACAGAATTTTTTACTCTCTTTTGATTCATAGGTTGCAAGTAAACTTATGATGCACGAACATGCGCAGACATGGTCTGTCTTGAAAACGCTGTATGGCATGACCGGGGGATCTGGAACTTCATCTGCAGCACTAGGATCCAACCCCAAGAGTCCTCTTGCAGCCGGAAGTCATGGCAGTGGTGGAGGTCAGAGCACGACGGGAAATCCTGAACCTCTAAGTGGTAAAACACTTTGTTGACCATATATGGACAGCATTTTCAAATGGGAACTGTTAAACCAAAACCAAACCAACAACCAATCACAGTGAAGGAAAAAAATATCAAACGGAGCCAATGAGAAATCAAAGTGAAAACAAGTTGACTGCTCGAAGCGGAAGAAAGCGCCACTGATTAAGTCCGCCATTTGTTTAATTTTTCGTTTGATTTGTTGATTTGTTGTTAGTAGCTATAGACAGTCCTTTCGATTGATTTTCGTTAAACTAGAACTAAGTTTAAGTCCCTTCAGCAAATCAAACCAAAGCTAGATATTACTGAGAGCCAAAAGGAATGGAGAGTTGAGCGCAGGGAAGGCGTTTGTATCTATTGCTTGTACTTCTGATAGGTTGAGAGAGTGATGATAATCTTCTAAACCAATTACTGTGTGAGGCTCACGTTTTCTCGCCTGTCTGATGGTTTGGTTCCAGTTGACTTTGATTTACTGAGCAGTTTTCAATTGATTGTCGAAAAACCAAAACAAAGTAATCACGAAGGCCAATCATAACAAAGAGTTACATCATCATCAGCCAGTGGGCACTCAGAAAAAAAAACCAGACAAACCATCAAAAACTCAGGCGACCAAGTCACCGTTGCTTTTTGTTGTGCATCTGATTGGTTGAGAGGGTGGCGCGAGTTTAGTAGAGCAAACCACGAACCGAATAATGCAAAAGCAAAGCAATCTCGGATTACTTTCGACACTCAATTGAAAATTGTCGTAATAGGCTTTGTGCGATGTATTCCTTGAGGTCAGTCGTAATGAGTGCTTCGGTCTTCTAATGCAATGTTAGAGTTATTTTTATCCATTGTGATGTTAGTAATACAAAGAAATCTTGAAAAAAATGAACTGTTTATTTTCCCCATTGCAGTTGGAGTTAGTACACAGAGTAATATTCAGACTTCCTCAGCCAATCACAAATCGTCAGCTGAGCCAGCAGTGACGCAAAACGTTGTACCAGCGTCTGAAACACAAGGTAGGTAATCCATCATGTTACATCTGCATACAATGTCAACTCTTGGATATCAATCTTCGTTTCACTTGTTACATTTAAATCCTTTGATTAGTTTGTTTGCAATTTTTCTAGACGATAATAAAGACTTATCGTCGACAAGCAGCGAAAATGAAAACGCGAAGTTGATGAATTTTGAAGGCCAAGGTGCGATTACTCTTCCTTTGTTATTCTTGTGATTTGACGTTATCCTTTCACTCTGTCCATTTAATGTCCGTGCTAGGGAGGTTCGACTGTAATTTCAGCTCAACAAGAGTGGCAAAGAATTAGATTTTTCGATAGATAGGTAAAGCTTGCTTCAAATTCTAACAGAAGGCAACAAAATCTTCTTAGAATTTACATTCAACGATTTTGATCACGATGAACTTCAGTTCCACTACGATGGCCCAATCACTCTCGCAGATGCTCCACAGGAATGGAAGCTAGCCAGCGTGAGTGACACTTGTGTACAGAAATCTTTCTATGTTAAGTTATTTAACGTATAAAATTTGTCACACATTTGGTAGGCTCTGAACTGTAATTGGAGTCCACTGGATGACAGATTGAAGACGCCATCATTGAGACTTTGTTTTTGTCTTTCTTGCATTATGATTAAAGATTGAGTCTTGGTTTTCAGCACACCCACCCCCGTAACAATTCCTCGCGACTCACCCCCGTGACCATTCCCTGCAACCCACCCTTGTGACAATTTCTCGCAGCTTAGCCCCTTCCCCCAAATTAAATTTAAAGAGACTTAAGACATGGTGTAAATATTCTTATTTTTAGGAAGCTTTTGAACCTAGAGCAGCGCTGGACGATAGGTAAAATAATAAAACAGCCCTGGTGGTATAATAGAGAATTTTAATAATGTAGATATGATGTTCTTTTGCCTCTGTTCCCCTTCCAATGTTGTTAATTGCCAATGTGTCTATGCCATCTTTCATACCAACATTGAGAGGGGCAGTGGAGGCAGTAATTGTCCAAACAAATTTGTCTGGGAGTGTGGGTCAGAACCTTGACATGCCATTAAAGGTCATGTCCTGATGTTTGTATTTGGTCTGCAAGGCTTTATTTACCTCTTTTCGTAAGGTGTTTTTGATGGTGATTTTTTTATAGACCCACTTTTCCAACCATGGATCAAGAAACAGATAGACCCGACTCACCCACCAGGTTTGATTAACTTTTTAATCCTCACAACCATCAATACAGAAGTCAAGTTTGATACCATTTCTTAGAATTAAATTTTTTTTTTGGCGGAAATCATTTTCTTATTCTTGTTACCAGTCTTCATATCTTCACGCAGCCGAAGAAAGTAGAGTGTTTTCATGGTGAATGGGGACAAAATGGAGAGCCACTTTGACGCTAATTTGGTTGAAACCACCATCTCCTGGCCTTAGACGGGAGATTCTCGTTTTCATTTTATTTAGAAGTCATTCTTGGTTAGAATCATAACAATTTGTATCAATCAGATGTGCTTTTGTTCTTCTATATTGTTTCTTTTGCTTTTAGCAATATAGAGTCTGAAGCAACCTCGGCCACTAATCCAAAGTCCTTGATTGATTCAAGTCTCGAAAATCAAGGATCTGTTTCCCCCTCAAACAAAACGTTGGTAAGATGAGTACTTGATCTGATATTCATCCTTAACACCATAACACCTGCCTTTATATTCTCCATGCTGTTCTCTTGACATTTCCTATGGTTCTGACAAGGAGAATTTGTTTGACAATCTGGAGTTTCCTAAATTGGTGAGCATTTCATTGATTCTTATGACCTTTATTTTGGATTCAAGGGGGGTACTGTCAGGAGAAATTAGGCGCCAGTCATTCTTAGGGTTTAAAGGTTTAAGTCACGAAAACGTTCAAAATGGCGGCGTCTAAACAATCCCGCGCATTTCTACGCATCTAACTATGTGTCCAGTCTTTTGAGCAGTTGTTTTTGCTCTTTATACAGTAATTATTCTCCAAATTAATTTTATTTTTTCTCTCATTTACCAGTCTCTTCCCGAGTGGGATTTTACACCACTAGTTGTGGAAATGCTTCATCACTTTGCAGATGAGGTGGGCACTTTTTCTGAAAACCACTGTGCCCTGGATTTGTCCAGAGTCGCACTTTGTATCATATTTCTTTGTTATGTGATTTAGTATGTTCAGTAAGAACAATGCAATATCGCTGTGTTTAGTAAAAACAAGGTTTCTCAATGTTACACGAAAACCACGTCGTGAATGAATTTCACTTAGATTGTCAATGAAACCCACTCTGGCCCTTATCATTTACCTCAAATTATTTTCCAACCAATAATTTCAGAAAACGGCGTTAGTGTTTGGCATCAAGTTATAATGTAACACTATTTATCATATTATTATTTATAATATAATTAATAGTGTAATAAATTATTACGTCTCAATTAGTTCGTGCGATATGATTGGTTAATTTAGTGGGCCGTATTTCACTGTACGGCCCTCTAAATTGAAAGTTTGTTTGAACTGGAAGTTTGTTTGAATTAAATCTTACCCACTCTATCTCAACCTCGTTATCTCGGTCTGCAATGTAAGTTACGGAACATCATTCTTTTACTGCTGGTATTTATGACCCGCGCGCATGGCGTTTTGGCTAGAAATCCTTAATTTACAGTACAGACCTCGAACTCGGTTAATAAGGGGTAGGTCTGGCTTATTCCCAATCTTGTATTGTTAAGATAATCACCTATCTGTTCTCATCCTTGTGTTAGGGAGATGTGCAAATGTGCGTTTCTGCGTTGATTGTCCTCGGAGAGAAAATTCGTAATAATATTGACGAACAAACTCAAGAACAGTGGCTTTTGGCTTATATTGGTGAGTACTGTGATCTCAATATCGTAAAAATGGTTGCAGCCATTGATTCAGGTGAATAACTCTCACGATGAAGCCGGTTGCTTCCGTTGTGGATCGCGATCCATAAGTCTGGTGACTGCATGGTGAGGCGAACAATAAAACAATTGTGACCTTCTTTCAATTGTGAAAGAAGGTAAGTAGAAAGAAGTAAACCTCTAAAGAAATTAAGAAAGAAGATGCCTTAGTGTCCCTACCCCTGAAGACTCGAGCCACAGACATACCATGGTGATTCGACGAATGATCATATATTTTATGATATTAAAGCTTGTTTTATTCTTTAATTGGATGATCTTTCTTGGGCAGATTTACTTGGCCGTCTGCAGCTGTGGTCGGTGGCAAATCAAATTATTAAGCTGTCCAGTCTGCCTGCAGTCAGCACATTAAACCAGGTAAAACTGAATTTGACAACTAATGGATCATACCTTAGATGTGTGAAGTGTAACATTTATAGCACAATTTTTCAATCAGAAGAGTGTAAGCTCCATTTCCTCTGAGAAACATATCTTAGATATGATTCACCCTTTTCCAGTTCACTAAGGTAGTAGAGGTGGCCGGCTGGTGCTTAGTGCACTGGACTCCTGATCGAGAGGTCTGGTTTCGAGCACTGGCTAGGTCTCTGTGTTGTGTTTTTGGTTAAGTTGCGTCATTCCCGCCGTGCCTTTCTCCACGTAAAAGAATGAATGTGCGACACAGAAGCGCCACAGATCTTTTGGCACGAGTTTAGTGATTATTCGTACTCTTATTTTGTCGTCAGGAATCAACAACAGTGTATACGTCTTGTGGGCGTTGTTCCAAACCGTTGACCAAGTCAGGCTGGTATTGTGAAAGATGTCGAAGTCTTGTGTTCCCGTGCTCAGTGTGGTATGAATTATTTTCTTATTAAGAGGATGGTATGTCAAATTATGGTCTGTAAGGCGTTAAGGAGCCCATGCAAAACATGGCTTTGATTTTTTTCTTTTAGTCTTTAAAATCTCGCTTTAAAAATGAATTTAATAGAACGAGGTTTATTAACAGCAATTGTTGGAGTCAGAACCAACTTTAACAATATAACAAACTTAAAATCGTCAATTGAATGATTACTCACTGAAGTTCCATACACAATCTCAAAAGTTGGAGCATCCTTGTAACTAAACAGCTTTAAAAAAAAAAAAAAAACTCGGCAATAGTCTGTACCACGTGAAAGTTACTGCTATTACGAACGAAGGTTTTGTCGACGCATAGTTCAAAGATTTCCTGACTATATTTTAACTCATTGCAGTCATCTGATGGTGAAAGGTCTTAACGTGTGGTGCCAAGGCTGTGGCCATGGCGGCCATCTTACTCACATGCAGGAGTGGTTTGAAAAATATATCTGGTGTCCTGCGGGCTGTGGGCACATGTGCGAGTACACGTGACCAAAACAGAGAAGAAACATTACGACTAGAAGAAACGCGCGAGAGGAAAGGTGGAACACATATCAGAGCCTTTTTCGGAACCCATAATGTTTAAAGTAACTTGAAGGATCGAGTGAAATGATTTCAGATTTGTATTCACTCTCACAGAAGACATCACCCAGGTCGCGAGCGTTCTGTGGTAGTTCGGTAGTCATTCTTCAGAAACGAATGACTCGAGTTGTTGGTGCTCAACACTGGATGACGTTAATAGGACAACTCATCGACCCGTTTTGAATGGGAAAACCTTTGGAGATTATATTCAATCGATAAAGTCGGCTTGTATCTACCTTGACTTGGGATAGGGTCACATTTATGAAACACATACGTGAAAGAAATTATTACCACAAACTGTTAAATAAAATCACTGTCGATTCAGCATTTGATTTATTCCTGACTTACTGTATCTATCTAATTGCACAAAATAATTATTTTCATCTATATTGGACTTATCAAAGGTAGAAAAATCTAAATCACAAATATATTTCCTCGTTTTATAAAATCAATAAAGAAAAAACAACAGTAAAAATGATCTTTCCTGCTCAAGGCATCGCTTAACAAAAACAAAAACAATTCCAAACAAAATAATTATATTCATCTGACCCTGTAACAAAAGTGATCACAAATATCATTTCATCAATTAAATATAATTTCGCTACAATGTTACACTTAGGTCAATTTTTTTTTTCCCAGTTCTGGACAAATTTCATGTGCAATGCAAGCTAACAAACTACCTACCTAGAGTTTGCACAATGCAGAATTTCTCTTTAACGAAAACTATAAAATTACTAACAACTCCAGAAGAAAAAAAACTAACATATTTACGCCTCTTAGAAGCTATATAAAGCGACCTCGCTTCACGACGATAACAAAAAACCTTAATTCTTGTAAATGCCATTCGTAAATAAATCTCAACTTTTACCAGTAGTTATACCTTCCAAACTGTTAAATGATTGGTATTTACATCTTATCGACTTGAATTTTAAGTATATTACACCCATCATTAATCGTAGAAACAAATCTAGAGTTTGAGTAGCTGCCCAAAGAATATTTCTGCAATTTGAAGTAAATCCTCTTTACTAGAAAATACACCAAGAAAGAACACCATGAAGTCAAATAGTAACATCATACTAGACGCACTGTATTGAGTGGGTCCACGGGAAAGAATCCATCTTACTCCATAATAAATACATTATGTTAACCAGTAGAGACTACATTATTGTGTACCAATACTTCAACTACGAGAATATTTTTCCTGGGTGATTTCTTTATGCAATTAAACCATCATAAAGCATGTTTGTGCTTGGTACAAGAAATAAACCGAAAACCAAGGAGTCCATATTGGCGCAGATTTATCAGTCATACAGTTAATAAATTACCCTACGGTAACTAAATAATCTCCTGCTGATTGAGACATTATTGTTATAAAATCATTCCTCCAAACACCCAAAACAGTAGCAACGTTTAAGTCTTAAAGTGACTGACAGCTGCAAATCGATGCTATGATTTACATGGTGGTATTTCCGTCAGAGCGACCGTTGCCGTTTATTGATTCATGCAAACAGAGCCCCTTTTCGTGCGCAGGTCGAAGTTTGGAACATGTATTAGTCAATTTGATAAACGAATCCTAAAAATAGCTCATTCATTAAATCTTCGTACCTGCGTAACCGCTCTAAATCCTAAATATGAAAGCTGTCTAACCATGGCATACATCAAACCGGCTTTGTATCCCTGACTTAGTTTCTAACAGTAAAGGTAATGTGCGAAAAATTTTTTGAGCTCAAAAACGAAACCTTAATGTTGATTACATAAACTACTTCGTCGTTCGTTGTAACGATTAGATGCAGCTGCAAGTGCGACAGGTTTTAAACCAATTGTGTCGGCTCAAGATTCAGCTCACCTGTAGCAAGTAAAAAAAACAAACTTAAGAAACTGAAAAGTACGATTTAATCGTTCATCCCTTACGCGATTAACCAGCAAGAGGCGAAAAAATATCCTGACGCCGCGTGCACGACAACAAATGAGAATCTGGGATAAATTGTCCCTGATTTTTAATGAATTGCGCGACAGATTTCGCTAGGAAGACGGACTACTCGTAATTTCACGTCCCTGGAAATAGAAAAAGATGTTCAATGAAACTACAGGACTTTACTGCATAATTATGAAACTGATATCAAAGGCGCAAGATGAAGGTTTTGGTCATGGCCATTGAAGCCCTATGCTTCAGATTGAATCATAAGTCGCACTTTAGATTAAACAATAACAAATTAAATCTACCGGAATTTGCGTCCACAGAGAGAATTAGTATCTGAGTGGACAGAGTATGTTAGTATGAGTACGTTATTCCAAAAAACCAAAATATAGAAATCTAGAACAGTAATATTGAAAACAACGTCACGCAGAGATAACGTTTACGGTTTACTCATGCACTTACATCGTGACATTCACGGGTATTTCCATCAGTTTCCTGGCGAATAAATCAGATTCATCCTGAATTCTTACGAAGTCTACTAAGAATAGCTGATTAAACAATTATTGGGAGCAACTGTCACAAATGCCGTTAGCTGAAGCCTGAATTTACGTGCTCTTTAAGTGCAACAGTTGTACCCTCCCCCACCAAGAAGAACCAAATGATCATAGCATTGAACCTGTCTTCTCACCCCACCCCCACCCCCTCCTTTAAGGTTGTGCGCGCTAGGCTGCTTTTTTAAGGCTCTAAGTTTTAACAATGATATCTTTCTTTTCATAGTTAGTAGTCGGTTATAGTGGCTGTGTGAAGAGGAAAAAAAACAACAGAAAAACCCACGATGACAAACACATATAAACATGCCTCTAGCCATAAATTTAACAACGTTAAGTAACAATTTTATGTAAGCAGCTCTTTCCTCCACTAGGACAAGTCACAACACTGTGAACACCACGTTAGCAAGAAATCCCCACCTTGTGATGTTTCTTTTTGCTCTCTCAAGGCTTTCATTGCTGCTACAACTCCTCGAGGAACTACAGTTGTATCAGTGTCTGCTTCCTTCACGATGAAATGGAACTGTAAAAAAAATATATATCTCAATAACCGCATTAGAACGGACAGGGAGTATTGTTGTTCGTATTTCGGCGTCTTCGTTAAGTGTGTACCGTAACAAAGGTTACTTTGCGCAATCTGGACTTTTTCAAGCTTTCTACGAGGATAACAATGAAAAGACCGCTCTACATCATATAGCTCTTGCAAAAATATGAGTAGTTTTGGAGATTTCGTTGGGTAAACAACTAGGCTTAACTTATCTTAAATTCATACACCTTCAAAAGGCTTTTATTTTTATTTCCATTTTCCACTCCATTTTTTCTAGGTCTTTTTTTTTCTTCATGGCGTACCTGTAAACTAGCTTTTTAGCTGAGCAAACCGACCACATTTAATACACTGATTAATTGATTGATTTTTGAAAATGTACGGTGACTTTTTTTTTTTCATTGTGTATTGTGGCCTGATGAATTCTTTAGCGTGTGTAAAGATCAATGATGACATATCTCTAGAGGTTCTTTTTAATGTTCATCCTTATTGCAATTTCAATCAATCATTTGATGTGTATAATTCATTACCTTAGCCTCTCCTTTACCACTTTTCGTGATACTCGATTGTTTTCCATCGGCTCCCTCAATCACGTAACTGGGAAGAGAATGCCTTTTGGTAGGGTCGTAATGCCCTGCTTTGGTTCTCATCGCTACTGCTGGGAGTGGTTTGGTGTCAGCTCCTGCGGCTGTTTTCGCGGATGGAGGCGGTTTAGCTGTAGTTGGAGCTTGCAGTAAGGGCTTGTTTTGTTCATTCGTCTGGTGTTTAGCTTGTGTCCAAAACAAACCCTTCGGTTGAATAGTGGCAGGCTTATTAGCATCTGAACCAACCGTTCCACGTGGAAGTTTTTCATCACCTGAGATTATGTTGAAATTGGACCCAGTTAAGATTGTAGAGCGAGGCCTGCCTCGCGTGACTCCGCTCGGACCACTTGTTTGGTCACACAATTTAGCAGGGCTTGGCAAATCCGAACGTGAACCAGTATCTGTTGTGTCTTTGAGATCTTTGGAACTGCCTTGTGATGTGGAATGTTTGGTTGAGTAGACTATCTCATATTTAGTTGCACCGGGTTCTGTTTTCTTTGTCTCTGGAGTACTAACTGATCTTTCCAACTTAGGGTCAGGTTTACCACGTTGATGAGAGGAAAATTCTCCTTGCGGTAACGACGAAACTCTGACAGCTGAGGGTTTCGCCACAGCAGGCTTACTTGGGACAGGTGGTGCTGGCTTTGAAGTCTCCTCAAGTTCAGTATTACTTCTCACTTTCTCTGTCACTGAAATCGTGCTATGAACTGAGGTTGCGGAGTCTACATACGATGTAGATGGGGAAGTTGATTGTTTTGGAGCTAAGGATGATGGTGAAAAGGACTTCACTTGAAATTCAATCGGACGAATGCCCTTTTTACCTTGCGCATCAAACGACACAGGTTTGAATGCCGACCCCCACATCATGGGCTTCTTCTTGGTGGTGTCGGTTCCAGGCCCCATCCAGCTCCGTGGCCTCTCCACAGCTGTATCTGGATTTCGCCTCAGCAACAGATTCGGTGGCTTCGCGGAGACTTCCGCTTTGACTTCAGACACGTTTGATTTCTCTGCTGCCTTGGCCGCAGATGAAATGAAACTAAGGTCAGCTGCAAGATCGGAGTAGCGTCGGAGAGGAGGAACAGTAAAGGGTGGTGGTTTGGGAAGGTCCGCGGGTTCAGTTTTGGAGCTGTCAACTGGGGATGTTCCAGGAGATGGTGAGAAACCATCAGTGGAGGAAGAGGAACTAGATTTTCTTGATTGGGGTTCTGTTGTTTTGCCCTTCACTTGAACAACTTGGCTTTTGAGATCTCCGGTTACAATACCTGCTGGCATACTCAGTGGTCGCTGAAGTTTAGAAGAAACTTCCACAGGACGCTTTGTAATGTGCGGCTTGGCTATTTGTACAGACCCAGTATCCACTTGTACATCCGTTTTTGTCGCAGAAAATGCCTGTACAGACTTTGGGTGTCGTTCTTCACTCGATGTATCCGAGGCAATTACCGTTTGCGCCTGGACGGCCACTGTGCCTGAGGTAGAAAGCGAGTTGACTCCGAACATTTTCGTATCCGGTGAAGCTGGACCTTTGGGCTCCTCAGACGGCGAAAATCCAGAGTCAGTTGACCGATCGCTGCTTAATGCAACAGGGGAAGGCAAAGTGGACCCACGCGGTGAAGTGGCTGGCGGAGATGATGACGGGGGGCGCGGTAGTTCAGGAGATTGTCTGAAGGATGTCAAGTCCAAGCTGAGCTCAGAAGTGAGGTTACCGTGTGTCGTAGAACTACCCGGAACAGATGGTTGCCTCTCTGGGACGACGTTAACCTTCTGCACCGGCTGCACGGTTGTTACTTCACCGGTAGATTTTTCAGTTGTTTCCATCTTGAAGAGCGCTTCATAATACTCGTAATCTGACGACTCTACTTTTTTCATCTCAGACACGATAATATCTTCGGAGAAGGGGTCCTTAGTTTGGACTGCGGGAGTTGCGTTCTTATAAGGTGTAGGAAGTGCCTTGTTCTCTAACTTGTTGAGGTTAGGGGAAGAGGGAACCGTCTCTTCATCTAGCTTCCGTAGTTTTGCCTCTAAATCTTTGAGCTTATCATCAGGAGAGGAGACAAGTTTGGTTTCTGGAGTAACAATGATTTCTTCGACCATTTCTTTCCTATCTGTTGATACAGTTTTGACTGGGGTTTCTTGAGCAGTTACAACTTGTCGCACCACAGAAGCTACCTCGTCGCGCATGCTCTGTGGAGGGTCAGTCGGATGGACATCCTGATCCTCTTTAAAAGAGGTAAAACACATTTGAACTTCCGGTTTTGACTGCTGAGTAATGACCTCTTCAATAGGAAATGTTTCTACTTGCTCTGGTAATTCAGGTTTAACTTGCTGATCCTGTTCAACTGACGGAACGTTTATATTCGGCCTCGAAACCTCTACGGATGAATTGATTGACAAGGGTTCAACCTGTCGAGTGTCGACTTTTACTTCTGCTTCTGTGACAAACGCAGTTGGCTTCATGTTTGATTGACGTTTTTCCGGTATCACAGGTGACTCTACCTTTACAACAACTGCGTCGTGATTAAAATCCTTATCTTTCACAAGGTGACTTGGCTTAGCTGGTGCTTCTGGCTTTTCGGAGTTAAGAGCATTTTCCTTTAGTTGTTTCAGGTTGACATCTAGTTCCTGTTTTGCAGCTTCTGCGCGGGTATTTCTCCGGAAATCAAATGCACCCTCGGCCTCTTTGATCGGCTGGACTGGTTTGGCCTTAATTTCTGGTTTTTCAGGTTTGGCATGATCAAAATTTCCACGCTCTACTTGTGGGTCTGGCCTCGCAAGTTCGGTATGAAGATTGACTGCTGCCGGCGCAACTTTAACTTCTGCTTCTTGGATTATAGTCACTGGCTTTTCTGTTACGACTGGCTTTTCAGCTTTAACCTGTAGTTCTGGTTTTGTAGGTTTAACTTGAAGAGCAGGTTTTGCAGGTTCAGCTGATAACTCTTGCTTTACATCTTGTGTCCGCGGTGGCAGCGAATATTGTTGTGCGTTCACTCCGGCCTCAACTTGGATTTCTGTTTCTTTGGAAATAGAAACCGACCCCCCTTCTGGTTTAACCGGTTTTATAATCGTGTTTGAAAACTGTTTCGATCCAGAATGTTCACCATGTTTAGAGCTCAAATTTGTAACGATGACTTCGTTGGTTTCGACTTGGCCTCATTCCTTCATGTCGATAGCTTGTGATGTGAGCATGTCCTTGTTCTTATCACAGAATACACTCCTCTGCGGTCCCAAACTTTGCTTCTCAGTCACCGGTGTTTTTTCTGTTTTCTCGATAATTTCTGGAGCTGTTGAAACACCACCGTGATTATCGACTCTCTCTTGAGCTATTGATGTAGGAAGAACATCACTAACACTTGTTACAGTTTTTGTCTCCACAGCCTCCTTATCAACGGAATACTCCGAATGATTTTCATCCACAGGGGTACTTTCTTTTGTATTTACGTCAACAACCACCCACCCATTCTCTGTGTCCTTGGATACCTCTGAAGGTATTGTAGCATTAAAAGGTGCTTGCGTTTCGTCCATCCAGGGAAACAAACCTTCATTAATGTAAAGTTTCTTCTGAAACTTTTCTTCCTTAGGCTGCCCTTCTTCCTTTTTAATTTCTTCCGAATTTACGAACTCCTCAGGGGGTGCCACCGTAGGATTAGCAAACTGACAGGGAGGGGTTAGTGGCCATGTTTCAAAATCCGCCGGTGGTGGAATGGTACTAACCATATCCAAACTAGACCCAGAGTCAGGATCCTCTCTCTGCCCTAAAGGAAAATCATTCGCCTGATCTAAAGGAGGAGTTATGGTAATGCTCTCGGGGCCCTGATCGAACCCTGAATTGTGATTCTTGACGTCATTCTCCGAGATCGTTCTCACTGTCTGAGCTTCAATTACGGGAGGAGGGACGTCAACGAAACCTGAGTTAGAAACCACCGCTGGGGGTACCCGTGGAGTTTTGTCGGCGTTGAGCTGCTTGGCGTCCAGTGAAGACTCAGGCTCGGAATAAAGCGGTGGAGGTGGAACTACAGGGAATGCCTCTTGCTCAGGAACAGGCGCTAATGAAACTTCAGGTTTTGCCTTTGTCGTCGAATGATCTTTATTCTCCTGGTCTTCGTCAGGTCCTGCCTGAATAGCTTGAGCCCGCGCATCATTGACACCGTTAGCAGCGAACATTCCAATTTCATGCATTCCAATGAAACCGTTCATTGTCACAGGAAAGCCATCCGCAGCCCCTGGAAGACAAGTCGTGCAAAGTATTAGAAAAAAAAGGATAGAACTGTATACATGTTTATCATATGTCAACAACCCATGAACTAATATCTTTTGACGAAACCAATTACTCCATATGTTTGCGTAGCATTTATCAACTGGATTCTCTAGCAACTCGAGTAAATTAACCTCACAGAAGCACTCAGCCCTTCGGGGAAAAGGGAATAAAAGCTGAGTTTACGAGGACTCCAAATTTCACCGTAGATCTATTTATACCCAAGATTTCAAAATCAATTCTGCTGACGGTCTACCTACATTCCTTATGATGTACATTCTGAAACTTTCTATTGCTTGAGCTAAGCAGATTTCCAGGACTTCCCAGTACCTGAGGTATTTTTACAGGACTTTCCACTCCTGGAAAATGTCAAAACAAAATTCCAGGACTTTTCCTGTTGGACAATCGATTATTTCTGAGGGCGATTCTGGCGTAATGCATGTACCAATAGTTGAAGATTGAGAAATTTCTCAATAACCTATCTATTTACATTTTCTTATTTACGTTTTGCCTCTAACCTTCCAATATGTCAGCTTCAAGATCAGTCAGAGGTCCAACAGGGGTTTCACACTCGTCAAGGGGAGGCGGTAACTCGTCTGGTGGGGGAGGAGGGATAAAAACAGGCACACCTCTCCAGTTATCCACCTCATCTTCTTCTTGATTGTCAGATCGATGTGTTTCCAGATTCAGTGACAATTGCACACGATCTGGCCTCAGTGTGATTCCCTTGTTTTGTTCCAAGTGAACGCTCGCGTCCTTCTCTCTTTTGTCTTCCGATACGTCTTTTCCCCCCTGAGACCCCTTCTTAGTTAATCTAGGTGCCGGCTGAGGGGGAGGGGGCCTGTCGGGCCTAGGAGGGGCAGGTCTTTTCTTGTGACTAGGTTTCAGTTTACCATCATTTGCGGCCGAGACTTGAAACGTGGTGGAACTTGCCATCGAAGAAGGGGTCGTCTTCACAGCAGCGCCATTGCCGTGGATATTCGTTTTATTTTCAGAGAAAAGCGCCTTAGGAGCGGCGGGGCGCGGAGGAGGGGGGGCTCTGCGCCTGCGTTTTGTATCTGGTGTTGACGTCTTAATGTTACCATCAAATTCTGGAGAATCGTCCGATTTTGAAGAGCAGACGCTCAGTTCCGGAGAAGAAGCGTACATTATATCGCTCCTCTTCAAAGGGCTTAAGGGGAGCTCTTTAGGTGCATCGTTTGACACGTTACCAGTCTGGTTTTTGAGAGGAGTCACTGATTTGGAAGACCGAAATGGTTGCGGTCGTACTGGCGGCTTATTCGTGCTGGAATGTTGATTAGTCACTCGTTTCATCGAGGGCGGAACACAACCATTAGACGGTGAGTGCTCTTGTGTATTCTGCAACAATTACATGATATTATTTCCTTCGGTCAGCGAGCAATTAAGACTGGTACATCTGGAGATTAGGAGAAATCTCAAAATTTGTTTGTCTCTCCTACACGCGCATTTTTATTCAATTTATGGGATCATTTTGAATCAACTGGCCACAAGCTCGTGGTCACATGCATTTATATCGAGTCCCTGAGGCAGCTTTTTCATGGCAGTGACATGAAAACTCCTGGTTATTTTTTCATAAAGCATTTCAGCGGGCTAGAATGTTAAACCTCCAATCTCGTTGGCCATAAACCGGTCTAGGTCGGTTCAAGTGGGAAAAAAACCGGGGGTTTTTTTTTCAATGAGAACGCTTTGTAAAGATAAATTGATGATGTTCCGGATTAGTTTCGACGTTTGAGAAAAATTTCTCTGTTTGTAAAGTTACATTACCTCGTGTTTATGATCGGAAAGTACTTCTAAGGACTTGCTTCTTGGCGGCGATAAAATCTTGTTTTCCCTGTCTCTCTCGCTTAGTGTAGAATTATCTGCTTCCATTTCATCACCACAGCTTTTCCTCAAATCTAAGGTAACAATGATTTACAAAAAAACCTGAGATAGTATGCTCACTCCGATTGACGAGAAACTTGTCGTTTATTGTGCTGACAAACCCACAGGCGACACCTTTCCATCGGTTTACTGCCCGAATAACCCTGCTGAGATGTTGGTTAAACCAACAACAAATATGTGTATAGACGAGCGAGTTACAAACTTTTCTCGCGATCTCCCGAGGTTACTACGCCGGTAAACCGATGGAAAATGCGGTCTTCCTCTTAAAGAAAGAAATGTCTGTTGTGTTATAGGAAGATGGTGAAACAAAGTTTAGAAAAGAGTATTAGTTATCGTTAAGGATTAGGAATATCTAAGCCTAGACGTACCGATTGCCCGGTTGATAAAGACGAGGAAAGCATTACAGAGAGAATGAGTATAGATTTAGTTTCAAGTATGGAGAAAGTAAGCACAGTTTGAGGTTCATGTAGAATCAGAGTGAGCATGAGGGTTACGATTATCTCGTTACTCAAACGGTGAGTTTCCCACAGTTTAGTTTTCTACTGCTTTTGGCTGATTCCATATAGCTTGGAGTAAGAGATCGAGTAACAGACCACCGACGATAATTGGTCTAAATATCAACCGCCAATCTCACTAACCAAAATCCTTTATCAGTAACGAACGAATGACATCATTATTGGAACCCAGTTATGATACACATCATTACTGTGACATCAATGTACTCACGAGTGTTGTTAAGAGGGTCATTAGATGTGGTGTCATCATCAGTTACAGAGCTCTTGGTTATTGTGAGGGTGTTACCGCTGTTACGCCTTAACGCTGGTTTAAGAACAAGTCACGTGTTAGCAAAGGACAGAACAGGTTTAACTTTCATTTGTTTTAAGGCCAGCGGCAGGCTAATTACCAGTCGCTGTTCAGGAAATGAGCCTGCGCTCCTCCTCTGAACCTTCTCGAGAGAAGCGAGGACTACATCCGAAAAAAAACGAAATCTTTCCTGGACGAGTGAAGGCGATCACAAGCCATAAGCGCAGAGAGGGACGTTATTTTCCGGCGCTCTATCCCTTACGCGAATCGCCCTACTCGTTAACCTCACGCTAAGCTGCGATCGCCTGAAAAACGTAGAAAATTACACTTGGTCTGCTGGCTACATTTCAAATGGCAAGTTCCTCTCGACAAGAAGATTAGTCAAGGAAAACTAATTGGCCATACGTGTTGGCAAGGAGGTTTTAATGAAAAAAAATTACTAATGCGATAATAGAATTTTCCTAAAGCCTTTTACCAAATCCTTGACAATTGACCCTCCGTTGGCAAGGCATCTAATCTAACAAATTTTTTCTCCGCGATCTTTTTTGCCGACAGGAGGATTTCTTGATGGAAAACTTGTAAAATTCGAATATTTAAACAGCCACATAAAGCCTTTCAAGGGTTTAAACTTTAACAGTAAAGCAGCTGCCGAAAATTCAGCTTAACCCTTAACTTTTCGCTATAATAACTATACATTACTCAGCACAAGGGTTATGAGAATGCTAAAACTTCTCAGGAAGAAGTTGTTATCTTGATCCAACACCAAATTCTCTAAACTAATTTGTAAGAAGATTTGTAGCAGGTACAGGGAGAACTGACACTCAGGAGTTGAAGGGAGTCGAAGGGTTAATACAGGGATACATAGTGCAATAAACTGAGTGACTGTGACTGTGCTTTTGCAAAACTGCGTGTCTTACCTCTTTTATCCATTAATCTGACTTGTTTGACTTCAATTTCATTAACAGTGCTGCCTGCATCAATGAATTCATGTTTAAAGTCTATATACTGCAGAGAGTGATGTCGAGGGTTGAGATTTTCACGTGAACAGACACTCGTCACTAGTTGCTTCACAGTCGTGTCAACAGACACACAATAAGACTTCTTTATTCCACTTGGAAGAATCAATTGGAGAATTTTACTCTGTTAAGAAAAGAAGCATTTAAATAATATCTTAAAAGCTGAAAATAATACCTCAGATTTTACTTACAATAACATAACCTTAGACAGGTACCACATTCGTAGCCACTGTCATAGAATCATTCTATAAAGTGGCTATATCATTCTATAAAACTGTAACTATGTGACTTTCATTTATGAAAATTACCCCTCACTTGACTCTGATAGTGATTTCCATTCAGCTTGTTGGAATGTATCCCAGTGTTACTGGGCAAGAACACCCTAGGTCCAACTTATACTCTTTTGTTTAAGCCATCTTTACGCCTGTTGTTTAATTCTAAAGTGAGTGAGGCAATCTACATTCCTTGAACAATACACTTGGCTTCAGGGATGTAGATTTCACAGGATTTTCAATACAAGGTGAGTAGCCTACGTGTTGCCGTATCCTCCTTCCCTCCCTGAGGAAAAACGTTTCTCATTGGGAGGGAGATACAGATACACACAGGCTACAAGGTGAGGAACTGTTTAGTAATTAGTTTGCGCATTTTGTACCAGGCCACTGAATAGTAATAAATGTAATTATAAACAAATAGATGAAAAAAATCTATATATAAATTTACTGTGTTCATTGCTTTTGGCAATTTTTCACATTAAATACTTGTAAATAACCATTATCTGTAAAAATTCACAACTTTGTATGATGAAAGATGTTGTTAAACTTTTACACCCAAACATCAGTACACGTACACGTAAATATTTTCCATACCATTTCCTATAGTACTAGCAAAGTGAATTAAAAAAATCAAGAGTCTACAGAAGGCAATTAATTCCTGTGTTCTCTTGAGCTTTATGTTTGATTCAACAGTGATACTGTAAAGAGAAATAAGTGTCTCTTAGAGGCTATACAGGCACCAGTAATGGCAACTATTATTTTAAAACAATCACCTCTTCTCCTTTGGTATCAAGTAATTCTTCTACTGATTCATCCTCGACCTCTACATTTCCAGCACTGCTGTCTGACGCCCCCGTTCTAATTATTGCAACTTCCCTGATCTTCAAAGACCCAACAGCTGTACCAGAATCAAATGTGACTTTTCTTCCTCCTGTCCTTGGCAAAGACAACTGATGCTCAGCAGGATTCAGATGTTCTTTTTCACATATCTCTTCAAATAATTCACTCATTGTTAGTCTAAAAGGGATTAAAAACAAGACTCACTTCCTCTGAATTATAAGCAGATTTTAACAGTTATACAATGAAGCTCTTCATTTAAATTCATATTCTCTCCTCCTTAATATGTTTGTTTAGAAAAATACCACAGAAAGCAACATTGAAAGGTGGAGGGAGGGAATATGTCGTCCTGTAAACAGTGTGAGAATAACTCAGCCTTTTTCTCAGTTAACCCTTGAACTCCCATGGGTGACCAAGACAGAATTTCTCCTTACATTATCAATACAAAATCAAGCAAAAAAGTGATGAGAGAAAAGAAAAATACGAATTAGAGGATTATTAGTTGATCCAATATCAAATTCTCCAAAGTAACATCAAAAGAATTTTATGGCTGACAGTAAGGAGAATTACTAATGAGATCTTGGGAATGAAAGGTGTATTACCTGGACAATTTTGTCAAAAAATGTTGATTGTTCTAAAGCTTAGTAGATGAATGCTGATTTGCAGACAGTCCAAAGTCAATCATTCCCTTCCCTCCCTGACTGAAATCCTGTACTTGGTGTCACTACGTCATCCCATTTAACCCTTTCACTCCCAAGATCTCTTTCATTGGTAATTCTCTCTACTACCTGCCACATGTTGTTTATAGTTTTAGTACTGAGAATTTTACTTTGGATCAAATGGTAATCTAGTAATTGACTTTTTTGTATATTCTCATCACTTGAGATTGTATTAGCATTTTATGGAGAAATTCTGTCTTGGACACTAATGGGAGTTAAAGGATTAAGAGTGTATGGCTTTGTTTGTGAAAGGTTGACTTGGAATAGATGTTAAAAAAAAAAAAACTGTAGCTGAGAATTTTCACCAAAGGCTGTGCTGGCTGAATCTAGATTTAGACTTTTAAGTTCCTTGTTTCAAAATAAAAGAGTAACGTCTATTTTGATTGGTTAAAATCCACAATAAGCAAAGATTTCCTGTTAAGTAAGTTTTAGTAAAGAGAGGAGAGAGTTGGGTGAACCACTTCAGACCATCTCAGAATCAGTCTGCACCTAGTGTGACCATTACCAGTTACACACCCTTTCTCTGTCTTCCACAAGTATAATCATTTATTTAGAAATCAAATAAGTTTTCAAACGATGATATAATTTATACAGAATAATTACTCAATCTGTTACAATAACACATGCACTTACAGTCCAGGAACAGACAGAACTGTGGTTTGTTTATCTGGTAGTTTGATCATAAGTGACACTTTTGTATGATGAATGTTACTTGATGCAGGATCAGACATCTTTCCTATGATAGCCTGTAAACACACAAAATATTATCACATGATTTCATTCTTTTTACAAAGCTGCACTCCTGGAAGAGTAGCAGAGTACCTGTAAGCTCTTTTCTTACAAATTTGGGGAGCCTAGCTCTTGAAGGCTTTTGCGAAAACAAAGCCATACATTCAACTAACAAGTCAACCAAAGACAAAAGTTTGTTGCCTCTGGTACCTGGGATCTGATTGGGCAAAGCTCAGGTTTAAGTTCAAAATATCACACAGCTGTCTCTCACAAATCGTCACAGCAAGGCGTGAAATTAATTTTTTTTCTGATAGCCACTTGGCTCCTAAATTCTTCAAAGTGGTAGCCAATTCAAAAAAAGTTGGTTGCCATTTTGAAAGACAAACAAAACCTTTTTTTACGCTGTCATTGTTCTAGAAATTAAGATAGGGAAAAGATCTTAAATGTGCTACAAAGTGAACACTAGGATGGATGATATGCAACAATCAAGCTCACCTAAATTCAAGATGGCGTCTAGTTTTCGATCGTGATGCATGTGCTGTGTTTTGGAAACAAACTTACCAAGGAAGTTTTCCACGGATTTATCTTTGTAAATCTTTTTAATTCCCTATATCTCTAGGTAAGCTTATGATGAAACATTCTAGTGGCCAATTTGGCAACTAATTTTCAGGATTTGGTTGCCAAAGTGAAAAATTTAGTCACATTGGCAACTGTATTAGGCGCAATTTCATGCCTTGCACAGATGTAAAAATTGTGTGTGACACTAAATTATAGTAATAAATGAAAATCAACTGAAAAGCAATAAAAGCAATAAAAGCAATGATCCAAACAAAAATGATACAAGCCAACCACAGTGCTAGGTAGTTATTTCAAACTTGATATCAGTGCATAACGTACAGTGAGTTGATTGACAATTAAGGAATCAGCACTACTTGTACATCTACTGATACTACACTCGATGTTTGAAAAATTTTTGATGGAATTGTTTTTATCTAAAGCAGTGTAAAATCTTACTTTTAGCTTACCTTTCTTTCTGGCTGTTTCAATAGTAGTGCCGTCTTGCTCACAGTAGAAGCCATTCGTTTCACTGTGGTTAAAAACTGTTTATTTATGAATAAACTCAATTAAAAATAGCTCAGTGTGACATCCTAATAAATAGCTAATCAACAAAATTTTTCACTTGCATATCATTAAACTGCTTGTTGTGTAACCTTGCAAGAGGTAAACAAGGGAAGGCAACTCGTAAGAAAGAAAGATATGTGATAAAAGATTTGTCATTGAAATCCTTGCAATTAAGAAAATTTAGCTTTGTCTCAATCAACGTCTATTTTATGTGTCAAAACATGTCCAACATTTGTAAATATAATGTCAAATTTCTTTAAACATTCATTTTAAGTGATTGACAAAGCTCAAAAACAAAACTTTTCTAAACAAAGAGCATACCAATTTGGACTAGTTAATGTGATTGCAATGATCCAATGGTTAAAAAAGCTTTTAACAATGAACAACCTCTCCACTCACACAGCTCTGTAATTCCCTTTTGACTGATAAATAACAAGTGCCCACTACTTATTAATATATACACAACTTGTTAAAAGCAAATTGTAGATCCTATACTAAGAAATATGTTACTAACTTTGTTATTATCCATGATTGCCTCTAGGAAGTTTTTGCTCATTTGTCATGTACCATGCAACAACATATAATTTCTTTTATACCAACACTTCAGCCAAGCACTTGGCAATTTGAAACCATAATAATTAACTGAAGCATTTGGCAAACACCCACACAAACTAGGCTTATGCTGAACAAATAATTTAGGATAGAAGCCAGTATTTGTATTTCTTTGTGAAAGGCCGTCAAAAAGAATGTCAATTAAGGCTTATCAATCTTACGTTGCGAAGAAATATCACTTCACTATAATGGTTTTACTTCAATATCAAGGTAGTATAATAAGGAAAGGAAAAGGCAATATATCCCTAAAACAATTATATGCTACTATTCCATTTCCTTATCACATTTCAACCAGATTTGTGATTACTTTTGTTAAGTGTCATATCAAGCATTTATATGATCTGAAACAAAGGAGAGTAGAAATCAAACTGATTTGAAAGGTTTTTAACCAAAGAAAAATTTGAGACATCCCAAAATTATATATTGGGGAGGCCGGGATTAAGAGATCTATATTTGTTTCGGGGATAGGATAATTACAATTACTAAGAGTATTTTTAGTTCTTGGAGACTTACATAAATATAAATGACCAAAAGGTAGACTGAAAAATATAGAAGAAGTAGGTCCATTAAAATATTAGAATGTTTTTTTGTAGTTACTTGACTTTCTGATTCTTAACTAATTTCAAAAAAGATTCCAAATTGGTTATAAAAAAAAAAAAAAAAAAAACACATTTACTGATAGCATTCCACTGTGATTTGGAAAACTGGAAAAGAAGTTTGCTCCTACTGAACAATAATAGTTAAGAGATAATTTGGACAAATGGAAATAAACATTCAAATAATTATTTGTGATCCTTCATATTTTTTGAGAGAGATACCTGTTCAGCTTGATCTTCTCTCCCAAAACGTACACCAAACATTGATAAACCATCCTGCCATTTGACAAATGTTGAGCTCCTTGCACAAGTTGTATTTGTATTCACTTGGTAATCCATTATCTGGGAAAAAAATTATCACATTCAATTATTCTACAATTAAACTAAAAAGAACTACATTCACTCACTTTACATATTTTCCAAAGTTAACTGTGGTTGATGCAAAAAAAAAAACCCAACCAGTGGCAAAATATGCTGATGTGCATGTTGAAGGAGCCAATTAGAGGAATTTTTTTTCATCAGATGATAAATCTTTGATTGTCTGAGCTTGGGCTGGATACTGGCATTGCTCCAAATTACAATTCTCCTTACAATAGCAATAAAATATCAAGCAAACAAGTGATGAGAATAATGAAAAATTTCAACTAAAGGATTATTAGATGATCCAATACCAAATTCTCCAATTTAGCATTATGAGAATCATACAGTAGACAGTAAAGAGAATTTCAAAGAAGATCTTGGGAGTGAAAGGGTTCAAACATTCATTTAAAAAATGGATTACAAGAACCAGAACTGAATAAAAACTAGTAATGGAATATTTATATTTAATTAGCCACTTGGTGTGAAGTATGGCTGAGTTTTTTTTTATGATTTGTGCCTTATTTTGAAAAGTCAGTTGGGTGAGTCAAAACACAAACAACAAGTAAAAATAATCAGCAATAAAACAAACCAAAATGTTGAATAAATTATTTCGTATACAACTGTTTTACTGCAATTTACATGCATCTCAAAGCAGGAAAAGCAAAGCAAATAGAGAAGTGTAGACCATTTGAATAGGTTATTTTATGGTACAAATAAGTAACTGTCCAATATTGCATGATGTTCAGAATCGATTTGCATATTATTTGTACTCTACTTAGCATAGTTGGGTAACAAGTTATGTCATGCTTGAATTTTCTTGTAGATGCTATTTTAGCACAGATGATGTAATACAGTTGCTACTTTTATCATTGAAAAATAATTCCTTTGTTTATTGAAGTATCAGACAGATCATGGAGACTATAGTAACATCTGTGGAAGTGTCTTATAATACAACATAGTGGCGCACAGGAAACTCCAGTTTTGCATTAGATTATACATTTTTCAATTTATTCTTGCAAAAAATTCTTCATTCCCATTGGTAGCAAAAAATTAAACTTTTAAGATCATTTTTGATAATTTAACATCGAATTATTTCATAAGAAGTTAATCCTTGTAAATAAGTAATGAGAATTTTGGTTGAGATAAAAACTTCTACTTGATAAGTTTGAATATTCCCATCTTGATTTGCAAACTACATCTGACATTTATACTCTGTCATCTGTGCTACCGCAAAGCAAACAAAAATGATTTTGGAGGAAAACAGCTGTTAACTAAGCAGCGGCTTTTAATTTTCACATTAACCTAACCCACTTGCCTTGCTAGGACCAAAACCAATGAATATAAATTATATAATTATTTAGACTTGATGAAAAATGTGGGAAAAGATGCAACATGGAAATTGATCAATGAATGAATTTCAGCCTTATTTAACAAATCAGAGAAGTATCCTTGAAAATAAGTAATGAGAATTTTGGTCAAGATAAAAAATTCTACCTGAGAAGTTTGAGTATTCTCATGACCTGTTTGCTGGATATTGTATATACATAATATGGAGAAGTTACATCTTCATTACTTCTGAGAGTTAAGGGTTTAAGTATAACTTACTCTACTTGATTTCTCAACAGCAATAATTCTAAATGGCTTGTTTGCATTTCCCTGAACCTGCACAAAGCAAATAGGAATAAATCCATCCACTTCAAGTTTCCAGTCTCTTTCAGTGCTATCTTTTGTGTAAAGCATTCCATAAAATGTTGCTAAAAGTTTGTCTCCAGCATGAGAAAGCAACACTTTCTGCTCCTCCACAGTTTTACTTTGCTCTTGTTCTTGGCCATCAATTTTCTTAAACAAAACAGCTTGTGGTTCTTTGGCTTGGTTGTGTGATTGTTTCAGCAATGTTTTGCCCTGAGATGCACTAAAACTGTGATGAATATCATCCTTTAGGATCTCAACCTCTTCTGGATCACATTTTAAGACCTTCGGGGGTGGGAGAGGAGCTTTTTGTTTTGAAGTGAGCAACCTAGACACAGGAATACAAATTCAAGTAAGGCAAGCTTATTTGTAACTTAATCAAATATTGAAAAAAAAATTGACAATAACATATTTGTCTACTTTCAAAAAATTTATGGTCACAAAATGAACACTCCAGTGAGCAAAAATGCCTGAAGATTACTTGACATTATTTAATTGTTTTATGATGATATCACTCATGACTATAAATATAATCACATAAATAATATTTTCAAAAATTACACAACTTCTGCAGCATACAGAATGGTAGTCGTCTCAAATATTATCCCTTTGCTGTAAATAGCATCATATCTTGAGAGATCATCTTTCAATATAATTAAGTAGGGAGAGGTCTTAAGTGTTGACATGTGTTTTCTGTGTACTACTTAAAATAACCATGTAACCTTACATGACAACCATGGAAAAAAAGTATATTAGGGTTAATTTCTTATAAACATTACAAATTGGATAATTGGGATTTTGCATATCTCCTTAGGTGAGATAAAAAAATAAGACTACTGTCTCTACATCTACATTCAGCTTCCCTTTAGCAATGGAAATATTGTTAGCTGTCGTGAGTTATCAGAGTATTGCCTGAATGAGCAAATCTCAAAGCAAATATATTCTTTTAGATGCTCCTAAGGAAATTTGAAGGCAATTTCTCAATAAAGAAAACACTTCTTGCCACAAAAATGGCTGTTGATGGGGATCTGGAAAGAACAAATAGAGCCTAAACTGGGTTGAAAAGCCACCATGCCATGAGCTGTCTGAATTTAACATAAGACCAGATAGCCTTTCCCAATTATTGATATAGTAATGTTGCTGTTTGCATGTGGTGCAGATGTCCTCTTTGCCTTTGCTACACATAAGACAAGAAGCTGAGATGTCCACATGATTTATGTCCAAGTCCAGTGCTAGAGGCAAAAGAAAATAAAGTCCTATATTTCCTAAATCGATCCAAAGACACTATTACTTCATTGTCAGATAGTTTGGCACAACATCCACAGTAACATCAGTAGGAATGTTGTATGATCATAAGACATCATATACAATTCATTCTTATCAGCAGTGGGAGCAAAAGTTATAAGAAACACCCCTATGACAAATTAGAAGTGTCTGCTTATCATTCACTGCTTAACAACACAGAATAATCTTGATAAGGACACAAATTTCGGTGGTTTTAACCTGTGAAATCATAATAACAAAAATAACATCTGCGATTTAATTATTGCAATGGAATGTTCTGTTCAAATTATAATTTAAGCTCTCTTTGTTTTTCTTTCTTTCTCGGATTCTATTATTTCAAAAGCTTTAGCAACGAAAGCCTTTCTTTTGCAGCAAAGCCGAAACAGAGCACATTTTATGATGCGACTTGATAAACATTTATTTCTCGTAAATATGATAACGAAGTATATTGTTTTGGTGCCATAATTTCATAGCTTTAACCTTTGGTAAACGCTCCGAAAGGAAAGACGAGGTAAACACTCAACCATCCATAAAAATTATCACGTCTAACAGATTTCTGTGTGTTTACCCTCTCGTATAAAACGAATTATACTTCTCGAAGTTTCAAACATTACATACCTAATACTACTATTACGTATGCTAGTTTCTTGCAAAAAGTTACGCAGGGACAGTGCTTGTTTATATTAAATTTAAATCTCGAAATTCCAAAAATGTTATTAGCATCATTATTGCCATTAAATTGCTTGTTGTTCTTGCCATCATCATGATACGCCTGTATGTTTTCTCACGATCAAAATGAACTCGTAAGTTTTATCCAGAAGTAATATTGACTCACCAAAAAAGGAAATGTAATGTTCTCCCATATCACAGCTCAAGAAAAAGCTTAGAATATTGGCACATAGGGATAATTTCAATTCTTGAACAAAGCTAATATATTCATAAACGCGTATTTACCGTTAAGATTCGTGGTTGAAATGTTATGGTTCTATTTCAGTAAAATATTGAATGAAAAGTTTAAATAAAATAAGAAAAAGAACAATTTACGAAAAAAAGGACAATAAATAGATATTTCTGTAGTAATGGTATGAAAGAAGATAACTGCTAAGAATAAATCTTCGAATTTTTCGACTACCGTTTCGAACTTGTGGTTGTTGATAGCGAGAGGCCCCCAGAAGCCGGGTCCATGTTTAATAACCTCGAGTGCTTGCTTCATCCATATCTTCTTCAATGATTACACCGGTATCCCTGATCCACCTGAAAATGCCAGAAACAACAAAATCACTTCTCTCCCAAAATACACTGTGCTTTGTTTGCGCAATGTTGAGTTGTCTAAAACAACAAAATGCCCACGAAGTTGACAATCGATTCGCAGCAAGTGAAAATGCAAACTCTCGTCACAATCTGTTGCCATACGTGAAACCACTGCACTTCTGTCACTGAAAGTTTCTGTACTGGAAAGAAATTCAGTCATGGCACTAAACCGAAATCTTTGGCTCAAAATGCGGGTTACCTTGCTAAGATATCTCGTAGTCAGGAACTGACGTCCACTGTGTGAGGAAGGCGGTAATAAATAAAGAACGGCGAATATTTCGCTGGACACGAAAAATCGACCAATCTCAGGCGACAACACCGTGTCGTGAACAACAATAGCTTTGCACTGTGAGTAAAAGGCCCGTCACGTCTAATTCATTTCTAGAAAACTCTAGAGAGGCATAAAATATGCCTCAGGTTAAGGTAAGATGGAAAGGGCCTTGATTGTTGTGTACTACGGAACCGTACGTACTACTCTACAGGGGTAGAGCGAGCAAGGTGACTATTTAAGCGGGGGTGGGGTAAAGAAGCTGCCTTGAAAACAAAAGCTCAATCGATGAGCCGGTAAATCTGACTGAATTTCAAACCGTCCTCTACATATTGAGTAAACTTGGAGGAAACGACTACATAGATTAAAAACCATGATATTATCATACAATTTTAACCAGTTATTTGGCAATAGCTAAACAGGATCGGTGCTTGAAAAATCTCTAATTTATTTAAAAGATAATGTAACGAGATTCCCCTAACACATGATTTTGTATGATTCCCGCAACCTGTGATCGGGCACGATTGTCACGAGGCACGCGCAGTTCGACCCCGGAGACCTCGGCAAGCATCAAAATAAAACTCATGACTAAATCAACAGGGATTGTCTGTCTATGACTTCGTTACAGATAATTTTGAGAAGTTCACCCCTTTACGAAGCCATATCCATCCACTAGTTCGTAATGTACTCCAATTAAACCATATACATAATAACAATAGACAAGATAAGGTTTCAAGTTTTATTCGAGAGGCTTATGAATTGACGATCAAACAGTAAAACGTACTGGAGGATAATGACCAAATTCAATTTAATCTGCTGAAAGAAATAAGAAATTAATAAGATTTAATGCGTGTGTCAATTCGAAGCTTCAACCATGTCAACATCCCTCCCTCCCAGGTAAGCCTTGGGGCATTTGAACTTTGATAATTGGTTTGTTGAATTAATCCCGTTTCTCTAGAATTCATTGGAAAAAAATGGAGAATCGGGTTGAAGATTGGATATGGCAACTTGGGATCTATTCAATTTTGAGGATGAATTCTTAGATTTTACCCTGTTTTTCTAGAATTTGTTGAAAAAAAAGGAAAATCGGGGTAAAGATAGCGTATGGGTACCTCTGCCATTATCCACTTGTAGCATGAATGTTCAGAATTTACCTCGTTTTTCTAAAATTCACCGATCAAATGGAAAATCGGGGTAAAGATGGCATATGGGAACTGAGGGTATTAGTCACTTGCGGACCGAATTCTTAAAATTCATATTCATCGTTTTTCTAGAATTCATTGAAAAAAAAAAAATGGAAAATCGGGTTCAAGATTGGATTTGGCACCCAAGGATCTATTCCACTTGAAGGACGAATTCTCAGAATTTACCCCGCTTTTCTAGAATTGACAAAGAACATAAACTTCTTTTAAAATTTGTAATTTTTTCTATCTTTCATTTTTAACTAAGACTAGCGAGCCGCACAAAGAAACACTTTTTGAAGTTGTAGGCTTCTCTTTTATTTCGGACGCGTTTCGTCTCTAATTGAGACTTCTTTAGGGAATGACTACAATTAAATAGGACGAATATATGATATAGCACGTTGTTGTGCTTAAGTTTTGAATTTCTATGGAAGTTAATAATAACTGAAAGCGGGCGGTATAAAAAACTCCTAATTACAATTAAATTATTGCGTATTGCTTTATTTTGGGGGGCTAACGATTAGCGCTAATCGTAGAATTCACCGCTGAAAAAGACATGGAAAATCGGGGTAAAGATGGCATATAGGAACTTAGGGTATTATTCAGTTGTAGCGTGAATTCTCAGAATGTACCCCGTTTTTCTAGAATTTATTGAAAAAATATGGAAAATCGGGTAAAGATAGGATATGGCAAGTCATGAACACGATAAATTCCACTTAGAGGATGAATTTTCAGAATGTGCCCCGTTTTTCTATAATTCATTGAAAAAAATGGAAAATCGGGATAAAGTAGATTAGATGTGGCAGGTCAATAGAATATATTCCACTTGGAGGATGAGTTACTAGAATTCACCCCGTTTTTCTATAATTCCTTGAAAAAAAAATTGCAAAACCAGAGTAAAGATGGCATAAGTGAACTACGGGAATTATCCGCTATTAGCATAAATTCAGAGTTTACCCCGTTTTTGTATAATTAATTCATTAAAAAAGGAAAATCAGGGAAGATTT